ACTATCACATAATTCTGCAACTTGTTTTTGAGAAACAAACATACAAGTATTTAATTACTTTATCATTAAGTTTTACACTCGTTGATATGTGGTATACGTTGCTAATACATGGTATTAGTTGCTGTACATTGTAATAAATTGTTCTTTCTCCATTATAAGACTCATTTACCTTAGCAATCACAAATCAAACCACAACCTCCACTTTCTCTTATGATACAGCAATACTAGCTTCTGACCAAAATCTGGAAACAGAAACCAGAAACAAATGCCAATGAATCAAAATCCTAACATATCACATTTACACTGAGAAGAGACCACTGTCCTAAACAACACTCAGCTAATACAAGTACAGATCATAAAGTATCTCTAGACCAACGATTAACAATAAAAGAAATGTCCACAAAACTAATCTTTTTGACATATGTTTTTGTTTTGAAAACTAGTTTTATGTAATTTTGGTGGGCCTATTTCAAAAATTCTATGCATTTATTTGTATCACGTAAGTTTTTTTTTTCAAATATTAGAGAAAAAAGATATATATTTCTAAAATAATTTATTATTTTATTCACCAAAGCTGTTCTTCCCACCTTTTTTCCAGTTTCTTAATGCTTCAATGCAAAATGAACAAGTTATAGTTTGCTTTACTACGACAAAACTACCACAAATATAACAAAAGTTATTTTATACGTTCTAGAACATTAGAAATACGCAATAACGAAGACAACAGCCGCGAACACAACATCTCGCTGACCAATACAACCAAACTGCGCATAAACAGGTTACAACGCTGTGTTGACGCTTCTGCGCCTACTCTGTTGCTTTACAGAGAAATCTAATATTATTCAGTGTTGCCAAATCACATTTAATTTCATAAAAATCAATTCGTGCCTAAATGTACAAATAAGCAAACAGTTTTCAAATATCCAAATCAAAGAATTGGTAGAAAATCGCAACTATCACTGGAAAATAAGATTAGCAGTGGTAAAAACACATTCTATCTTTTTTTTTCAGTGGTGTTGATTAGTTTACGGAAAGAATAAAACGCCTTGTATTATTTCGCAACAGGGAAGGCCACCGTCTCTTTTAAAGTCATTGTAAAGTGTATTCGAAAGAACGAAGACTTTAATAGCAATAAGCTGGCCTCCCTCCCCATGCTGCTCGATTCGAGAAATTACTTTTTAATTTCGCGGTGTCATTTTGCGGGCTGAAATCTCGAAAGTTATGAGCTTCTGCGGTCGGGACTCCCCGCTCAGGGAGAGTATTTAAAAAGTCCGCGGCTTAGTGGGACGAGAAGAGGCAATAGAATAGTAATAGCTTTATATTAATGTCTGCGGTGTAACGATTACGCAATGGGACCGAAAATGCACTACGGGATATTACTAATATTACAAAGAATAAAGTGCAGATGAGAACCTATTATGCACATTGATGCACGTGTTATAAAAATAATAAATATTTAGTTATTGCTGCGAAACAATACGCTGTCCAGGATGGGGCGAATGTAAGTGGTAAAAAGTTTGCAAGCGATGCGAGGACTAGGATTTTTAAAAGTCCTTTTTAACACAAATAACGCGCAGTTTACTTTATTTGCAGTATTTGATACATGTACAGACTACGCAAGATCATTAGTTACTGTCACACCTAGGTCCATCTGAGAATCGACACTTGACACAAAGTATCCATTGATATAATAGTTTAAACCGGGATTGTTCTTGCCAACATGCAGCACTGAGCACTTTTCGGCATTCAGCGGCAATAGCCAAGTTGAAAACCACTTGAAAATAGTATTCAAGTCACATGAGAATCAATGCTGGAGAGCACCGATCCCTGGAGAACACCGCTAGGCACGTTTTGTGGCAGTGAAAAACTCCGAACGACCATCGGCTTAAAAACGCCGCTATACCCCCACTCCGACCCTTTCAACTTTGAATAACAAGCGTCGATCTGGCACCGGATCACCTGAGTCAAGAGATAATGTCCAATGATTGTGTGAAATAGGCCATGCTGTAATGTGTGGTGGTGCAGGTATAATATGACAGTCGATCAAAAAAGGTAACAGCTGATTGGCTATAAGGCGTTCAAGAACATTACATATAGTACAGTAGGACGGTAATTTGAAACATCGGTGTTACATTTAAGGATTTTAAGGATAACCACTGGGTAATATAAATAGGCTCTGCAAACAGAGCGACATACGTTTTTAAGATTTTACTGAAAATTCCATCAGGTCCATCAGAATATTTTTTTAACTCAGGTGTCTGACATAGGAATAAAACACTTTGGGACTTCATATGAGTAAAAAGGAAAGGGGAAAGGCATTATAGAGGATAAGAAAAGATATAATTTGATCTATTGGAGTCCGAGGTCCTGGAGGACTGCACACAAGGACCAATATTTAGAATATTCCCACAGTTAAATTCAGCGAACGTCATTTCCGGAGCGCCCGGCTCTTTATTTTAATTATGACCGCAGCCCCGCATCATACGAAGTTATTACCAATAAATCTGCGGCTACACGGCGGTGTAATTGTGGCTTCACGCTCAGTCGAGTCCTGATTTATCGTCGGGACGCTTATCTGCGTCGCGGCGCGTATTAATTACGTACCGATGCCTATTTCCCGGCTTTTTCCGGCTAGCGGAGAAAGCGCCCGTTTCCCGAGGGACCGTCCGACAATACTGTGATTAGTAACCGCGGGTCGATCCCCCGAGGAATTTAATTGCGAGGTTAAGATAATAGGCCCCGATCTGATCGTTCGATTTCTTCGATTCGGAAGAAGAATGCACCACTAATAATCGATCGAATTGCTGTAATTGCGAGCCGCCACCGAATGAAATAAAAACTGCACAAACCAAACATTCGAAGACAGAATAATATAAACTTCACTTTGGTCCCGAGTTCGATAAATAAGCTCAATAAGTGATAATGTCGCTGAATATAATTGGGAAAAATTTATAACTTTACTATAACTTTCTTGACATTTTTATTTTATTTGGAAAAATATTGAAAGCAACAATTTTCAAGAAAAAAAAATCACCGCGTGCAGAATATTTTTCCAAAAATAAAAATTTGAAAAAAAATTGCCAGAGAAAATAGAAAATGAAAATGAATTTCATAAAAGCAAGTTGCGAAAGAAAAGTAACAATTAATAAACAGAAACAAAGACATGTAACACAAGAATAATTAATTCTATTATTTTGTATATTATTATTATTATTATTACGTAATAAATTATGAAACTTTATATATTGCTAGTGTGTAACTATTTGAAACAGTGCTAGCTTATTTCTAGTAGTGAATATCTCTTGTATTTCTTTAATAAGCTTAATAAGTACATTTTAAAGATGGCGTAAATATAAATTTTCTATAACTCATAAATGGAGAAGGTGGAGGTGGCCTAACACTTTCACAAATATAAGAAAGACAAGAAGAAAATTAAATGCAACGATATTAAGTTTTTTGCAACAAAATAAAGGTTTAACAGGTTAGGGTTAATAAATCCTGATTTTTCAGCCTTTTTCTATGTATACATAAATTTACTGTTAATATGCGAACAGTATATTTAAAGTGGCAATTATTGCCATTACAATTATAAAAAAAACGCTAAGAGTACTCAGAGCTTTGGGTTTTAATAGATTCTAAAACGAACAGTTCGTTAGGCATTAAATTCCGCATTCTAGTGATGTCTTAATTTTGATATCATGTTTGCTCACTGAAATACCTAAAGGGAAGTGTCAACTACAACTAATCGAACATTAAAGTCCTTTTAATGTAACATCAAGAGTGCGCGTACTAATTCTATCGAAAATTATCGAAACCTCGTTCATCCTGTCACGGCTGTCCTGATTAACGAGGCCCCGCAGTAGATGGAAGCGACATAGCTTCGATTTTGCCGATTCAGGCGATTCGGGCGGCTGCCGTTCCGCCAAACCGCAAACTACAGTTTGAATGTCACCCATTAGGCGGGAAGCGTATGTAGATAATCGAATCAAAAGCGGGGAGAATAAAAATTTGTATATTTTTGCGGAAAAATTCTTTGGGATATATTTACGCAGGACGAGTTTCATCGGACTATTTCATGAAATACGTGGAACTAATCCAAACCATACATTGTAAATAAAAATTATTATTATTTGCATTAATACATAACGTTTTTTTATTATTTATCACAATTTTGAAAGTTGCTTTTAATAAATGTCGCAATAACAGTTTCATTTATATTAGCTGACTTATGACGAAGTAAATTAATAATAAAGAACTGTTCTTTAGCGGAATAACATTTTCATTACAATGCCAATCATCATATCAACGATATCGTTCGCATAGATGATGAAAATCCTATTTAATTGTTTTGCCTCTTTTAGAAAAAGAAAAAACTATAGTATGCAGTATATGGATACCCTCTTCGGCCTAAACTGGTGACTAAAATGGGGTTTGTTAAAATTGTTGCATAATATACCATTATTATTACTTCAGTTTGAAACTAACTCTCTCTATAAGTAACCCGAGAAATTTATTTATATAAAATGTAAAACATAATATTATAATAATACATAAATATAAGATAAATATAATATAAAATATGAAATTTATTTATTACCTATAAATATTTATGTAGATGATCAACATCAAATATCTCATCTGCAGTGTTTAGAAATTACCCAAAACTAATAAAAGTGATGGTAATTTACTTCTTTTGACCTTTAATGTGTTGCATCTCACGATTTTGACTAACGTGTGTATTTATTATTTGCAAAACTCACGAATATGGAGAGGGCTTTGCTTTGAGGAATGCCCTATTCAGTTGTTTTTACTGCTTACCTCCTTTTTTGAAATTGCACAAAATTTTTGGTTCGGTTATTTTCAGGAAGCAACTCTAATTAACTAAATTTATATTAATATGCCTTTTTCTTTGGTCTTCTTGTCTTGGCTCGATATACTGTTTAAAAAATACTAATGCCAAACCTAACCAAAATCAAACCCAAGATTTAAAAATTTTCCACATTTTATTCGGCACGAAAACGAGTTAATTCGCCATTTCCAATAACTCATAATTATTGTTGTAGTCATAGTCGCTGGAGGTGAGTGTATCCATTTGAATCCTGTCAATTTCCGGATTCATTCTGAGGCCGGCCGAGCACTTGAATGCTTTTGAAAATTCCTCGAAATTCGTCATCATTATGTCCACTTTGAAAGGGTTCGGCAGAGATTGACTTTCGAAAAGTTGCACAGCAGATTCGGCCAGAGACGTCCTCCCGCAATATTCTGAAAATTCGAGCGATAACTTTTACCTAAATAGCCCTTCGCGTCTACGGTCTACCCTGCGCCAATGAAATAAAGAACGCTTGATCGCTGCAATACGATTCGGAAATCCAAGGCAAATTCCAAAAAGAAGTTTGTTCCTCCGACTGGGAATTAAATACCAAATCGTACGTCAACTGCAACGCCATGTTGTCCGACATTCGGTCGTTTACGGAAATCTCCGATACGGCTTCGTTTATCTAAAATGAACAGAGGGTTCAGAGTCTTCATCTAAATTAGGATGTGTGAGGCAAATTTTATTTAGAGGGAGGCGGGTAGCAATGGGGAATGTTTTCTTTGTCATACACGTTAATATTAATGGCAGGTAAGTGTAATAAGAGATTCATTGAATGTTGCATTTTGAAACTAATTTTGATGGTTAACAACTAAGATAATTTTCCCTTATATACTATTGGCTACAGGAAAAAGAATTTGTTGCTTTCAAAAAAATAGTATTCAAAGTCTGGCGTATATTAATTGCATTCAAATTTGGACCGAGGTGGCTTTTACTTGATGAAAATCCATTTAACACAATTAAATTAAATTAATATTTATTAACTGTTAGCACTACATGTTATTAAATTGTTTTAGTTGTCATTTTTCAATAATAAGTAAAGTAATAAGTAAAAATAAGTCCAGAAATACTAATATTACTCTTTAGGTTCAATTCATATGCCCATTAATCAATTAATTAGTCTAGTTAAATTAATCCAATGTTATTTATAATTTAATATATTATAATTATAATTAATTATCGTCAAATTATAATTCAGTTATTTATCTATCAATTTTATATAAAAAATTAAAGTCCACCAAATAATGTGTAAATTATTTCAGTATGAAAGGACAGTAAATAAAGCAATCAAACGTCAAGAAATGATCAAGAGAAAGTCAGCAAACCCCGCCTTTTTCTATTTTAAAATTGGCCTCACCACTATATCCCTGTTGACCTTTCAATTTAGATCGAGTTCAATGATTTAAATGCGTACGTTATATTCAAGTTTCTGTTTCAACAAATCTCGTCCTTTGTCCATTACCAACATGGTCTTCAAACCCGAAACAAAACTCTTGTAAAATCCATCCGTGGTTTTGATGTCGTCCTCGTTCTGACCAAACCTCCTGCCTACATCGGTAAAATGTTTGGCCAGTTCCTTGGACAAATGAAATCCCACGTGTCCGTTCAATAAATAAAGCGGGTAGTCTTTGTTCGGTAAATCTTCGAGCAATCTTGAAGGAATCACTGAAAAAGCGGCGGTTCATTAGCAATACGTGAACTAGGGATGCTGCGGATAAAATAAGATAAAATAATGATGATATATAAGAGATGAAGAGATATATAAGAGGTATTGAAGAGATATCAGAAATTGGTACACATCACTGTGAAGTAAAGTGGAGTGTACATTAAGATGAATATACTTATCAGTACAAATGTTCTATTAATTTTTAATTTGTGTCATTTAAATGCTTTTGCTGTTTACGGCTCGTTCTTTCCAGACCATCTTCATGAACGTGAGGTGGTAGCACACTTCGTACCGTTTTAACCTTTCGTTATTCCGTAATTGTATTCTAATTATATTGTATTTCTTACATTGTGACGTGGGTTTGAGGTTATGTTTGATTTTGTGCTCCTTAAACGGCCTTACATAACTGCTGTGGACTTCTTATAAAGTTCTAAATCTGCAACTGTTTTTAACAACACAACAACAAAGTATTTATTTGTTCAAACTTTTTCAATGGGTTGATTATAAGAAATGGAACCTTTCTGGAAAATTTCTCTTAAAACATAGGCGGATTTTTGTTTATTTTTGAAAGAAACTTCCACTAATACTGGAATATTATCGGACAAACCTTTTAGATTCCTCCGGTGTCGCGTGTTAATGAATCGAACTGGCTGACATTTCGTCAATCATTCTGTTTATTTCTGAAGAGCTCAACTAAATGAGGAATCCAAAAGATTCGTAAATAGTATTTCTGTTTTTTAAAATGCAACAACGCTATTTTACAAATTAAATAATAAAAAAATATAAATTTAATCACTTGCCTATAATCTTATTTTGATAAAAGGTTATTGGTTTCAGATCGAACGGGTCAATAAAATGTTGTAACCTGAAAGAGATAAGGTGTAAGGGTAAGTATTGTTGTTCATGTTATGGTAAAAGTCGTTGTGAGTAAATATAATTACTATTATTATTATTACTATTACTATTACTATTTCTCATTTTCTAAAATTTGAATTTTGAATTACATAAAATTTTAATTACGCTTTCGCTTTACCCGACCTGGGCTATGTGTTCGACAACTTCGATAATTGTGTGATGTGTCATACTTACAAACTGATGGAAGAATTTTGCGAAAACAGAAACAAGTTTTTCCGGCCGTTTTCAACGAGCCCGAGATAATTTTCCAAATAATTGTCTCCGATTTCGATGGTCTCGTGGAAGTCGTGAACCGTCACCTCCGAAACCCAATGCGAACCCATTATCAGTTTAATATCGGATAGTTTCTCTTGGAAACTCTTTTTGGCGGACTTCTCCAACGAGCTATTCTCTATAACCAAACGAAGCTGAGCTTTCAATTCGTGGTACAACGAAAAGCTATATGACACGTAGTCCCGCGCGCCTTCCTTTTTGTCAAATTTCTGCGAGTGTATGGCGGCCACCACTTCCGGCATTAAATCTGTCGCCTGTCTCAGGCAAAGGTCTTCTGTGGTTTCTTCTATTGTGGGCATGACGACCAGCTCGTATATATGTAAGAAATAGTATAGGGAAACGGTTTGAATAATTTCGTTGTTGTGGCTGAAATTTTCGAAATCAAAACATGCAAATCGCGTAAGGTCCTCATCGTGCTGGCTTTTGCCCGAAATTTTTCCGACAGAACATTAGGGGCGGACTCTCGAAGTTTTTGCTAATAATATAATTTTGTTTTGTTCATTTGGGTGGGTACAGTCTTATTAAATTTCACGAAGAAAAAACAGCGAAATTAAATATATACAATAAAGTCATAATTGAGATTAATAACAATGAGAATTATGTTTTTTATAGAAACGTAAGAGTTTTATACGTTTTTCCTTTTCTTCGACGATATTGCCGTTTTTGTGCGCATACACGTTTCTTTTCTTGTTACTTTCGAAAATCGATGAAATGGAACTTTTCGAACATATCTACGCCCGTATAAAAATGTCATATCTCGGTATGAAATGATCACCTTCGAAAAAAAAATTTTTTTTTGTCTGTCCGTTCTCCGTTCTCCTCTGTCGTCTTTTGGTTTTTCCTGAATAACTTTCGAACCGTTAGAGCTGCAAAATTGAAATTTGCGCGCTTTTTAACCCTCCGAGGCACATACGCTTATAAGAAATGGCGCTGATCCGACCCTGGTATTCATCTTTTTTTCGCGATTTTCCACTGTTTTTTGGACATTGCTATGAAACACGAGAAGTGTCAGAAATTTGAAGTAAACATCATTTTTCAAAAACCGTTTACGGGACCAAAAGACCCAGAAGACGCGGAAGAGGTTTTCATAAACTTTTATGCTTGAAAATTTTTCAGTAGTATACAGGGTGCGTCGCAAATTAAAAAAAAAAAACTGAAAAATTGGTTATAACTGAAAGACTATGATTCACATCTCACTTTCTTTTATATTGCGATATAGCCCGCCTAGACAGCAACAGGGTGTTCCCGATAATCCGTGCTAATTGCGAAATGTGTTAAGTGTCCTAAATTTGCAGATATCAACTTCAAATTTAGCATAGAAGTAAAAGTCCGTGTCCACATTCAAACGGTGGAAATTGGGTGCAATCAAATTTTGCCAAAGTATTTTTTAAAAAATTTTGAATTTTTTACCTCCACAATCGCGGAAGATCCAGTGCAATAACATTTTTTTCAGGTATTTTTTGGATTATATAAGCTGCTCGGGATATTTGAAAAGATCCATATTGAAATCGTTATTTCGGGGGCTGCCAAGATGCGATGACGTCATTGATTATTACGGCGCACTGTATGTTTTCCCAGCAAACGTGGAAGATCCAGGGCTAACATTGTTTGAATCATATACAGGGTGTGTCGTTTATTTGCAAAAAATCAAAAAGATCCTAAAAATTTCCGTTTTTAGGGGTTAATTTTTGTCGATAAATGAAAAACCGTTAAAGATGGGATAATTTCATTTGAACAGTATCGTAAAGTGTGTCGAGACAGAGTTTCAGGTTTCGTCAATTATACAGGGCGCGAGATATTTAAAAAAATATTATTTGTACACATTTTAATATTTACATCAACTTGCGAAAGTTCCATAGCGGTAGAAAAACAATGCGTCCCTTTCCCACAGGGAACCGCGAAGCTCTTGCCTTTTATAATAAAAAGCTGCTTCGCGTTAGGCGCTCCGCCCAGCGACGATTTTTCGAAAGCATTCTTGTTTAATAAGTTCTCTACTGATTAAAGTTCCAGACACATTTTTTACATCCTGTTTTGCATCTAGCGACTAAATGATTTCGACGCGACATTACCATCGAAAGCCAACACGATGAAAATTGAGACAGACTGTACCTCGTATCGAAAATATCAAACAACGCATCGAAATATTCTACGAAAGCCATCTCGACGCTCTTCGGTGGAACGCTGCTGCCCAAAACATTTTCAAAAAGCCTTTTCCAGTTCAAATAGGGGTACTTCAGGGTCAGTTCCTCGACAGACACTTTGACGTAGTTTTGATAAACCGCGGACTTTCGAATTTGTAGGGCATCGATCGATAAAACCTAAAACACAGTTCATTTTGCTGAAAACTCTGACAACATTAGTGAAAATAATAATAATAAAGGTTTTTAACATATTAATTACCCTTTGTGATTTTATAAGAACTCCGAAAACATTTGTGACGTCAATACGTTCCAGAAATTCGACGAAAGTTTCCAAATTGGTTTTTTTATCGACGGGTATTGAGCTGGACGCCAGCGGACTCTAGGAATGTACTTTTTTTAATATAACTTATGGACACAACACGTGAATATGTAGGTAGGTTCATAAAAAAATGATACGGCTTGAAAATATATTTTTTGGAAGATATCTTCACAAATTATTCGTATTCAAACAAACAGTAAAAGCTCAAAAACGCAAGTTTTTAGTAATTAAAATAGATTTAATATAATACATTTTATTATAACACATGTATACACTTTTCGCTCTAACGACTGAAACAATTTTGAAAAATATGCGTATTAATTTTTTTTACTCAAAATGACCCATCTTGGGCGCCAAAACAAACTTTGCTTTGTCAAAATGCGATACGCAGTTTGATGACGTGCACGTTGCTCAAAATATAACGTGGAATATTATGCATATATTATAGAGTAATTAGAGTATTCAGAATTTTATTCATTTTTATTGTTTATAGCCAGTTATTTTCGTAAGTGTCACCGTTAAAAAACGTCTAAACCAAAACAGTCTCAACTTTTATTTATTTTAAAAATAAAAAGATAACTTTTAACTTTTAAATAAATTACTTAAAAACCATTTAGAAGATGGTTGAACCTTATCACAAGGGGTCCAACATTGTAACTTGAACAAGACAAGAAGAAACACTTGGAAGGAGTTATGGAGTTTTTCCTGAATGCCTTGTCGTAGCTTCTCGCTGATTTGAGGCCTCAAATTTCGTAAATTTAAAATTTACAATTAAATTTGGTCATAAAGTTTGCATAACGACGACACGGTGGTATCAATTTTTTATGAAACTATCAGTACTTACAATTTTATATGGACTTTTAAGGAGGCTTAAAGTATCGTCCAAAAAATTCTTGGCACTTCTTAGGAACTCAATATTTTCACAGGCTTTCATTTCATCGTACAAGCTATTCAAATTCACACTAGAGGCGTGCCTCGCGGAAGTAAAGTTTCGGAGACATTTTCTCTCCAACTGACTCTGCAGAGGCCATTCTTTCGGTCCGAGGTTTAAGGAACTTTCGCCGGGCAAATTCAACTGCAACAAATACGATTTTCTTGTCTCGAAAATGTCCCAAAAAAGTTCTGTTTCCGTATATTACCTGCACGACAAATGTGTCCCCTTCCGCGACACCGATATCAATATTAAAGAATGGCATGGCTTTCCTTTGAAAGAGAAACGAGAACAAATTGGTAACATCCCATTGGTCCCACGGCGATGACGCGATTGTATTTATCACTGCAAAAATTACGTCAACTAGGTACATGCTAAATAAATAATTCTAATTTCTCACTGGACCACATCCTATCGACGTATCTGTAATCTCTGGAAAAACTGACGCAATTATCAAAAAACCCCTTGAAGTGCTGTAAAAATTTCTCCTCAAATTTCGGTTTGCTGTACAAGAGGCCCAAAAGCGTATCAGTTTTTTCGTTGTCGATCCGGTTTTCCGTTTTTAATCCCCCGCAAGCGAAATCGTAGAAATTTTCACAGGGATCGACCTTGTGGTCTATGAGATTTAACATGGTCGACGCCTTCAGTTTGCAGAACGGAGTAGCACATTCTTCTTTCGAGTTTTCCGTTCCTCTACATTGTAGTGCAGCGACTGGGTCGATTCCTGGCAGTTATATATATTATCTAGCTTACTTTTACCCCGAAATTATTCACGAAAACGGATTTTGTGCAAAAGCTCAATTATTTGAAGAATTATTTAAAAAAAATCAAAAACTAAATTGCAAGTTTGACACCCTGTATCTCGGTTAATATAAACGTTTGAACTAAGGTACGTTTTGTAAAGTCCTAATATTTATCTACAAAATCTCTCGATACCCGTTAAAATGATTCACTGCCACGATTTAATAGAGACAGTTAACTAAGAAATACATTAGTTGTTAATAATAAGAATTGAATAAGATATATTTCGCGTTCTATAAAAATAGAACCATGGAAATTTTAAGAGTCACATTAGATATGGAGAACTACCGTATATAAGTTGCGGAGCCTTGAAAAAGTAGGTATAGTCCAAAAGCGTGTAATCAAAGTAATTCTCAGTCTAGAAACTAGACAATCTTGCAGAGTACGGTTTAAAGAATTTAAAATCCTAAGATAGACTGCTCTCTTCCTGCAGGAATGAGCGAACGATTATTTATTAGTGATAATTACCTTTATTACCAGTGTATAAAGAAGACGGCTTCTACAGAAGTGTTAAAATTTTAAAGAAAGAAGTTTTTATATTCTGATCATGATGGAACTACGAAAAGGTTTCATACCAAATAACATAAATTGTAATATTGTTATTTTTACATTATTTAATGTATTTAAATATACTTTAAATAAATATATATTATTTTTATAAAAATGTATAACATACTTACTAAATTTAGTGGACGGAGTTGTTTTCTGAATTTCAGATTCGTTGTTCATATGGAATATGGAATGATCAATGGTGGAGTGTGTGCTAGAATTGATCTCACCCCTACTATCGGTGATAAAATTTTGATAGACTTTCCTGGTAGTCGAGTCTATTGCTTTCTCGGTGACAGCTTCGGTAGTATCTATTTTAACAGCACCGTTTTCAAAAAAACTGTGGATCGTTGTTGGCACTGCATCAATGACCGCTGTCGATAGCGTGCTCGAGGTTTCCTTTACGGTATACACGCTCGCTTTAGCAGTGAAATATAGCGATGCTAACGTGCTTCGCTCTTCAGAGTCGTCAGTTATTGTTTGTTCATTTATTTGGTTAACTGTCTCAAAGTTTTTGCTTTCTTCGAATAGTATAAGCGTGCTGAATTCGGAACCAGGCGCTGTTGTCCATATGCCTGTATCGTTCTCCTCGCTTATTAATTCAAGTTGATCACTAGTTTCTGTTGTTTCGTGTTGCACAGTTGAATTAAATGCATTATCGTCAATTAGCTTTTTTACCGCCAGAGTACTTGATGGCGTTTCCGTTGTGCTCTCAGTAGTGGGATCTTTATCTACTTTTACATCGCTTGGAAATGTGAAATCTCGCATGGCGGTTATTTCATTTTCGAATTGATCTTCCAGTTGCATCGTATCCTCATAACTTGTCGTTTCTGACGAATAAGCGTAATCTTCTGAACTACCTTGCACTGTTTTGGTACTATATGGAACTGATTTTGTAGGTTCGCTATCTTCGATGGCGATTATTTCGAAGTAATGCTTAACAGATTCTTTGTGTTTAGTTGAATTCTTAAAAATGTCCGTTTCACTATTCGGTGTTGTCTCGCTTGGCAGCAGATCACTTTGCTCGAGTGGCTCGTTGCTGCAAATTTTGGAAAGTGAATGCATAGTGAAATCGGTATGCTAAGCCAGTACCTTTGAAACGATTCTGTGGAAGTCGTTTTCTCGATATTTTGAGAAGTTCCTTCATTTTTGAAGGCTTCCAGCTCCTTCTGACGACTATCGTTCCTATTATTTTCGACCTAAAGAAATGATTTGAGCAAAGTAAATTTTATTATTATTTAATTATTTTGCAACAGTTTTTTTTAATGAAAATCTGAAAAAGTTAAAATGAGGAAATTGTTATTTATTCTGTCCTGTGAACTATTTAAGTTAAATTAATTGATTGATCGGTTGTCAATTTTTCGGTTATTTTTTCTCACTTATTTATATATGCGGAAGGATATGTAAAAAATATTATATTATATACATAAGAATGGAAATTGATTCTTACGTAGTTTTAGAGCTTAAGTTTGAAAAACTTGGGGCTTCCACTTATCTTCTATTGTTTTATTTGCATTATTTGATTTTAAATTCATATAAATAATTTATAAAATAATTACGAAAGTCTATATATAATATATTTTGAGTTTATTTTCTTAATATAACATTTCGTGTGATTTTCTACGTGAATTTTGACAATCAATTTATTCTTTGTAGGTTTTTGATTGTAAAAATAATTCGATAAATGAGTTTTTATAAATAAAAATCTATGTTGTTTAATTTTGGGAATATTTGGATATTTTTTTCGCAAAAAAGTGTCTACTTACTGCTGGGGGCGCATAGTCTTTTTTTCTAGGGAAGCATAACATCATCAAATATATCAACACGCACACAATCAAAAACACAAGCATAGAGCAAACGAAAGACTTAAACGAACGGTCCTTAGAAGGACTATTGTAGTAGCCTTCGTTAACAATGTACGAACCGCGAGACATTTTTAACTACGAATAAATAAAATGAGCTTTAAACGCCACTGAAATGGGGTAAATGAAAAACCAGAGGCGTAATCGACAATATTTTTTTATTTTATTTAACGCCCATACGAAGTCAGCCACAACGCAAGATATTTCCAAAATCTGGACACGGTCCTGATTAAAGTACCGAAAGAAGGAAATTTAATTAGCGTTATCTGGCCACAGTTTTATCGGCAATTTTAAGGTTTTTTGTTAACGGAATTTCCGTCTGCTGTGAAACCGGCAATGCATTTTTTTTTAACATTTGGTAAGTGCCACATGGGCCCTATTGCGATATACGTAGCATGTTCTGGAAATTTTTACACAAAAACAAAATAATAAATGTATGTTTATTCTTTACAAAAAATAAGTAAAATTTTACAAAAAAACTTTAAAATTATTTAGTGGTTTAATTTATGTAATTTCGGGGTTTTAAGTCAGGATGTTTTGTCATAATCGAGAGAAATGCCACAATCGTATAAATTGAATTATATATATTTTTTCTTTTATTCTTCAAAAAGTATGTCGCTCGAGTAGGGTGTATTCTTTTCATCAATTGTTTCTAATGATCCATTTTTAAACTACTTCCATAGAATTCATACGACAATCGTTTATTGCTCACGAACCATCTAGTCCATTGCTAAGCTGTGATACAACCAGCGAAAAATAAAGTACTATTAGTTGAGAAATTCTTTTAAACATCTGAATTTGGATATTAAGCTACGAATTTTTCTACTTACTTCATCTCATTTATGGCGAACCCGAGTTATACTTAACCTAATAGATGCAGATTGTGGTATAATAATATTTTTATTGATATTTATACTTATCTTTCGGGCACCCATAGTTGGTAGCCCTGATGTATTTGAAGTATTTGTGTTACCGTTTATTTAAAAAGACAAAATAAAAAACAAATGTTAAGTTGGTAGTTTAGTTACCATTATAGTTTATGTTCTTACGTTGTCAATAGTAACCAAGTTGTAAAAAAAAGATGGCCGAGATGCATTTTTGATAAAGAATAGGATAATGCCCATAGTGGTTCAATTAGAGAAGACAATTTTTGGTAATACATTTTTTAATAAATTTCTTTCGGTTTATCTCTTGTTAATTAGTTTCCGAAAAGCGTTTCTGCTGTTTTTACTTAAAAACTGAAGCTTTAACATTTCTTTAAAATAATTTAAACTTTTATTTTGAGCCTCTTTTCAATAAAAACGCGCATCAAACATGTATAACATTTTCATAATGAATAAAAGAGTAGAAGTGACGATAAAATCAAACTTTAACATTATTCAATTTAATCGGGAGTGCCCTCTTGCCACCCATAGTTCCACTTTCAATTTTTAAAATCTGCGGAATGTGTGAACCTTACCAATAACTTTAGTGCGCCTACTGGAGGAGAGATGACGCTCCGAAAAAACCATGTTTCGTCGATGTGTATTATTTGTGATATTTAGCATCGCTTTTCGGTCATCCCTTTTATTTATTCTTCGTCTTCTTTCCTTTCCTTCTTTCCAAGGCTTTGTCTAGTATCCATTAAAATTTAAATATAGTGTTGTATCTAAGTTTTTTTCCTTTCTTCAGAGCTATGTGTCTTCCAGAAAATAATTTCCTATTTCTTTTCTTGTTCGTCCCTCTTATCCATCTTAGTTTCCAGGTAGTTGCATTCCTCACATGCCGTCACCGTAACTATGGGGCCTCGTCAAGCAAGAGACGGGGAAGGGGAAGGGACCACTAAAAAAAAATGGGTACAGCTGGCTCCGGCTGATAGCACCCTGTAAGGGCCCCTTGTCCAGGGTTGCAGACAAAGACCACAACGGCGGGGAAAGTGGAGAACAAGAGCTCCAGTATGGCGGAAGCGGCAGACAAGTTTTCAGGCTTAATGTAAAAGCAACTACTGCCTTGTGGTTTGATCTTGGCCCATCAAAGGCTAGTTGAAGAAAACCTCGAAAAAAAAATATTGGCCCTCCAGGTTGTTGGAATGTTCAAGGATTCCGAGGGACTAATATTTTAATAAATTAATTGCCAGAATCTAATAATAAAAATTATATTAATAATTTTTTTTTATTCATATTCAAGTAATAAAATTCCGAATTTTTAAATAAGAATTTCTCACGAATGTGGGGAGCAACAATCTTCATCATTGAAAATGTTAGTTAGTTAGTTAGTAGGAACAGTAAGAACAACAAAGCATTTATAAAAAATTTATAAAAACTGGACCGTGTTTTTGTGGACATATTTTGGTTTAGTGGCGTTTTTACAGAAACCATTTGCTTAGACTAATAAGCCTGCCTCTATAACCCCTAATTACACAGACTAGAACGTTGTATCTACCGCTCGTTAACTGACAATAAATTAACCTAGACCGCCGCCCGCTAGTGAGGCTAGTGCCGCCGAAGGAACGCCCAGCTGTGGCGTTTTCCTGACATTCGCCGCCGGCGGAATGTGTTCTCCCGCAGGCTGGAAGCCGTTTTCGTCCGCCGTATACGAAACGGTATATTCTTTCCCGTCTGGACCTATATAAGAGTAACTCCCTTGTACGGCCAACGCTTCGTTATCTGTGCCCGCATTCCTCACTACTCCGATTTCATCCTTGTGGATGCCGTCGCTTGTGTCGAATCTGAAGGAAAAAGGATAGTTAAACGCTTTTCGTGTCGGCAATTTGAAATCCTGAGCTCAAACTTCACCCACAGCTATGTGACAGAGAAGTACAGAATACACTATGGCCAGAAATTGAATCTCAAGGTAGCATTTTGAAGCTCTACCTTATCTGAGTTACAATCCGAGAAATCAAAAGTTACATACTAAAATTGTAGTGCTCGTAACGGCCTAAAAAATCGTTTTCGGAAGATTACTGTATACTATTCTGGATTCCTCTTGCGTCGGTTTTTGCTGAATCGAAATCGCTGACGTATCGCCAATCATCCTGTTGGCTTCGTCAGAGCTTGACTGAAACTGGCTCGTATTTTACTATGTACCAGCTTATATATTGTTTGAGGGGGGCGCCAATGAAGGGTATAAACATTATCTCGGATGACTGATTCCCAAATTGGCGACAGGTAGAAACCTGAGTCGCGGTTAAGATTGTTAGGTTGTCATAGATTTCTATAGACTCTCGGATTTTTCGTTGGTGGAAGAATTGATTACATGCAAAAATTTTATTTTTATCGAATAAAATTTTGTGTTCGGCAACTGCTCGTGAGTTTATTTGTTTTAGTCTTAAGACTCTTTCATGTTCTTTGAGCCTAGTTGATATTTATCATCCGGTCCCTCAGATGTATTGTTTGCAGCATATGCATGGAATGGTGTAAATTCTTTGACCGATCGAAGATGTTGAGAGATTTCTGGTCAAGTGGTAAATCTGGTTTTGATGTTATATTTCTTTAGAACTTTTAATATGTGGTCAGTTATGTTTTGAATGTAAGGAAAGGCAACAGTGGCAAGTGTGAGATTGCTTTCGAGCTCACTGCTATTGGAAGTTTGTGGTGGAGTGTATTTTTTGTTGGAACGCTTAATATATTTAATCTACTTGACGTGTTAGTCTGATTCTGCAAAGCTGATTCGCCTATTCTATATCCTAAATCCAATGGGCTTATTTTTATTGGACAAAGATTTTCGTCAAATGAAGAGACAATCGTCTTCGTCAACAATTATGAGAACTGTGTAGAAGTTACAAATGGACTATGTAGAAAAGTTTTTAAAAAATGAGAAAAAAGGAAACTGAAAAATAAAACAGATTAATTATTTGAGAATTCTATGATAAATATATTGTCAGACCAATGCAATGAATGACAAGACACGCAATAGACAATTTATACTCATGCCTGATTTTACAGTCACAAGTTTAGCAGAAACGCTTCGCACAAGTGGGCGGCAAATTAAGGGAACGAAGAATTTAAGAATGCAGACTGTCTGACTTTTTTAAATTTCCTTTAAAAATGGAAATATATGGTAATGCTAAACTTGCGAATAAAAATCAGCCATGAGTGTAAATAGTAACAATGTATTTGCAATAGAATATTTAATTAAACTACTTACCACATATTATTACAATTTTCACTAATTTTGAAAAACTCCACCAAGGGCAAGTAAAATATTTTTTGTAATGTGTAATTAATAAATATGATTTGTTACGTATTTGAATTACAAAAACAAAATAATTAAATTATCTACCGCATCTGACTCATATCATTGGAGCAGTTAGGCTGTGAAAGTATCTGATCAGTATATTTTTTTAAGCTGGCAGTGGGGAATAGAAATAATAAATAATTTGTTTGCCTAGCTCTGTCAATTTAGCGTCTACCGCTAAATTTCTTTTTAAAAAAATGTTTTTTGGATCATTGAAGTTTCAAATGATAACCCTCTTGCAATATCACATTGATTAGATTTCCAAGGATGGTTTAACAGGTATATCAGGACCAAAAATATATATTTTTTTCATCAAAATTTTGGCATAATTTATTTTTTCGTTGGCAATGGTCAAAATACTATTCTCTCTATATCCTTTTATTTAAAGATTCTGGACCATATTTGGGTATCATGTTCGCTGATTCTTTTAATTTTTAAACGGTTTCATTTTACTTGTAGATATTTCCGCTTATTTTTGATTGGTTTTGCACATAACCCTTTTACATTTTTACATCTTTATCCATATGACAACAAACTGTAAAATAAATCACAGAAGTTTTCACTTTCAGGCACCATATATAAAAACTTATTCAAGACAATAATATTCATAAAGAAATTAAAATCTTATTACCCCAAAATATAAAAAAAATCAACATTAACCTTATTAAAAATTTTTATTTTTATGTTATTACTCACCATGCTATTAATATACTAGCTCATTTAGTACCTATAGGAGCGCTTGCTCTTCTATTACCATTCTTAGTAATTGTTGATATATAATTATATTATCAATTAATATTTTAATTATTACTCAAATTTTATTACTAATTTTAGAATCTGCAGATTGGCAAAATTGATAACGAGTCGAACATTCGATGCGGCTAGATTTTCCCGAAAATCGAATTGCCAAAATTTCAATTAACTTATTTGGTGGTGCCAGCAAGTATTATTTATCATTTTCCTCGCATCGAGTCTTTAACCTACAATCCTCAATTTGATTATTTACAAAAACAACCGCCAACCCGACCGTTTTGATTCACACATGAAAGTAAAGAAAGTACGTTCGCGTGTTATAAATGATTAGCTATCAAACGTCAGTCGAAACATTAGCCATTAACGAACGAAAGCCGTAATTACCGAAACGTTTCGTATCCTGCCATGTGAATTTTCCGTTTGCTCCGGTCTTAATTTCAATTTCTTCTAAACGAAGGTCCACAATGTTAATTTGTTCAAAGCTACTGAGTATAGTGTGTCTCGAAGTATATCGTTTTGACAAACTATGATCCTTGCCGAATATCGCAAGCTTTTTTTATTTATATTTAAAATTAGCACCTGCCGAATTGAGAATGTTTGTACAGCATATTATTGATTCTAAAAATCATTGGAATCCAATCAGTATATACACTGAAAAGTGGTCTATATAACATTAGAAATAGGGGAGAGTGGAGTACGACGCCCAAAAGCTTCGCCAAAATTTGGGTAAATTTAGTTAAAGTTAGTCAACAATAAATCAACCTAATGGTTAAGAAAGCCACAAAAAATAATAAAAAACTTAAGTGGGCAGCCTTGCCCCACCCTCCCCTACTAATAAAAATTGGGATGACACTGAACCAGTTAAACTAAATGCAGAAATATCAGCATATGTAGCAAAGGGCAAAAAATGTACAAATAATCAAAATTTATAATTATAATAACGAAAAACTAATTTTTGGTTAAATTTTGAGGTGGGAGTATTTGGCCCAGGGGGCCGCCTTGCCCCACCCGCCCCTAACTAACGTGATTTTATTATACCTAATTAAATAATAATTTAATATATAATTTTTATATTGTTGAGGCATTAATTTTTGAAATGGATAATTGTTGACGTGCTTTATAGAAAAGAAAAAACAATTGGGAAATTTTGGATAACCAGTTACGAAATTACGCTTCACGAAAATTGGGGGTCTTCGCTAATTGCGCAGTGCCTACCGTCCATTTATCGACTAAAATGGTATTAAGAAGCTCCGTGGGCGGAGATCTTCGGATAAGTGCATAATTATTACGCAAAAGGTCAGGGGGATCCACTTAATATTGTCGTAAAAACTACTTCTACCAACTTTGACCTATCCAAGAGATGCAACACGTAACGTTAATCGGAATTTATCGAGGTCAATCATCGCCGCGGCCATCCGAAATTCCGGGAATGGAACAATGGAGAACGATAAATCATTTTTTAAACTAATTAGAACAGCTGTTCTTAGTTTACTTTACTCTTCTTTATTAATCAAGGAAAACAAAATAACATGCAATCATTAGTTACTTTCGTACTCTTTGTAATGTAAAATGTGTCGCATAATCGTTAAAATGGTACAAAAAATCTGAACAGACTCGCTTAATTGCATTATATTTGTAGAGCTTAGAATTAAAAAGTATTAATTAACCAATAATACTAAAAATTAAATTAAAGGAACAATGATGAAAATATAAAATGAAGTAAATGTATATCCAACATGATGTCCCCAACATTTTCTAATATTATCTCTCATTTTATGATTCAAAACAAAGCCTGGATGATCTGTATTGAGCATGAATGAAAGCTTATTCGAGCTTTGGCTCAACACTCGTATATTTTCAGAACTGTCATTGTATACTGGGGTTTTTAAAAGTCCCCATATTAAAATGTCGAGAGGCTTTAAATACGGGTTATTAGTCGGCTACTGAATTTTGCCATGTCTGTCTATGTAGTCAGTAACTGGATCGGTATTGTGGGGCGATGCCTCAACTTGTGGCCCAACCAAATTAAATCTAAACATCGATTATTTGGTGGGCCAGAATTGCACACCGCACAGGAACCGATCTTATTTTTTTTGAAATCAGAAAAAAAAATCTTAGAAGAAAATATATAGGGTGTTTGATTTAAAAATCAAAGCTTGCTACTGTTTCTCAACTTCATTATGCGTATGTGTTTTCTTTTCCAAATCTAAAAGAAAATATTGCAAAAATTATGCAACTTTTGTGATATGGGTTAGAAGTTTTGGATCCTATAAAATCGCCTGGGACAAGTACTACTGAAGTTAAAAATTATATAGTTAAAGAATTAAATAATCTCGATGATTTTTATATACTAAGATTAATTGAATTAAGGCCAAACCTTATAAGAGCAGTAATTGGATAGGAAGAAATACATGGTATGAAATTGTTATCGTATTATTTTACTTAAAAAATAAATTTTGCTTTCTGGTTTGCTTTCCACTCTGTAATTAATATGTGATTTTTTAATCTAGTTTATTTAATCATTTCATTATTTAATCGGTATAAACCATTTAATGTTCATACAATCATCAAACAAAGAAATTGCTAAGGCCTGCCATAGTATTTTTGCTGAGAAATAAGAAAAAATGAGAAAATGAATACTGACCAGCGTATTTTAAATCGTTTTCCAACGTATTGTTCGAGATGTGTTTAAATTTTTACTCACGAGTACGAGTAAGCCTCCGGCGGAAATTCTTCGTTGTCGTATTTTAAAATACGCGCTTGCTGGGGATTTTGCACGTGTGCGGGATCGGGTTGCGGTTTCTGCTCCAATTCCCGCTGCAGGAAACTCCTCAGCAAATCCTGCGTCGATTGAATTATACCGGAAAATTGTTGCCTGCCCGATTGCTGATTAAGTGGTTGCTGGAACTGCTGCCCTTGGAATTGCTGATTAGACAATGACTGTTGAGCCTGGAACTGCGGATTAAAAGGCTGTTGCGGGGTAACGGACTGTCGCCCTGAACTGGGTTGTTGATTTACGAAGTTCTGGGGCCTTTGGAACTGTGCCGAACCGAAATCCTGCTGGGACGGTCGGAACTGCCTCTGCGGCGGGTTCTGGAACTGTTGCCGGACGGGCTGCGTGTTAAAAAACTGACCGGTCGGCTGTCGTTGGTGCTGGAAAAGCTGGGGTTGCGACGACGACAGCCCGACGAGGGCGCAAACTAGCAAGATCTGCAAGGGCCGACTCTTAAGTCCGTTTAATTAATTTATTATTAAATTTATGTTGAGAGCCGACTTAGTTGTTAAAATTGCGTAAATTTTAAATGTTAGTTTGGCCAACATCACAAATGATAATTAATCAATTCTATAACCTCAATCTGATTTAATAGTTAAACGACCTTTACCGCCCCGAAGATGAATCTTCCATTTATAACACAGACCGACGCGTTTGTGCAATAATTTTGATAAATTCCTTCTGCCGCTATGAGGCAATTTGTTTATATCCTCGACGAATATGTGTTATGTGCCAATTCGTATTAATTTCTAAAATGTTTTATACGTGTTCGGCTCAAACGAACAATTATCTTATTAAAATGTCAATCTGTGCGTTGCTACAACAAATGCTTACGAATTGTAGTACAAGTGATGTTCTGTTTGGGAACGTGTTGAAAGTGCGGTTTCATATTTTTTACAATAAGTACTAACGATTTCTAAATGTGGATGGAATACGATTATATATCTGGCGAGTGAAAAGTACGGGAAATATTTATATACGATTTAAATTAAACCTATTTTTTTAAGGATTTTGCTCATTGGCAGTTGTGTCGAGTTCTAGTTAGTATTTGATTTGTTTTGGGAAAAATGCTAAAATTAAATGCGCCGAATATTTGAAATTTTCATAGTTTTTTCATTCTTAGACATCAAAGTTTCTATGTATACGCATTTTTGAAATACCGTGACATATTTTTTTCATAGACATTTAAGTTTCTATATAAAATAAAAAGTGGTGTACCAGACGAAAATTAACCTACTTTCTTAAACCAAATTTGTTTTCAAAAAAACTTGAACAAGCTACTATAATACTTCAGTGGAGCTCTGAAGAAGCCAACAAGATGAATGGCAAAACGTTTCGTAAATAGTATTAAATGGTTTCGATTATAAAAGGGCAAGTCTAAAGAAAATTCTAAAAAATATTTTTTTCAAATGCGGATCTTCCCCGTGGAATTGACCTGACTTTTTTAAATACCGCGGTATGCATTTTTCCTCGTGTATAAAGAAACGAATGTTTCAAGATATATATTTAAACATCTTTTAACATACTCAATCAAACTCGTAACTGAAAGGACGTTTATCAATCTAATTGCAAAATATTATTTTGATAAATTAACGGTTTGTTACTTGCGCTGAAAACTTAGTTTGGTTTTTGATTTAATTAAATATCCCAACATTTTGTTAGACATTGTCTTAAAGAGAAAAGAAACTTGATAAATATTTTTGTAATTTATTTCAAACGCGTACCAGTGGTTTATTTTAGAGAAATATCTTTTTATGTTATTTAGTAATTTGTTTATTTTGTTTTTTATTAGTTAATTTCTCGAAAAATAAAAAAAAATGTAAAAGGTCCATTATACTGAAACACGAAAGAGGTTCAGGTTCGCTATTGGTACGTTATTTTCCCAGTGTAATCTAAACTGCAATGAGAATGCAGTCAGTATTGATTTTTGAGGCAAATTTTATTTAGGGACAGACCGGTAGTTAAAGGGGATAACATTATTTTTTATACACGTTAAAACTAAAAAGCCAAATAATTGTGATAAGAGAAAGTTTTATATTATTTCTCAATATTTCTTCTTGTTTCGGGTTTTTGAGGGTAAAGCGTTCACTAGGGGGTACTTTGTGCAATCAACTATCCTTTGAACTAAGTAATTGTGATATATTTTGAATGTTTTAAAATTAATACACTATTTTAAAATCGAAAATTTTCTGTTGAATATGGGGTGCAAAAATGTACTAATCAAACTAAACAAAAAAAGTTTATTTCTTATGTAAGTAAAGCATTTACACCTTCTGCATATCACTTACTTCTGATAATTAATTTTAATAATATTAACAACTACTGCTTATTGTTAAATTAATTTTTTCGTTTATACCGCATATTATCTGTCGATTTATTTTATTTTTTTAATTTTTCCCTTTATTTAAGAAATAAAAAATATTGGTTATGTGCACACTTTTATGTAAATATGTATCTTTGTTTAAAGAATATTCTTGCAAAAATATGTACTGCTATTTTTTAACCGATATATTTTACTATACCGTATTTTTTTTTAATTATTTTGAATTTCTAAGTAAAATTGTTATTATAACATCATAACACTTTCCTAATTTATTTATTTTGGGTTTCATTATTTAGTATTGTTATTTTTGTATTTATTATTTTTATTATTATTTTTTTGTAGATTTTTAATTATTTAAGATTTATAATTAATTATGTGAAATTTTTATAATTTTTTTACAAATTTTTAATTATGATTTTATTAAATATTAATTATCAAATGATATGTAAATGATTGCAATCAGAATTATATCGGTAAACAAAATTATTACACAACGCCCTATTCAAGAGTCCCCATTACTAGTTATCGTTTTCTGTTATAAAATTTGCCTCACTTCAAACTGCGTTCCAGTTTAGATCGAGTTCACTGCATTATCCTAATCCGCGTGTAAACCCGCGAACTTTACTCTCGGCAAAATTAATCACCACTCACCGCTCTCATTGAGATGTTGTATAAACACGCAAACAAGACGAGCAGTGCCGCTTGATGATCTTTCTTATATAAGCAACACTTTCAACGACGTCCCCCAAAATCGCCAGAAGATGGTACCCACCTGACTTCTGAGGTTAAAACGGTAACACAGAATCGAGAATAAATATCAACGACTCTCGGAAGGTCAGCGGTTGTTTACTTAATGAGCTAGAAAAGTATCGAACCCCGTGAATATTCCGATTCGGTTTGAAAATACAACGGTTTCTCTTGTTTTACGCAAACCCGCGAGTTTTACTTTTCGATATTCGGCTTTCCTGGATAGAAATCAGCGACCAATGGAATTTGGTCGAATTCGTGGCAGAAATTATTTGGAGGTCCTTCATATTTTACACCAGAATTCCTCTTGGGTTTATCCGAAATCACTTTCTCAGGAAATTGAAAACCCTTTCCAAATATAAGCAAAATAAGTTCTCCAAAACACAAGATTCTATTTTTTAAGGAATTTTCTAGTTTTTAGTCAGTTTTTATTATGTTATCTTCTCACTTTAGGGTGGCTCGTGGATAGAGAATAGATTTACAAAGTTCAAAAATCAATATTCAAATAACGGCAAAAATAAAAAATAGCTATAGTAATTATTACACCCATCTTTATACAATCTGTATTTTTCCTCAGAAAATTATGGTGCTAAAAAGTGAGGTTAGGAAATAGAGAACATTCGTACAGTGTAATTTAAAGAACTTTAAATTAATAACTCTTTCTAGCGCCAGAAAACTTTGACTTTAACTTGAACTTAAATTTTAACTACTTTAATTTCTATTAAAATTGCTTAGGGCCATAGATATATAATTATTGTGACATGTGATCCAAATTAATGCGTTCGGTCTGTTGGTGAACTTGGCTTCCGAATTTTTACGCTCTTCTTGGTGTTTTGGTTAGTTTTTGTTACTATTTTGTCTTGAAGGAGCTGGTAAAGCTAGATGTTGATGATTATTGATTAATGATTTCAGTTTACCAGCTGGCTAAACGTTAATGACGAAAATATCTTCATCCATACAATACACAATTTATGTATTCAGGAGCGTAGGTAAAAATTCGAAAATCGATGAAATAGAATTTTTCGAAAGCATCTACGCTAGTATAAAAATTTTATATCTCGGTAACGGTAGATCCTATAGGATCGCCGTTAGCACAGAAATGATCACTGTCGAAAAAAAAAATAATTTTGTCTGTCGGTTCTCCGTTCTCTCTTCTCGTCTTTTGGTTTTTCCTGAAAAACTTTCGAACCGTTGGAGCTACAAAATTCAAATTTGTTTCCTTTTTAACCCTTCTCATAAGAAATGATACTGATCCGAAGCCGATATTCATCTTTTTTTCGCGATTTTCGACTGTTTTTTGAAGTGTCCCAAATTTGAAGCAATCGACTTCATCGACTTTGCCCCGTGACGGAACCATCATTTTTGAAAAACCGTTTACGAGACCAAAAAAAAATTCTTGAACCAGAAGACGCAGAAGATACGGCTCCATAAACTTTTATTCCTGACAATTTTTCAAAAATATGCAGGGTGGGCTGCAAATTCAAAAAAACTGAAAAATGGGTCCACCTGTTATTGAAAATTGGTTATAACTGAAAGACTATGATTCAGATCTTACTTTCTTTTATATTGCGATATAGCCCACCTATACAGCAAAAAATGCTGTTTTCAAAGCTTTCATCTATTGTACAGGGTGCAGTTGATTGAACAGAAGTTGATTATTTAATTGGTTGCAAAAGTTATGAGGAAATGGCAAATAATTTTTTTTAAGATTATTCGGATGCACAAATTAAAAATATTTTGAAGTATACAGAGTGGCTCAAAAAACCGTGGCGAATAAAACATATGTACTATCATTCAAATGCTTATGAGCAATTATAACAGTTCACAAAGATATTTTCGTAGGTAAATATTTAAGGAACATAAAGGAACTTCAAGGAACAATGATCTTTTTTATTTTATCTCATTTCATTTATGTTTTTAAAGTAAATTTTAATGGTGTGTCATATATTAGAACGTTTTAGTGATGTTTGATCTAAAGTAAACTAAATTTTCATTTAAAGTTCTAAAATCTTCCACCACGAAATAAAAAAAGATCCGTGTCCGAAAGCGAATGATAACTTTAAGTGATATTGGTCGAACAAAATTGTTCACTTTTACTTACTTGTCTAGTTATTAATTATAAATGCAAACCGTCGCTGACAAATCGACATTCCATCTGGCGACCAGTTTATTTATTCATAATTCCTTCCAAAATATTCCCGAATTTGCGATTATCATAAATTTTGGATTCTCTAAAAATGCGACCATATATTTGTCTAAAATTGCGCGGGACCCGTATGCCTTGACATTAAAATCAAATTTTGAATACCCGCATTCACCAGTGCTTACTTTGCGTAAAATTCGGAGAAGTGATTTTTTTTTGTTCCGAAGAGAGAGTTCGAAGAGAAATCAGTTGCGTACCATCAATGTGGTACGCCCGCCACTGGTGTAGCTAAATATTATATATCTAAAGTGGTATTACATATATTAAAAAAATATATTTTTAAATATTTTTCCACCCTGTATCTCAAAAGTTTAGAATATATGTTGGTATAAAGTTTTCTTTTTAAAATACACCCAAAAATCGGCCCCTTTATTTTTGACATTCAATTAGAATACACCCTATATTCACATTCGAACGTCGCAAGGCAATTTGTCGTGACGTCATATAGGCCTGCGGGTAAACTTTAATCAGCTTATTTTAATATAAACAATTTTTTCCATGAAAATTAATTATCCGCAGCTCGTTAAAAAAGGATTTTTGATATTTTCTTGTGTAAGGCATTTTTTAATATAAAAAAGTACGCCATAAGGAAACCAGATGGTATTCAATTTCACTTAAACCTGAAAAATCCTTGAAACGGCTGCTGAAAATGAGTGAAAATAAATAAATGAATGAAACATGAACAAGGGTTATTCTATTTTTGAAATATTTTAATTATACCAAAATTTTGCTCGAACGTTCCCTGCTTTAGTCAACGTGCAATTGCATACTAGGAATACAAACTGAGGCGAAGCTCACAACATGAGACATTCGAGGCATCCCAAAAACCAAAATTAATTTTTAAATGGACATTTGAAATGAATATGGACAACAAAAAAATGAAAATTTATTAGGTTAAATTTAAGCAATTAAAGAAATATCTCCGCATTATCTTAAAGTCAAAGATTTAAGTGAATGCAAGGGTTACTTTAATTTTCTTAGTTATATTTCATTTCATTTCACTCATCAAAAAATTGTTTTTCTTTAATATCTATTTTATTTGTGTGACTGTTGTCATAAATGGGTCTTCTCTTTGTTTATAAAGAAAAAGGATTAGAACTTAAGGTTTGAATCTTTATTTATAATAAATTCATTTGGCAGTCTTGTCGAATGTTCCAATTGAAATCTGAACGATAAAGGTGTAATATTTACAGTTGAATATCTGGCAGTCTTACTAAACTAAAATATAAATTATATAACATACATGAATAAAATTAAAAATAATGTACTACTAAAAGTAAAACACGCCATGATCAAGAAATTAAAATGGAGTCGAAACAGTATAAAATACTAAAATGGAGTATTACCAAACAGGACTTGGTAATACTTTACAAATGTCTTAAAAACAACCTTTTGCTACAACTACAAACTAAATAAATTTGGTCTTTAAAGTAATTTTAAAAAACATTGAAAGATTCGAGAAATTCTTTAAGGAATATAATAATTAAGAAATAATAAAAACTCTCCAGTAATAATAATATTAATAAGTCATATTTAGTATATTAATTTTATATTTATAAAGTCAAAGATTTCGTTTTTCATAATCATTACGAAACTAATTAAAACATACATTTTGTGAAGTTAAAACATTGAGAAAACTAATAAGAGATTATGCCAAAATAAATCCCAATTTTAAAACCAAATGCCTATTTTATTTATTATTTTTTTGCTTTATCACAATATTTGGTTTACTTAATCGACATCTGTTTATTTATGTGATATTTATGAAAAATTTTAAATACCTTTTGGATCTCTTTTAAAATTTTACCCTTATGTGATTTATCGCAATGGAAAATCTGGCAAAAATCACCATCGGAACCTTATAAGAGACATTATTTTGCGAAATATTATTAAATTTAGAAATAATGATAGTCCTTATTATATTATATATATATAATAGGTATTCGATTTTGCTATTTGTTTAAATTTAGGAATAAAAATTATGGAAAGCTGAGTTGATAAAATATTGATAATGAACGGTTCTATCTGCAGCTTTGAATAGCGATTTATTAAAGTGTATGGATACTTGTTTGACATAGTTTCTTGCTCCTAAAACTAAAATGTCTCACTCAATTTTTATTTTATTTTTATTACTCTGCCGATGTTTATTTGAAATATATTTCTCATTAAATATAAGTGAAAGAAGAAAGTAAAAGAAAACTTAAAAAATATTTTTTTGACCGACTGTAACCTTAAACACAGGGTATAAGAAATGTGATCCAAGATCAGGATCAGTGCGATAGTGCGATCGAAACGTCGGAGAGAAAATTTCAATGGGCGTTTGTAATTTCTTTCGACCGCGTATGTAACCCGGTACTATTTTTTTTATTCTTTTGCAATGTGACTCAAATTTTTAGAGGTCAATATTGCCGACAACGAGTTTGCAATCAAACCGCGTCAAGGTCAACGTTTTCGGTATCACATAGTCGACGAAAGCTACATGATCCGATTTGCGAAATCAATCAAGCACAATCGTGCGACTACGGCAATGAATAAACAGATTGCTTTAACCTAGACCACCCCCGGATAAGGACGCCAATGCGGCCGACGGTATGCCAAGTTGGTTAGTCCTTCTGTCATTCGGAACGGTGGCGTTTCTGTTGCTGCCGGACGGTTGGTTATTATTTCTGGGCGGTTGCATCCCGTTTTGAGTTCCCGTCGAAACGCCACCGGGAGGTCTAAATGCGTTACCGGCGGGGACTTGGAAGGTGTTTTGCCGGGAGGACGTGTCGTCGGTCACATAGAGCATACCGTTGGGAGCGATGTAGGAGTATCTTTGCACAGGATCGGCCTTGGGGGGGATGGCTCGGTGTTTCCAATAGCCGTCGCCCAAAAAGTTTCCTTGGGGATGTAAGAAATCGTCCTGGGCCAAGCTGCAATATAAAAAGTCGCTTTTGAATAACCACGTTGAAGATAAGAAAACCGGAAACTAATTCTAATAAACATAGCAGCATTATAATATATAATACTTCTATTGTAGACCTGTTATGTGCGGGTTAGTTTTGGTCAGTTGGTTAGTCAGTTAGTTCTCTCAAACTCATTTATCGGCACATAGTTCTCAGCAGAAAATTGAAATCAACATTGTGTGAGATGTTACTCGAATTATTATTTCCAAAATTTTTAATATTCTTGTTTTCGATGTTGGCCTTTGTTTCCCGGTTTCTGTGTATGCTTTTGCCTATGATTAAAAATAAAAAATGGGATTCGTTCACATTTGGATATATGAGAGCTTCAGATGGATTTTGACGGATTCGCCAATTATTGCAGAAACCACAGATTATTCTTAAATCTTAAAAAATGTCGTTATATTCTATTTACCAGAAAAAATGATTTTATAGATATATAATGATTGACAATAAACAGCTGAAAAGAGTGAAGAAAGTAAAAGACTTGGTAATTCTTTTTGACTCACAGCCTCATAACGAAACAATTGTCGAAAAATGTTTGAGAAATCTGGGCTTCATTTTGAAAACTACCAAACGGTTCAATAAGCATCAGTCAGTAATAATCGTGTATAAACAAAATAAGATCTGTACTAGAGTACTCATCCACAGTTTGGAATCCTATTTATAGTAAATTTAACATCAGAAGAGAAAGCATACAAAAAAAGTTTTTTAAGGACTTAAACTTTAGATACAAAAGAGATCGACACTTTTGCTCGTACGAAGAAAACTTAAAATTTTGCAATTGAAGTAGCTCGAAACTCGAAGAAGCTGTTTTAATGTTGCTTTTCTTTACAAAGTTGTAAATAACCTTGTGGTTTCTCCTTTTTGTATAAATTACTTGAGCTTCAACGCTAATCCATATCAGGTGCTGGGACTATTGAGCAATTTCGGTCGAATTTATATTAATTTAAGCCTTAGTTTATTTCAAATAAACGTATATAAAATTCTTTAGCTCGTAGTTACAATTTATTTAAATATAACCTTTGCTTTCATTGTAGACATAAGAAATATTTCTACTCCCGTCTGTAAAATACCTTAATACCCACCGATCTAGCGTGCGGGAAGCGTCGTTTTACCACGTCAGTTTCGTTTCCCATGAATGCGACCCACTTCGGAGATTTCCGGGATTCTACCGCACGAATTTGGGACCGATCGGATATTTTCGGAGATCTGAATTTTGACGTTTGTCAATTCTGACAGTCATGTCAGCGAATCTATTTGTGTTGTTTTGCGAAAATGTAAAAGAGTATAGTATGCAACACGTTCGGTAAACTTTTTAACTAACTCGTTTATTAAAAACTCGCTCCGCTCGTATCAAATAAACTCGTGAGTCAAATGCCGTTTACCGCACTTGTTGCATAATATACTCTTATTGCTCACTTTCCCGATATTGTTAAATAGTATAACCCTACATTGTGCCATTCTGTAATTGAGTAGCTGCGTCTGCCTGTTGAATGGAGTGTGAAATATATATAAACAAATACATACATAAATATAACTGTTTGTAATAAAATTTGCAGAACCTTTGAATTCGATTAATTTATGGAATAAGAACCAATAATTTCATCAGTTTTACCCAACTTAACTTTATTCAAAAATCGGTTGAATATTGAACTTTAATACAATGCTTAAGCTGTAATCGCCGCCATATCTCTACGGGAAAATAGATGTAGAACATATCAGTGTTCGTATGAAAGATCAAGAGATCTTTTTCTTACCAGTGCGTAATAGTATGTTATGCACCAAATGCGGTAAACGGCATTTGACTCACGAATTTATTTGGCACGAGCGGAGCGAGTTTTTAATAAACGAGTGATTTCAAAAGTTTACCAAACGTGTTGCATACTATACTTCTTCTACGACCGTTAGTTTTTGGGTACATTTTCGCAAAAAACACGAATACATTCACTGACATGACTGTCAGAATGGACAAACGTCAAAATTCAAAGCGTGGGAAATATCTCATGTGGAAAATAACACATTTTTTCTTACTCATTTTTTTTGCAGTATTTAGAAAATATACAGGATCGTTCCAAAAGTAGATGTCGATACCAAGTTATTTTGCTACTTTTACTATCTTTAATTTCTTGACAATATAATTAAAAATCCTTGCAAAACATAAAATTAAAATAAATATCCCCAGATGGTAAAATCTAGTGGAGTAATATCTAGAGATCTTGCAGGCCATTCTATGCTACCAATCCACTGTGCCGAGGCGAGCCGTATTTAAATATTCAACCACTTGTTAGGAAAAATGGGACGCAACATCATCCCCTTGAAACCAAATCTGTCTATCTGGCATTTCAAGCTGATGAATAACTGATAAAATTGTGTTCCGTTGGAAAAAAAAAAGCAAAGTCTCCACATTCTGAGACCAACAATAAAATAGTCCATATAAAAGGTCTTGAAATGCTTTGCTTAGTTTGTGGTTAGTTAGATACGGGGTGTTGAAGAAAAACGGCTTGCAATTTGCCCAAAGTAATTTTTCAATCATAGAGGGCCAATTTTTAAATACATAAAAATTGTGAAGCCCAGTGCCGTCACGGGAGGCTTCTTAACGAACAGTTTGTCAAAAAGATCTGAGCTAAACAATTTTTGTTATTTACTACACTCGAGCAAAAAATATTAATCATTGCTATTTTCATGAATTAAATCACAATAAACGGAGTTTGAATAAATATTTAAGAAAATGATGAAAATGACCGCCAGAAACTAAGCAAACTAAGCGTTTCCCGACCTATAGGAGCTTTTTTTTATAACAAATCTCCGGCAAAATCTTGCAGTTTCCTCATATTTGAAAAGTGACGTCTTCAAGTATAACAATATCGATTTCTCTGACTTTTTTATCAATTTGCGATCACGAACTTAATTCAAATTTAATTGCATTTAGCAAATTTTTAAAAGTGACTTTTTATCAGGGCTGCCTTTGTCAAAGAGAAGTTGTAGGGTTCGTAATATCGAATACCGAAGAAGAAACAAACGTGCATCGACATTCCGGTCTAATTACTATTTTCTTTGCTCTTGGCTGCATAACATAAATACTGAAAAATTATAATATCGCAATAGTAATAAATATGCATAAATAAGCTTTTACATAAAAATTCCGATTTTTAATTGCAATTAAGCGAATTCAGAGCGCGCCCATTAATTAGCGTAACATTTCAACGGACCTCTCGATTGTTACATTTGTTATTTAATTGAGTACGTGACATTGCCCAGTCATATCGCCAGCGCCCAGTTAGTAGTGAAAGCAACCGGAGGTCCTTTCTACGGAGCCCACCGCGACAAGCTTCCACTGAAAAAGGCTCAAAAGATCCATTCCTTATCTTATTCGTTCTCTGCCATTTCTGAGAATCTATTTTTTTAATGCCGAATGCAAAAAAACCTTAAGCTTTAGAAAAGATAACCAATAAATTCAATAACGACAGAGCTAAAGACCGAACATTCAGCAGGACTGATCGCTTAACAAGCTTTTTAGAAGTACTGACACTGACAACAAATGGGCTTATAAAACGCTTATTAAACAGTTTGGACCATGGACTATAGAAGCTCAGGAAGGACAGGAAAACAAAAGAAGATACTGAGTTCTTCTAACGGAACATTTAACTATATCATTAGAATTAACCATGTGAGAGAGAACCCTACATTCCTCCAGTAGCACCACCTCAAAAATTTCAGCATTTCAGCTACTAGACTATGATAGTTAATTCTAAACTCATCTGCATTGTAAACATTTATTTTTCTTTTAGAGCCTTTAATTTTTATCAACATATTTATTTACCATTCTCTTAAGAAACACCTGCTATGTATACTCACAGCTGCAAACCTTCACTGTTTAGACCTGGATTTATTTACGATCTCACATGATTCGTTAAAGAAGATACTGACCGATAGACTACTTGATCCACATTCTTTCGTAATCTTCTCTTGCTTTTACTTATTTAAAGTATACCACATAATAAATAAATAAATCGAAGCAAAAAATAAGATTGATTAAAAAGAACCGATCTAAGTTTTAGGATAGACACCCTAGAGAGGTGTATCCAGTTTTTCCACAAAGAAAGCATATCTTAAAAAAAACATTTCTTTTTTTTTTTTTAAACCACAGTCTACTGTAAATAGTGTAAAACTATTCACCACATTTCTGGAACTCTCCTCAAGCTTAACAACAAACGACGCAGTTTTGTAACTAGTAACTTTAAACAGGATAGTTCTAACTTCGTTATACGGAGAACATTTGAACAGTATGTGGAACAGAGTTTCATTTTCTGGGAGATTACATACTGCGCAAAGTTCACTATCGTCGAGTTTATATGAAAAACCTTTATACGTGACTTTTGTGAAGTGATACATTAGTCTAAACATAACTATTTCTATTAAAAAAAATAATTTTTTAAGTACATTTTTAGCAACATTATGATCCTTAAGTGTATATTAGGTATGAAATAGAAGTAGTGCGAATAGAAAAGAATAGAAACAGTGCGAATAGTGTTCATGTATAGAGGACAATTTTTAATGTTGGGTTGGTGAGATTCATTAGTAATTATAGTAGTAATATAGTTTTAAACACAACTTGTTGGTCTATTAACATATGCTAAATCGTATTATTGTTCAGCTTACAAATAGCGGAAAACTAAGTGCTTTATTAGTGCTTATTAAAACCATTGGACAAATCGCGAGCAATTATATTGAATAATTACCCATATCCAACATGTACATATCACGAATGGAACTTAGCGATTTTTAGGTTAGTTTAGTAAAGATATGCAATCCTACCATATTTAGGTGACTCGCTTTCACATTTGCGTAATCACTCTTCGAACAATCGCATTGATCCCTGCACGTACCTACTTTCTAAACATTTGAAAACGTGGTCCTTATTCGCCGATTATTACTTACTTGTATGAATAGTCCACGTGACCTGGGAGGTCGCAGTCGTACCCTTGAACGTATCCATCTGGATGATAGTGAGGGAGATAATAAAATCTCTGAAAGTATTGGTAGGGGAAACTCTCGCACAGTCCGATCAGCGTCAAAGTCACAATAATCTGGAAATTTTCGCATTTTTTTTGAGTATATTAAAATGCGCTGGTGTGGATGCAATTGATTTTTTTTAAGTGTTTACATAACGCGACAAACTTTTCAGTTAGCGCTGGTCTCTAATTCAAATGCAGTAAGAAATATGGGACTTCTACAAACCATACCGTAATTAGCTACTGTATGTAGTAATTAATATACATTATTAGTACGTATAGAAACAGATTACAATAACCCACCTTCATCGTAATCTCGATTATAAGAGTTTCACAGAAACATTGACAATAACCTAAATTAGAATATTTTTGCAATTACCCTTCGCTACTAACACTTAACAATTTTTTTTAATTATACACATGCATTTTTATATATTCTGGTAATTAGTTAGTAAACTGAGAAGAAACCAGGAAAACTGGATAACAGAAACCCTTACTGGCTTTATTGGACATTGGGTTTATAAATATAGTGTTTTTTGTGTTTTCTTCATAAGTTTGTACCTATACTTACATTGATTAATTTTCAATACTTAAACATGGATCGCCCAACTCTTTATGCCTTAGGTGGGGTAAGAAAAATACACTAACCTGAGGAGCTACTTTTTTTTAAGTAAATTGTCAATATGCTGAGTTCAATTCAGACGTATTATTAGCCTTGGAAATATAATCTGACCTAGAAGACCCGCTCAAGTTCTGTGTTATAGATTTTTATTTGTATAGGTGCAACAAACTTTTTTTCCTTTTGCAAAGTAGTCTTTTCTATATATATCTAGATTTCCATTTACCAGGATTTGGAACTCTCTCTCGCTAAGACCAGTACCAAATTATCGGCAAATGGAAGACATAGTGCCAGCAAAGTTGAATCTTTCAAATTAAGAACATAAATGGACTACAGCACAGCCGCAGGTCCCAACTGTGAACCCTGTGGAACCCCAAACCTATTGCTTTCTATTTCGCTTGACATATTGTTGTACTGCTGACTTTATAACATTATATATAATATAAAGTCAATGTTTACTTCAATAGATAATTAATATTCAAACGAAACATGTGCGCAAGTTTACGCCCCTGAATACGCATCGATAACTTCTGTTCCCGCTACCGATTAATTAATAACGCTTAACGTGCCATTACGTAATTAGCAGCAACTTGGTGTAATTAACGTCTCATTAAATTCGCCGCCTTCGATTTGCCATTGCAAAGCTTTTAAGGAAATTACAGTTTATGTATTTTGTCACATCTTAAGCAATTTTGTCTTATTCACGTTCGAAAGGTTATAAATCGAAGTTTAGCGGAATTATTTTTCCTTAGGCGACATGTGCCGTAATACGCATATAAAGTTAATAGAAAGGCGGAAAGCTCCAAGTTCAATATCTTGATGCGGGAGCCATTGCAAGTGGTTTGCGAAGTTCTTTTTTGCATTTTTTAATTACTTAGTTTCGTTTAGTTGAGGATTAAACAAAAAATAACAATTATAAAAAAGGGCAAATTAAACCCGTCAACATTTTTCTTTAATTAACCAAAAATTTTTTTTTTTTCATATAAAACCTAGTTGCATATAAACTGGACCAAGTAGAAATATTAAGACCATATCGCATTTCGAAACTGTTTCTCATTTATTGTAGCCAACCCTAACAAAACAAACAAAGATAATATGAAACTATGTGGTATCGACTACCAATCAACAATATTTGTGGCTTGTTATCAATTGGTTAGATTTGCCATTGAATGCATCCGCGTGTTTGTTTTATAATGGAATCGATTCTCTCTGGTATAACATCCACTAACATTTTACCATATTCTGGATGAAAATTATTCACAATTTCCTGAAGTTTCGGATTTAATTGAGGAATAATGATGACTACAGAAATTCGAACTGTTTTCCTCATTCGGAGCCATTGGAATCCCGACTAGTTAAAGGTCATTTTAATACAGAAATATTTAAATTCAAAAAATAATTGAATCTTTTCAATGGACGTCAGAGATAAAAAGAAGACGTTTTGACAATATGCATTTTCATACCATTACAGCTCAAGGACACAAGGAACTTTCATTTTGAGACAGTCTGTGTGATATTCTCATTCTCCTTCTGGCACTCAGATAATTCCGCTTCGTAAATCACTCACATAAATTTAAAACTTAGATTCGTCACTTGGTTAGTTTAGCATGTGACCATTTTACAACTATCTATTTTGCAGTGTTTTGTCCAGCAATCCTTTCCACGAACTATTTTTGCAAAGAATTAACTTTTGTTTTTGTATCTTGAAGAATATTACATCTCTAACCGATGATAAATTTGTAGAATAATAATCGTAATAACTTTGTCATTAACTTATCAGCATTAATTTATATTGCTTAGCATTATGTCAGATATAAGGAAGACATTAATTGTCAGTCACAGCACTCTTCGAAATTATATGAAGATTATTCCGTATTTTGGTAAATATTTCAAAAACAAGCGGTTTAAAATATAATATGTGTCATATAATTATTCCATTGTATGACGATAAAACACACAGAGTATTATATTAAAAACACCAGTTAGGCTAATAACTCAGAAAATTGTTAGTATTTTGTTTTACACGTCAATGTGCTGTCATCCTTGCATTTTGTTTCCTTATTTACAGTTCTCTTTACAAGAAAAACAATACCAATCTTATGATTATTTTTTGTACTATTTAAACAGTTTGAAATATGATTATTTCTTTGAGCTTTATCAGAGACATATATTCAAGGTTATATGTAATAAACGAGAAATCATTGACGTAGTTATTTAAAAAAAAATTAAGTAAAACTGAAACTTAACATTTTATATTTATATTACTTTTAGAAATTATTTTAAACAAGAACAATAACAAGGTGGTAGGTATAAAAATTAATTTTTGGTCATTGTTTCTCGATCACTTGACTTTTAAAAAAAATTGAATAGAGTGTTTTGCAATTTTAAATATTTATTTGCAAAATATATTTAAAAAAATTTAAGACAAGGTATTCTTTGATACACCTTTTTATAAAATTAATTAGAACACAAGAGTAAAGTCAATATTATAATATACTATATTTTGTTAAATACCTTTTACAAACAAATCGCATAAACATAAATTAAAAATTCTACAAAAAGTAAGTATTTAGCAAAGTATGAAAAACTAAGTATATAATAATAATAATAATAATAAAAGTGACTTTATTGTGTTGCACTAGAAAAACATTTCACAAAAGAAGTTACACTTTCTCATTTAACCCACAATTATCATACATAAATTACTTGCTAATTGTTAGATATGCCCGTGCAATATACAACTAGAACGCAATCAATGCAAAAATAAAGAAATATTTTTTATTTACATCAATTTATTTCTATTAAAAAAGCATGTAACAAAAGAAGAAGAAGTGGGTGGGGTGGCATGCACTCAAGGCACTTCGCATGCAGATATCAGTTCAATTGCCTGGACAGGTAAAATTTTAAGAGTAAGAGGAAACCTGTTATAAATAAATATATATTCTTTTAAAAATGTTGCAAAAAATGTTTTAATTAAACTTAGCACTTTTTCTATTCAAAATTTTAAATATAGATTTAAATAAACACCAGGCAGAGGTAAAATGGTGAAGTATTCCAATGCACAATTACATACTACAGAAAATGGTCTCTAGAGTAAAAAAGTAATAATTCAACGGTATTTACAATGGCTTATTAGGGAAATTATGTGTTACGGCTTCATTAAAATTATCATATCGCTTCTGATAATTACGAAACCTTATAGTCCGCTCTGATAAATTATAGGCTGGACAATAATGGGTTAAGTGGCCCTTCGGGACCGGAAATTTTAAGACGACAGGAGTGCTCATTTCTTTTCCAGGACCGATTCTAGAACTTATTGCTGCCATAAAATTGTATTAGAGACCACCGTTCTTTAATTTTTATCACGATTAGTTGCACTGGTTTTTAATGACACGGTACGTTGGTATCTTTGCAAAAAATCAAAATGTGTGATCGTTAATCTTACTTACGTTAAAAGCGGTCGACGATTTTGAAGCCGAAATTGCCAGCATGTTCACTTAAAATCGAACGGAACCTAACCGGTCACCACAACAACCGAACAATGGACGGACAAAATGTCGCGGTATAAAATCCAATTAGTTCCTAAGTCACCGCTTTCATTGGGAAATTTGAACATTCGACTAAATCGGATTGTTCCGCAGGTCCATTCTTATATACACGCCTTCAAGGATGTGAAAAAAAAAACGTCAATCGGATGACACTTCGCTTAACAGTAACTCCAAGACAAATAGTATGCTTTTTTAAAGTCTCTTTTCTTTTAAGCTTTGCATTTCATTCAAGGCTGCCGCACGGTTTATTTCACAGTTTAATTATATCGACCTGCGACGAGGTGGCATACGCAAAATGTAACGTTAAATATGATTTAAAGAGACTGGTTATGTGGAAATACGTTAATTATTAAGTTTGAGGTAAAATTGTTGGGTCCACTTTTGACGACAATTGCTTGAAACAGTGACAAGGTTTTTTATATAGGGTACCTTTTGCTATAGACAGTGAACTGCCCCTAAACTTTCATGGACTCGTAACAGAAAAAGGGGTCAAATTTTCCGGTAGAAAAAGACAGCTAGTAATGGGAATAAATTTTCGGTTGTGTACCGATTAGTGAATTTATTGAATTAATTAAGTAAGTATTAAGACATATTTTTCTTCGTTCCTATAACGGGTCCATTGGTTCTAGGCACTGGATTACGATGAGTTCCAAATGAAGCATTTTTAATGTAATTAAAAAAAAATTAATTATTATATATTTTTAAATAGATTTCCTTATTTTACTACTTAAATTTGTTAATATGTAATAAAATTCATTAATCTCCTGATAACGAGTTTGGTGATTTAATGTCATAATAACATCATAAATAATAACTTAGTTTCTCAAAGAAGTTTCCAAAGGCTATACTGTAATACTTTTTATAAAACTTCTGGATTCCTCCTGCGTCGATTCCAATAGCAATGAAACCGAAAGCAATCCGACACTTGCCACTCTTGTCCTTCCTTATATTCAAAACATCACTGACCACATATCAAAAAGTCTAACGAAATACAATGTCAGAACCACATTTACCACTTGCCCAAAAATCTCTCAATACCTTCGATCCGTCAAAGACAAAATTCCATTTCAGATGCCAGGAGTTTTGCAGCATTCCATGCATATGCGGCAAAGAATACATTGGAGAGACCGGATGAAAAATACCAACTAGGCTCAAAGAACATGAAAGAGCCTTAAGGCTAAGACAAATAAACTAATCAACAGTTGTCGAAAATTTAATTGACCGATTTTTTTTTCTAGGACCATCCGTTTTCCTAGTACAAATACCTCATTGTTGATTGAAAGAGTGAAATGATGTCACGAAATACCCCAACAGGTAGAAAAACTGTGAAATAAAATACAACAATCTCTTACTTGATTAAAAATTAAAAATATATTCAGCTTTTCACTTGAAAATCTCAATAGTAACACCAATGAAGTTATTTAAATTGCTAGTTGTCACCGTAGGTAGTTATTTCGTCTGCTCATCGCAGACACTGGTCGATTCCGTCGAATATAACGGATATTGTACCACAAATTTCTAAACCGCACTCACGGATACACTGTTTTTTGGATCATTGAAACGTTCCATTTAATTTTTCGTTTTTTTCCTTAAGCAACCAAAACTTCCCTTTCAAGTGTATTTGTTGTTTAAAATTTTTAAATAAATTCGCGGAACAAATATTAACATTAATACGATCCATCATTATAAAAATAAAAAAAATCTACATCCTCCTACCTGTACAGCATATCAAATTTTAGTCCTCTTTATTATATATGTTTGTTAATGCTCAATATTCAAGTGGGTTATTCTTAAGCTTATGTTCAGCATATTTTTTTCTAAAAGCAACACAAGTTCCTAATCTGAATCAAATTACGTCATATCTACCACCTAGAAGATGTACGGAGTAATTTCGCAGATATGTACCACTACCACTTTGTGACGCATTCGACCTGTGGAAGAAAGCAAAGAGATTCCGGATTATCCACAAAACGATCAACTCTGTAATTGATTGCCCACACCTGAGTCCTAAAATAGCCTTAGATGTCGAATTTGGCAAAACCCGTGGCACTCAAATCTTGAGTCAGAAATTTCACAAAAACCTACTTATAATTAACGTACGTATTCAGAATATTGAATATTGAAAGAACTCAGCAACTTGTGTGGAATCCGAAGCGAACAAATTTTTTAGCAGCCAAATGTTCATGCAAAATCGTATGTATGCTGGTCCCACTATTGCCCAAAGATACCTCAATCTCATGGTAAGTCACATGACGATTCTGCAAAATCAATTTCCGCACTGCATCAATGTTTTCTTGGACAACAACCGATTTTGGACGATCTTCACGAAATTCATCCTTAAGAAAACTACGAAGACGACTGAAGTCCGAAGACCATAACAGTAGTCCTAGATGGTGCTTTAACTCCAAAAGTCGAATGTGGAGTTACTCCACGTCTAAAGTTGTACAAAATTATTGCAGGAAAATGCTCCCGATTAATTTATCGCAAAAAAACAAATACCGCTCTTTCACCAAAACCTGAGTAAACCTAACCTCAAAATGTGAAACTTTCTTATAAAAACGTTAGTGGCCAGATGGCAGGACTAGTTTAAGAAAATTGACTTTAAAGGTGGCAAATCGATGCTAAGAGTGTACTGCGTTAATCATACGATCGAGAAAATTCCCAAAACTATCTGGGTCACATAATACGCGGAGAACGTTATCGCTTCCAAGGTCTTATCCTTAACGAAAACCTTAAGGTGGAAAAGAGGGATAGTTAGAAGAAAGATGTCCTGTACTGAACCTAGAACTGCAAACCTCTGCTACAAATAGGACCTTCTTGTGGAAATAAGGAATTCCGTGGCACTTAAGAAGAAGAAGAAGAAGGAAGCAGCCACTTTAAATATAAAGAATCGGAAAGCTCGCCGCAAACATAGAGACCTACCAGTCCTCCTTAACATTTCGGATTCATGCTGCCCTTGTCCGAACTTGCTGTTTTGTTACTAATTGTTATATTAAATGGTGAATTTCTTAATGTAACAGTTTATGTGATCTTACTGTGATTTACTATTGTGTGCATTTTAGTTTGTATGTAAAGGTTAATTATTCATTCATTAGTTAAAATTAGAAATAAATAAATCAGGAATCATTAGGTTGCTAAATGAACCCTTTGAACAATTTGTTAAAGCTGTCACTAGCCTCTCTTTATTATTATTATTTTAGACTTTATCTTAGCTTTAGAGAATAGTCTTATTTTTTCTTTAGGGTTATTAAATTGTAACTAAAGACTATATTTTTAGATCTTGTTAGTTTATGTAGATGTTGTTGTTTGTCCCAATTAATGGAAGGAAAATAAACAAATTTCATAAAAAAATAAAGATTTATTACGCGCTAACCACGGAACTACAATTTACATCGTACAATATACGATACCAAAAATAAAGACGGTTTTTGTTTAACAAAGTCGTAAACAGTAAAACACTAGCGCTAAATAACGACAGAAAAACAACGCCACTCGTTGCTGTATGCTGCGCATTGTTATTTCGTCCCTTTTTTAAACCACAAACATGGTAATTTGTCAAACAATCATATATCACACCGTTCGAAAAATCATACCAACTAGGAAATATTTATAGGCTATTCCGGAAAAGTGTGTACCATAAAATTATGGAAGATTTAGCAGACAAACAAACAAACAAAATTCTTACATATTGTTTAATAAAACCTAAGGGTACTTAATACAGTGTATATCTGCAAAATTCTTTCTTTTTCCTTTTCTGGCACGCTATTGTCAGTGGCCAAATCCTCTACTCCATAAAAACAAAGAATTTTGCAATTCAATCAATCCATTAGGTCCCTTTTGCAAGCTCCACGCCTTTCCAAAATAGAATTTAGGTAACAGGAATTTGAACACTATTTTAAATTTATTATACATCCTAACGTCTTAAAATATTTGGTTTACTCCTGACATTTGTACAATATCTTTAAACATACGAAGAGGTATGCCTTCTACAGCAAGTCGATCAGCCGTCTTAGTTCGGGATTGATCACGTCAGAGTACCCCGGCAGTTTACCGTTATCCGCCCTAACGATCACCGGATCCAATTGGGAAGCAGCCGCGGAAAATGGCTTCGACGTGGAATGGAACAAAATTTCCGGATGTGGGGTGGGGGTCGCTTCCGTACTCACCGGCGGTAAATATTCCGTCGTGGGTCTATTGGACACCCTAAAAGTGTCCAGAATATTCTCGCCGGACGAGTACTCGTTTTCCTTTTCGAACGGGGGCAGGTATTTCTGAGTTACCGGCCTCTGAGTCGTAAGGACGGTATCCAATATCCTCTCGCCGGATGTGTATTCGTTACTTTTTTGTTTCGGCGGTCGCGCAGGACCGGACACTTTACTGCCCTTGTTTATGTCTTGGTTCTCTGGTCTGTATCGACCGTCGTCGACGGGCTGACCTTTGACCCACGGTACGAACGGAGGTACCACGAAATGATCACCTTCCGGATGAAATCCGCTTTCGTCTGCGGTGTATTTGACCGTGTAAACTACGCCGTCCGGTCCCGTGTAACTAAAGCTGCCCTTCACGGACGCAACGTTCTGGGATTCATCGTGTATGGACGGTATTAGTTCTGCGCTTTCTTGTCTTTCGATGCCATCGCTAGTTTTGTAACTGCAAAGAAGTTGGTATTATTTATACAAGTCCCAATCTGTGCCTACGCATTCATTTCCAATTGATATGGTTGAAAACAGTTCTTCGGTATTCACTTGTTTTGTCTACGGGGTGACCCAATCAATGTGGCAATATTGAATAGAGAACCCTGACACTTGACAGTTGTTTTGCGAAAATGTACCCAAAAACTAACGGTCGTAGAAAAAGTATAGTATGCAACACGGTAAACTTTTTAACTCACTCGTTTATTAAAAAGTCGCTCCGTTGCGCTCCGCTCGTGTCAAATAAACTCGTGAGTCAAATACCGTTTACCGCACTTGTTGCATAAAATACTATAACCAGACGTAAAATTTGGGTAGAAGTTACGATTGCCAAATGTGTCTCAAAAATTCAATTCGAAAGTAAATCAGACATACATCCTGGTTAGTTTATCTTTTAGTTGAATCAGAGTAACCGTTCTTGCAGGATAAAAAAAGGCGGAATTTCCTGCATTCCTGATCGCCAGCGTCCAGCAATGGCTCACCGGTTGCCGACACATTCGATAGATATAATAAATTAGAACGATTAAAACTAAAATAACAATTCCGTCAACTAAAATTGCTTCTCGACAAATTCGATTGTCGTGACGCGACTTAATCAGCTCTCAGCATCGATTGTGCTGCGCAATCTGCGTGTCACCCGAGCCAAATTGAGTAATAAAGAAAATTGCTTTAATTATTATAATTTTATGATTTTGTTCTGATGTTTGAGTTGATTCATTCTTCTTTTGTTTGTTTCTTTTACAAAGATAGTTTTTTCAAAAAAACACAATTCTCTTTTATTTCAATTCGCTTTTACACAAATTAAAGTATATATGAACCCATATAATTAACAAAGGTATGCTTCAAGTGAATATGGTTCTAATCTCACTATTTCATTACCAGTTTTCTTAAAGTTGCTGATCTTAATGGATTTATAATAAGATGCTTTCTTAGTTAGTTAGTTAGGTTGAATAAAATTGGTTCCAGTATACTACCTAGTAATATCCCTAACCTATTTTCTAAAATTTCCGTTTTCAGCATTGCAATGCAGCTGCCGTATCTCTCAAATTTATATAACAAAATTTCATAGTCTAAGCAATCAAACGCCTTTCTCGATTCTAAAAATTGAGCTATGGCTTAGTTTTTTTCTCAAATTGTTTGAGAATCACATTAATTTCCAAATGGCAAAGTGGAAGGCGTAATGTGTAATCAATTGATGCATTTAAAAGTCCAATTTTGCAAAATGTTAATTGAAATTTCATTATAGATTAGGGCAAAAAAAAATGCTTACGAAATCCGTCAACTATGGATCTATTGAACTAGACAGAACCCACACAAGGTCGTCGGTCGTTTTGTCAATCGGGATTTCTGTTGATCTTGACACACCACAATTCCATTTAGAAACGCACAATACAAAGAGTCCAAACGTAATTACGTCGATATATATATTTAAATATTTCGTTTTATTGTAACGAAAGGGTTAACGGAAGTCGCTGGATATAAGTGACGTCAACGAATCGAGTCGAAAAACCCGCGGTCGACAATTTTTGCATATTATTATTAAATCGTTATAGCGAAAGGCAATTTCATCTGACAGCTATTTAATTAACAAATAATCGATTTCTGAGACGGAAAATATATGTTTAGAAGCGGATTTTCCGTCTATGGAGGTATTGGTGACAATCTTTCACAGGGAAATTCATTACTGCTAGGATGTTCGATATCTTCGTTTGTTATCAAAGCTAGGAAAGAGTAGATATACAGGCAGACTATTTTCTAAGACGGTTTCCTTTCCATGACATTCTAAAGTAAAACCTACTTGTATCATTATTTTTAAACCACTCTAGATATTTTATTGACATTTTGTATACTTTTTTCAAGCAGTAAAATACAAAAAAAAATGGAGCGGCACTACTTTTTCCAAAAATAAAATTTTTTTTTGAAATCCCCTTTCAATTTGGAACAAATATATTCTCTCGATTTTTTTTCCGAACGATGTACCGTTTTCAAGGCAAAAAAAAGGTTTAATGTATGGCAAAATGGTGAAAATTATAATTAAGAAAATATTCCAAACAAATCTTTTTTTTAACACTTTGCATTCAAAAATATCTTTTGTTTTTTGAAATTATCGCACAAAATATCGATGAAATATTTAATGTGACTTGAAAATTATGATAAAAAATTATATTGAGCTTATTTTTGAGTAGAATATGTTACAAAAATTTGGCGCAGGAATTTCGGGACACCTTGTATAGGTCGTCAAAGACCATTAAGCACTCTGCAGAGAGATACACTTTTCGAGGTGGTACTCAGTTTAATCCTCCTGCTTAATAATAAACGATTTAATTGTGATATTGAAGCTGTTAAAATCCTGTACAAGTGAATTTTTAAGCAAACTTTCTCCTGAAAATGTAACTAAAAGTTACTGCGAATTAAACAATGTTCAACCTTAAGAAACTTAATTTTTGCCAACGAACCACACTGTAAGTTGCCTTACCTGAAACGATACGATCCATCGACGTCATTTTCGAATTCGGAGTCAAGTATGCGCGCGTTCCTTGAATCGTCAGGGGCTGCCCAAATACTTAGGATGACACATGACCCAAAATATATCTACAAAAACATGTATACGCTTTATTTGACTAGGTTTTCATTTTCTAAAGTTTATAATGTTTAAATAATAGAATCGTGTTCCCCGTGTAAGTTAATATTGTGTCAACATGGTCGATTTTGTGTTTGGTGTCCCATTACGCAGAACCTTCAGACTTTGATACGTGTCAAATATCTAATATCTCCATGTTTTATTTCATTTATAAAATTTTTAAATACAAAAGTTGTTTTAATGTTGATTTACACCTTGTAAATTTTGAAGCAACTGACAATTTTGCAATTGGTTTATCCCAAACAGGGTATCCAAAATTTGATGAGATATTACGCGTAATTATTTTTTCTAAATAAGCCACTCCGTACATAAATTATGGTCTGATGAATTCATGGGTTGTGTTTCTTATTCTATATTTTCTATTTTAGTTTGATACTATTTGCGAATTTTTTGGATTCCTTTTTATATTTATTTTTCACACAATTTATATCTATTTTGGAAAGGCAGGGTACATAGCCACGGAGTGGCAAATGCACGGGGTAATCTGGACGGCCAGTTCCAGAATTCGTTAACTCTTTTGAAGTAAATAAAAGAACATATCAAACTGTGGTATAAGTGTAAGTTACCATGTATATATATATATATATATATATATATATATATATATATATATATATATATATATATATATATATATATATATATGATGACACTATACTCCGGGATATCATCCGTTCGCTCGTTGAACTCCGACTGGAATCCTGCATCCGACTGGAATTCTGCAAATTCTGCATCCGACTGGACTCCTGCAGACGTTTCGCCAAAATCTCACTTGGCATCTTCAATGCTCGCGCTCCGAAAACACTTCGAACACTCGAAGTGTTGCGAGCATTGAAGATGCCAAGTGAGATTTTGGCGAAACGTCTGCAGGAGTCCAGTCGGATGCAGAATTTGCAGAATTCCAGTCGGATGCAGGATTCCAGTCGGAGTTCAACGAGCGAACGGATGATATCCCGGAGTATAGTGTCATCACATTTTTCCATCCGTGAATCAATACGTGAGAATATATATATATATATATATATATATATATATATATATATATATATATATATATATATATATATATATATATATATATATATATATATATATATATATATATATATATATATATATATATATATTTATATATATATATATATATAACTCCGATGGAGTTATAAGAAATTTTATTTGTACAATTTCCAACGTAAAATGTCTTCATGCGGATTAAACGAGAATTTCACAACAATGAGCGAGTGAAATAAATTGAAACATTGATGGAAACGGCAACCGGGAAACGCAGAAAAAAATATAAACATTTTGTAGTTCTTGACTCGGTTTTCTTCGTGCGAGGTCAGCTGTTCATTACAAATTGATTGTGTAATAATTAAAACGGAATAGGAATGACATGCACATCCTATTCTTTTTCTATTTATTACGGGGAAATTCAAAAGACCCAAACACGACTCGTTCTGGCATCGAGATTAAGATCTATTAGTCATCTGAAAATTGTGATCTTGGTGTATGACGGTTTAGCATAATTTTTAAATAACCAAAATGAATAATCAGAAAGAAATCTAGCATTCCTTCCAGGAAAAAGAAACATACCAAACTTAAGTTCCTTTGTTTGTTTTTACAAAAAAAGGCAATAGTTTATAACACTTTTTATTTTTTTTTTATAACAGTTTTTTTTTCTCCAAAATAGTTCGTTCGACCGATATTAAATAATTCTCTATCAATTATAGAGTCAAGCTGCATAATACTTTTTATCGTACAAAAATAATGAGTGCAGGTGTACAACTTAGTTTGACTAAATACTCGAAATATATTTTAACGGTTATGATATTAATTAAATTATGTCAAGTTAAAAACTATACAAAAAAGCCAATTTCCAGCGAAATCCTTTAGGGGCTCATATCTCCGTGTTGCGTGTTTTATCTGAATTTGAGATATTATTATCGAGATATATTCCGGGATATCATCCGTTCGCTTGTTGAACTCCGACTGGAGTCCTGCATCCGACTGAAATCCTGCAGACGTTTCGCCAAAATCTCACTTGGCATCTTCAATGCTCGCGCTTCGAAAACACTTCGAACACTTCATAAACCAAACTTGTCAAAAATATCTTACAGACTATATACTATACTAGTGAATATTTATGTTTTATACCTTGGTGTCTACTTCTTTCAATGTATTGGTGGTTCGGTGTTACTTACCCTTAAAATTTGATATTTTTATCCCACGTTATAATCAATGACCGTTGTAGTATAACACGAAAGTAATGGACGAAAACATATATACGAATATACAATTTACCTATTTTATTAAACTGTTTTTAATTAACTAGCAAAAATTTTCTTACGATAGAAAGGGACATTTTTCTACATCTCATGATGATTGATACATTAGTTGTAAGCTATTTTATTTCCTCCTATGATTAAAAGGGTTATAATTGACTTTATTTAAGTCGAGTGATGTTTTGTATGCGTTTTATCGATGACTGGTTTTCTTTAGACTAAGTAAAACTAGAATATCAATGACAAATATTTATAAAGTTCAAAAACTATTCTAAAAAAGAACAAAGATACTTAAAAGATTACAAAACCGCCAGTCTTGAACACTGAAATAAATCATAACCTACCATACATTGTATCTAGCGCATTCACCCGAATCAAAGATGCCTAATATCACTGCGAAATTTATATATAGTATATATTATTAAATATTCTGTATGATCATGTACAAAAAGGCTTTCTTCTGTGGAAATAGAATACTGTCTTTAAGATTTATTGGATTTTTAGGTATATACATTCTATTACAATACAATATACGTTCTATTACAAATTTTCGAGGTAACTTTTACAAATCTGGTCTAGCATAGATAGGCAATAGCTATTAATCCATGTTTTATTAGAGCTGTAAAATTTTAAGTAACTTTAATAGGTATAGCTTCCTTCTAAAGATACTATACTATACAATAAATCTGACGGCTCATATAGGTATTCATAGTTATATATGCATAACATTCTTCGTCTTGATTTGGTATCACGTACCTGTCTGTATACACTGGGTTGATTGGATGAAAAAGAAGAAGGCTTCAGATTGCATCAAAAGTTTTCGCGGACTAACAAAAGTATTGCATAGATAAATAATTGAACCCACATAGCATAAAAAGAACATGCTTATTTATATTCTTACTCTTATATTGTAAGAATCTTCGACAAGGATAAACATATAAGTTTCAGAAGCTATAGCAAAGTTATAATACGGAATATTGGTAGCACTCTAGAAGTCTATTTTATGCTATTTGACCCTATCAAAGATTAAAATTTCAAATTATTTGTTATTGTTGTTATTTTTAATCGTATTACCCCAAGAATGAAGCGGAAGTTCCGCTAATAGTTGCTATTTCCGGGTTGGCTTAATTAAAAAATTTTAAAATCGTTTTTAAAGCGAATAATATAAACAAATTCCTCTACCTACAAACGCGGCAGTACTTACAACGAGCTTGAACATTTTTTTTTTCGACCACTTTAAGAGTATCCACCGGGCGCGGCACAAACTATACTATCAAATCGAAAAAGTGAGGTGGTCGAAATTATATAGTCCGAAAATGGGCCCCACTAAAATTAAACGAAAACAATAATTCTTCAGCGATAATCTCTGACTATTACAAGAAAAATCTCTCCTATTATCATAATCTCGTTATAGGTTAATAATATTCTCTCCGGTTAAGTAATACGTTGTCGGTTTGGTAGAAATGTGGCAATGCCAAGTCAAAGATGACCACTTCCTACTGCCGGCCCAACATTCTCGCATTCCAAAATTGTTGACGCGGCCGTTTTGAAAATATTCCTTTTGTACGACGGGAAAAGTCGGTTTTCATTCGTAATTTTATTTTCGGTCTAAGTAGGCGTCATGATAGCGTAACGACGAAAACTTGCGAAACACAACGAACTAAAAGTTGTTTTAAAGGCATTTACAAACATTATTCAGACAGAATGAGAGACAGTTGCACAATCGCTGATTTTGATGTTTTTATCATCTGACTTTCAATGGTGAAATAAAATTTTGGATGTCACCTATATTTTTATTCATTTTTTCTACTCCCTACTCCAATTATGATCGGGTGCGCACAAGACGTCACTTTAAAATGACAGTTTTTTTCGCATTGTCATGAATCAATTCGCGCGTTTCCGGTAGGTCCATCGTTTCGGCGGATATTTAATACTAATTTCACACTAACAGTACATTCGCCAAATAATTGTTTCTGGCGAAGCCTGCAGGGAACGAGCTTCGTCAGCTTAACCGACTTCTCATTTAATAGTGCAACTAACTCATAGTATTTAGAGGTTATGTTTGACTGTTTTTGTTTTTTTTTTTAGTTTAAAAGGGAAGCTGAGCAGTTTAAAGAGTTTTTCTGGATGTCAAAAGAAACTTTTCATAACGAATTAAGTTTGTGAGTGAAATCCCATATAGAGAAAATGAACACAAATGCGATAAGTGCAGAAGGTAAACTTAACTCTGACACTTATGAAAGCCTGATGTACTGCGTTTGAATATCAGAGTTCATTATAATTCCTATTAAAACTTTTAGTTTTTTTGTTTTTGTTTTATCACGGTTATTATAATTACGTTCTATGGTATATTGTAAAAAATGGGTTGAATGCGCGTTTATTGGTTTATAACAATAATAATTATATTGAAACAAAAACTTAGCGAAAAATAGAAATATAAATAAATTGTCCAAAGTAACTAAGTTATCAACGTCGACTTCACACTTCACAGACTGATAGTATGGGTCAGTTGTGATGGTTCTGCATTCAACACGTCACGTATTCAAAAAGTAACTAACGTAGAAAAAGTATTGTGCATACATTTATAAACATCTTCACAGTCGTTTATTAAACAGTTCGTGACTAAATTGTCGGATAATATACTATACCCCGATTAGTTGTAAAGTCATGAATTAATTTAGATTTATCAATCTTAAATTTGTTATTAATTAAATCTCAAGATTTGTGACGACATATATAACGACGTGATACCACTAGTGAATACCTGGAACCAATAATCGAATCGATGACGTTCGATGAGATGATTGGGAAGTTTGATAACATTTTTCAATTATTCACTTTCGATGTAACTCGATCAAGTGATATGATAACAGCGTCATTTTTTACGTGTAATGCAATAAAGTACCAAAGTAGGAAAAAAAATAAAATTAGCATAGTATTTATGTAATATATAATATTTGAGAACAGAATTCAGTGTTCAATCGCCAAAAGTTTTCTTACTTTTTGTGATCGTTAATCGAAAAGCAATTGCGATTAATACAAAGTATAGGTAATTTTTTTTTACATAGCGTTTATGTTTTCATGATTCCCGTGGAAAGCTAAACGTAAATATACTTAAAGGTTCACAATTTCCATAGGCAAAGTTATGCATGACGTCATAATTAAGTAAATATGTAAATTTTACAAATTCAATCGGTCGAAAGTGTGACATCCCGTAAGGTAGAATCTAAAATATCATGAGAAAGGATATGTTTGTTGGTCATTAAATGCAAGCTATAGAGGTGGCTTTGAAGTCCTTCGGGGTACTTTATTTTACAAAACATGTTTTTTCTTTAAAAAATACAAAATATATAGCATGTGTTAATTGTGAGACATCCAGCATATATTAATATTTATAAACAAATATGAGTAAGTATACCGCAACTGCATCTTAAGTATAAATTAAAATTGTACATCAACCGAGACGCATTTTTTTTCTCCAACCGTATAAGGGTTTGAGATATAACTCTACATAGTTCAGCCTTGTGATTCGGTTAAACAGGGTGTTGCAAAAATACACAAAAAAAGTTTATCTAAACATAATTTTCAATATTAAAAAAAAGGTTTTGCGCATTCAAGCTAATGGGGCCTATTTTCAACATTGCGTTAATTCTGTAAAACGAAGTTTGTTGTGATTACAGGGTTCAAAGAATAAATGTTCATAAAAATTGTTAAAAAAAAAGTCAGACGTTGCCAACTTTCAACAAAACCGTACCAAAAATGTGTGATATATCGAAACCCTTTTTTTGTATCGCGATTCTCCTGTCCGTCGTTGGCGCATGTTTTTGAAACACCCTGTATATATAAAATGGTAACGAGTCGGCGTTAATATTGATAGCGAATATTAACTCCCAAACAAGGAGTCTAAAAACGGGTCCCTTGCATTTTCTTCGCCTCCGTCGTATTTATTTTTCGACGTTTCAGTCGTGCTTTTCTCTTTCGTCTCCCGTTTTTCTTCTTCGGTGTCTTTATAGGAATACGACCCATCGTTGTCATAGTAATCAATTTTACTATTGGTCTCTTCTTTATCTTCCTTTGGCTCATACGCGTTTGGTCTAACGGTGGGTCTTCTTCCTTTATCGGACGGTAATTTTGCACTACAAAGAATTTTACTATATAAATATTAATTACAATTTCATTTCGATTATGTACCCAAATCCACTTCCCGTCAGTGACGTCACGTCATCGTTTGCGAATGGCGGTATCGGATCTGGATAAGGTTGGGGAAACCTTTCGGGGTACGGATATCGGATGCCACCCAAAATCCTACTACGCGGTCTGTAGCCATTTTCGTCTGCCTCGTATACGGTTTCGTAGACTCTGCCGTCGGGCCCCGTATAATAAAATTTTCCCCTGACTCTCATGATGGTTTCAATACCCCTTTTCACCGTGCGACCCGATTCCTCCCTGTAGGAACGGTCCTCGGTTAAATATCTATAAAAAAAAAGGTTGCCATAGACTATTTCAGAAAAGCGTTGAGTTATATGTAAAAAATTCTGTTTTTTTTTAGATTTTTGAATGGAATAGATCTAAAAATATTAATTATGATAATTCTTTCGGTGAGTGCACATTTCAAACTGTTTTTAATTTTATAAAAATATCCAAAATGACTTTAACCTCCCCTATAACAATAATATTTTCAAAGTTGCTATCACTCGTATTGTTTTAGTTTTACCTGTTGGAAAATTACAGCAAAATAACATTGAAAATGTATTTTGGGGTTATGTTGATTCGCTTCCTGCAGCGTCCGTTAAATTAAAGAAAGTCCATTCAACATGCGCCTGCGCTAGATTTAAAAGCTCGTTTTTATTATTTTTCCAAAATATGCCTAGATCTTGTTACATGTTCTGGGAAAACGAGTTGGTGGAAATAGATGTTGGAAATGTCACAAAGTGCAAGTTAGTGGGCAAAATATATAATATATAGTTACTAAGGAATTTGAAAGAGATTATAAAAATTTCAAAAATTAATACCATTAATTAATTTGGGACATGGCCCTTTCAGAAAATTGCCAATTGAACTACCTCCTGGTTTGCAATTAAAGAGAAAGAAAAAAATTTTACGACGATAAAATTTTTGGTACGTCTTTTATGAAACATTTGTTGGATTATATGTAATTACTTTAGTTACAATAGTTATACTTAAATTCTATAATTTTCGCAATCAGCATTAAACGGACACAAAATTTAATAATTAAAAACAACATATGACCTACCTAAAATTATAATCATTCGGTAAAAAATTATTCGAAAACAACAAAATCCTATCGCGGCCTCTCGTTCTCGCCAAACAACCACCAACACACGCGATCAAAACGCACAACAGGAGCGCTACGCGGCTGCCGTCCATTTTGCACCACTTTGCACCCGAAACCTCCAAGCTTGCCCAAGAAATGAAGAGACGGTTTCGAACAAAAGCAACTTTTATTATTTATCCGATACGTCATGTCCGGTGTTAATTATTTTACGTAATAACAGATAATTATAAAAAACGGATTTAAAATCAACATCATGCGACCTTATGTTTGTCCATTGTTTTTTACATGCGGCAGCCTTATCGGAGTCCCATCTCAACGCAAGGCGCTTTTAATACGGATAGCCGAAAACATGGTAGCGCCTGCATAATTAATTGGCTAAACTTCCCATTTTTGAGGATTTTGGTGTTTTTTTTATTGAGATATTAACATGTCTTAGTTGGACAAAGGTTAAGAGCGAAACCTTGGGCGCTGACCAGTATCATTTTCTCAAAATCATTCGGGTAGTAGTCTACTAGTACACGGTTTTAACAAAATCATAATTTTAGCGTCCTACACAAAATTGTCAAAGTTATGAAATATAAAAACGCCTTCTATTCATATATGATATTCCCGTACTACGATGGTAAGGTTTCCCAGCAGCCCATAGAGCTATTAGATAAAATACTGGCCCTAATATGGTAAAAATTGATGCGCTCCATGCGGCCTTAATATTTTCGTAGAGTAGACCATTTTCTTTCTAAGGAGCAATTACACTCAGAACATTTGCCAAGATCTAGGCAAATTGTGATCCAAAGAAAACGAGATTTTAGATCTCGCGCATGCGCATGTTCCTTCTCAAAGTTGTGTTTACTTCCTAAGTTCCTGTATTCTCCCCATAGGCCTTTATATCTCCAGTAGCTATTCAGCAGTTTTCTAACAAAATCGAATTATTTTGACACATCTGTAAGTGTAAGGCAGCCATGCAATGCCAATGAATGAATGACGGTAAAAGTCAAGAATAACGATATTTAAAAAGTGAATAGATCGGAATTTAAACGGATGAAGATATTATTCTAATGAAAATCTAAATACACTTTTGAATAACTGTCAATATGACATGTCAAGGAGCAACATTTTAAATTCGCCTGCACCTTGTCATTTCAAATCTCACTTTCAACCAGTAAGACCTTGCGACGTTCAACACTCAACATGGCCGCTTATAGCTAGTCAATTCTAAAGTTTTTATTTTGCTTATCGCATTTTTATTAAAATCAGGCAAAACGAAGTTCCAGGTTCAAAAAGAACATGGCGCAAAGTGCAAATTAATGTGTCAAATGTAGCGGCAGTCGTGTACGAAAAACTACTAAAATAGTATTTAGGGTTCGTCGGCCATTTGAATGGTGCTTAATTCATTAATAATCTGACAAGTGTTAATTTGTCTAAGGCATCCTCAAAGGCCGAGGAACGATTATAAATACTTCAACTTTACGGTATTTGCGACCCTTATGTTATGTCATTGCTACACGGTCATTTAAAATAGTGTGCTAAAGAAACCGTACCATTTTTCGGTTAAAAAGTGATAAACGGTCCAATATACAGACGGAGTTTCATTTTAAAAAATACAGCATTGATATTTTTAGCGCTTTAGATGGGAAAGATATTTTTCAAAATCTCTATATCTCAAAGGCTTTTTGAAAGTCACAGTATCAACATTTTAGTGTATTTTTATGCAGACATTATACATATCGAATACGATAACAATCAAATATTTCATAAAAGTTCTCATGCGTTCTGAGATTCTATAATTCCTTACTGTATTTAAACGCGGTTGAAATTTATTGCGGTGGCATTGAATAAGGACAATCCCGTTTAATTATTATAATTAAATTATTTTAATGTGGCTGATGCGTCGCATCAGCGATCACATAATTATCAATAGTATTTAATTTGCTTAATGTACTCATTAAGACCTTTGTTTGAAAAATTCACTCGTTATGTCGCATTTAAACCGCTAGATATTCAGATACTGTTGTGCTAGAAATATTATAAGTAAAACCTAGACAAGATTATCGCTTCATTTTGAAAATATGTATTCAATTTTTAGTAAAAACCAAAAAAAAAGAAAACTAATTAACTAAAACTGTTATGACTAAAATAAACTGTGAAAATATAAAAGGAAACGGTGCACATTCGTTAAATTCTAAAAAAAAATGAAAATTACATTGTCACTGGCTTCCATTTTTTTTTCGTGAAATTATATTGTAATTTGCTCCGCTTTTTCAACGAAATCAGGCAAAGCGTATTAAGGATACTGGGAACAAGAAACTGTTGATACTCATATTTATACACCTTTTTTTTTCAATATTGTTTTATTACCGAACGAGGTTCAGAAACATCATATATACCATAATCTACTACCTACCGTTCTGGTTGATTACTTATATACTTTAGCCATTAGCCAAGAAAAATATTTAATATGTTTGCTATACATTCTCTTTAAATAGTAGAGAGAGATCGAATTACACAATTCCCTAAAATTAGATTTATGCCATTTTTGAAAGAAAAAATAAATGACTACTAAAAAGGTAAGAAATATCTTTTAGGGTACAAAAAAAATCATCTATCTTCTCTCGCTCCTGATTCGTACCTGCTTAGTCAGTTGACAGAATTTTTTTTTGCGATGTTAATCAGTTGTTTCAATATTGGTAAATCTAGTTCCTCGTAAGTTCTCATCCGCGGTCAACGCTTTGTGCTGGCAACACTGGCGTATGTCAAAAAGATTAGTCAGTCCCCCAGCGACCCAACAACGTCAATCATCGTAAACAAGTCGGTGCTGCTAAATTCCAGTAACATAAAGCAAGTGAAGCTGAAATTTGATAAGGACTAAATAATTTAACGTAAGTTCTGCAAATACAGTTGTTCACTGTTTGGCAGGCTTTATTTTTTCGAGCATTAATTAATTACTTGACAGTTACATAATGCAGGTGACTCTGTCAAACTCTTTAAAATTATGCCCTCGCCGGAGTTTTAATTTTCAAATTAAATATCGTAGTTGCGTTACTGTAAAATATTAATATTCTACCACGTTGTATAAACATGCAATTAACAAAAACTATATCACGGTAGACTATTATTCATTAAGCAAATATTGAAAATAATTGCAAATTCGTGTTAAAATGAAAAACGAAAAAGAAAAACGAGATATATTCGAGTATACGATGATAATAATTGTAATCGAAACTTTTCAAATCGTTATATTATTTTTAAATTGATTTGGCATGCAACATGAACTTCTGCCAAAAATGTTTACCTCACGTGAGATACCTAGTCAAATGTTTGCTAAAACTTTGTCTCTTGCCTGAGACTAGTTTATTCCGAGCGAGACACTAATTTAAACATTTTTTCCCTTTATTTGTTCCACTTTTGTCTCGCGTTTCTAGGTTGAGGTCGCCCACTCACTTTCTATTGGTTAGCTGACAGACTAATCTGATTTCCTTTTAAGTAAACAGCGGCAATGCAGAGGGCAAGAACTTTGCTATCGGCGGTTAGAGGGCCCACAGGTCAGAAATTTGCAGCCTGGCTAATAAACAACTCGCCCGCGGGAAGCTTCACTTGCATCCAATGTAGGGCCTACAATGTTCCAGCTGCCGCCGAACCCTTCCTCAATGGCAGCTCAAGCCAGTATGTGGAGGATATGTATAATGCCTGGCTAGCCGACCCTTCTAGTGTTCATGCAGTAAATATATTTGTCTTAATTTGAAATTCATTGTCTGCTACTGTTTTGGTATGTCTAATATACAACTTGAATTTTTAGTCATGGGATGCCTTTTTTCGAAACTCTCAAAGCGGTGGAGCAGGTTATCAATCCCCACCCTCTCTTGCTCTTCCAGGCAAAAATGAAGTGCCCCTTGGAGCACTAATACCCAGTTTGAGTGGGGCAGGGGCTATTGGAACAGCAGGTGTCAGTGAGAAGATAATTGATGATCATTTAGCGGTACAGGCTATCATTAGAAGTTATCAAGTGAGTTTTTATTTGTAGCACTCAATGGAAGGACTTAAAATTTCACAATTAAACAAGGTTTACAAATATGATCGGTTAATAAGAGGTGTTACTTACGAAGTAAACATGATTGGGTCGAATTTTTATATATTCCGTCATTTCTTAAGCATGAATAAATAGAGGTAATTGAAAATTGTGCATAAAAGTATATAGATTAAATGGACATCAAGTAAATGCATGAACGGTTTGTTGCATATATTTATTGGTACAGCTGCTTACATACCTGTTGCAGTGCTATGTTGCCACTCTGATCGGTTAAATAGAAAACAAGTTTGGTTGTTAGAGTCGTGTTGTTATATTGAAATATGACGAAGTATTTGTACACTTTTCTATTTAATCGGTCTGGAATCATCTATCGAATGGACCTATATCTTATTGTTCTTAGCAACGCGGTCACTTAGTAGCCAAACTGGATCCCCTTGATATCATGTACACTGATCGTTCAACAACAATAAGTGATAAAATAGGTGGGGCACCTACTGAAGTCATTCGCCAGCACAAGTTAGGTATGACCCCCATCTGCCATATAACTTTTGGGTATAAGGAAAGAGGCCAGTCAGATTTTTTCTATATCGCTATGTTATTCGAAAAATTTTTGTACATTGCATGGCTAGCCTCTTTGCGATACATTAATGTATTCCTAATTTAATGGTGCACACCTGTTTAATCAGTCAAGTTTCATTTCATTCAGTTTAAATGTGGTACATATGAAATTTAAAGGACTAACACAGTTTGAAACATTCTCTAAAGTGGCATGAAATAATTTTATTAACAATGCTTAGATTAGTTAGTTGCTTTCCTTGGTGCATTTTGGAATGGAATGTTGGGTGTATTGGGATTAAGATTTTGTATGGTAAAGCTTATTTCACTTCACACTCATTATTAATGATTAATGTACTATCTAGTTACTGTCATTTAGTTGTCTAAAAAAATTTGTAAACCAGAACAAAGCCTGATAAAATTGATTAAAATGATTTAATTGATCACCTTTGATCAGTGGGTATTATGTAACCTTTACCTTTATTGGGCTGCAAGAAATATTAGGTTGTTGGGTACAAAATAATAAAAAAATTGAAGTTTGAAGCAAAAACTACACATTCAAACGCATGTAATGAGTGGTTTTCTACCAATAAATTATACTATCTTTCGCTTGGTCGAATTACTACTATTACTATTATTTTGTGCACTTAATTAGCGGTAGTGGTGTTGGCAAATTTTTGTAGATCCGTGGCCATCACATAGCCAAATTGGACCCCTTGGGTATCAATAGCGCCGATTTGGACGACCAAACACCCCAGGAGCTGGTCTACAAAAATTATAATTTTGGTAAGATTTAAAGATCAAAAAGTGATTTGCTATCTTTTTTTATATATCCGTATCATGACATATCATATCAATAAGAAACTTTTAAATTGAATCGCGACGTGCATAAACTGGCTTCTTATTCATATCACTTAGCCATTTATGTAAATATTTTGAACTTACAAGATGAATAAATAGTGAATTTATAATGGCGTTATTGTTTTTACATTTTCAGAATTTTATGCTTTTATTGAGAATTGCGATGTCAGAAAATCTGTTAACGAAATTCAATTTTAATTAATTTTATTTCACTTCATCTGCTTCATTTTATGTACATCACTAAAAAAAATAACGACAAATAAATAAGCCTTAAGTTAATTAACCATATACCGTTTTATACTTATGACACACATTTGACACTTGGGTATGAAATTATGTGGAGCCGATGAAGATAAGTTCTACTTGGCAGTATTAAAAATTGAATTACAAAATGCTGTAGCAGTCTGTCATAATTTATTACCTCGTGAGATTGTTGATGCTTCCCAGAGTAGAGACGATATTCTTAGTGCACGTTCTTATTCTTAGATTGTAGTTTTGTTGTTTTATTCGTGTTTAAATTACAATTACACCTTGTATTAACACTAATTATTTAAAGCGAGTGTTAGTTTTTCTCTAGAATTAACTTTTAACATTTTCTTTTTTGTTTACTAAATGCTTGTTTTTTCTTTTGCCTATTTTACATCCATTCCTAACACAGAGCACCCTTCGAAAACGTACTCGGAAGAACTCAGAAGGCAGGTGAAGGAATTCATGCGACGTAAGCTTTAGTTTTTATTTTCCATTTATTTGCCTTTGGCGAATTCAAAAATGTCTCAAACTGAAACTGAAAAAGCGGGCAATTTTTGTATTCGCCATAGTCATTTTCTAGTTTACGGATTTAACAGAACAATAAGTTTCGCACAGATCAAGTAAGTAAATCAGTGACATTTTTAAAATATGATTTGCCGTTAGCCTTTGTAAAAATGTTTCAAACTGATTTTTAATTTGATTCGAAACAGGTTTGCACTAGATTTTGATTTATACGTGTTGCTTTTTTCTTTCGATATTTATATCTAATATTCTGTAATGTGCTTATCAGATGAGACCGACATGGATCGAGTTTTTAAATTACCATCGACTACATTTATCGGCGGCCAAGAGAAATCCTTGCCGCTTAGGGAAATTTTGCGTCGCCTGGAACTTTCTTATTGCAGACACATTGGCGTCGAATTTATGTTTATCAATAGCTTGGAGCAGTGTAACTGGATCAGACAACGATTGGAGACCCCCGGCTGTATGGATTTGTCCAACGAGCAGAAGAGGCTCATTTTGGCTCGGCTGACTCGCGCCACTGGGTAAGTTTAAATGATATTCTAGAGAAATAATAACATTTAAGTTATTATTAAGTTACACGTCAGTAAACTCGGAATAAAATTTACTATTTAAAAACATAAACTAACAAATTACTTACCGTTGATCTGCCAATAATAAAGCCATGTTGGTTTTCATTTAAAATTGATTGTAGTGCAATTTTGATTTTAAAATCTATAATAGTCTCAAACATTTTTGCTATTAAAGACATTTTGTTTATTACCCTGTAGTTACTAAATTCACCTCTTTCACCACTCTTACATATAGGAGGAGACACATTTCACAAAAAACAGTTGAACAAAAATTGTTTTGTAAAAAATGGTAAAACAAATTTCTAAAAAAACATTACTGTTTTGGGTAAATAATTTAATGTTCATATTTACTGCGTTTATATATGGCGCTTAATCCGGATTAAATTAAGATTATATTTATATTGGATTGGTTAATCCGGAATTGTTTAATTGACATTTAAATTAAATTGAACTATAATTTTAGCATGATCCGCAAGTATCTAACTGATGTAAAGTAAAGGTTTTCTTGTAGTCTTATAGGAAATTTTGACATATAAAAGCACTACGTTGAAATGTTATTTGTTGTTACCCCAATTAAATCACATCGTGATCACTATTTCGGGATTAAATTCATGCCACCGAAGGAATTCTAAATTCTTAGTCCAATCCCACGTTTTCGCAGAATTGGATTAACATTCCCAATCTGGATTAAGCCTTGAATCGTGATTGTTTATCTCAATTCACATGGAAATTCAATCCCGTTTAATCCCGCTTAATAGTCGGATATAAACGATTTTTCGACCCATGTGGCGAGAGTAAAAATAATGCAGGCAGTTTGTCGGGAGTTTTGTAAAATTCTGGTTCCTTCTGTTTTATTTATTATTAGTTATATTTAACAATTATTAAAATTGAATAGTAACTTCCCACTTTAGTGCCGTCCTTGGTGGAATCTGTATTTTCCCATGTTATGTCGATTAAAAGAATAATTTAGATTTAGATTATGGTCTCTTTCTCAAAGGTCTAGAGTAGTAAAATCTCATTAAGTATACCACTTAAGCTATTTTATAGATATTTATAAAATGAACCTGTTCTTTAAGCTGGGAAATAAATTCGATGCTCTTTTGCTAAATGGTTTTTGGCTATCTCTTAAAGGAAAGTGTTGGGAAAGTTCAGAATGGCTAATACATTTGTATTTTCTCAAAAAAATTAAATGAAACTGCATTTCACCATCTTTTGCCAAATGTATAATATCCGTAATAGAAATAAAAACAAAATAATGTGTTTGAGATAATTTGCAGAATACCTACTAGATTCTAATATTCGTTCTTTTAGCAAAGTATATAAAAATATATATAAAAAATATTTTATTACTTGTTCTGAAATTTTGTAGCATTTTCCCCAAAATTGGTAAATCCTAGATAAACGTTTGGACTACTGGATGGCGGAGATAAAATCTTATTTTTCAGCTTTGAATCTTTCTTGGCTCGTAAGTGGTCGTCCGAAAAAAGATTCGGGTTGGAGGGTTGCGAAATGCTTATACCCGCAATGAAAACCGTAATCGACAAGTCGACCGAGCTCGGAGTCGAAAGTATAGTGATGGGAATGCCCCACAGGGGGCGCCTGAACGTTTTGGCCAACGTCTGTCGTAAGCCTTTGTATCAGCTGTTTACTCAGTTTGCAGGGCTAGAAGCCGCAGACGATGGTTCGGGCGACGTTAAATACCACTTGGGAACCTATATAGAGAGGTAGTCAGTTGGTAAGTCTAATTTGAAGGAAACTATGAAGTACGTTTTCAGATTGAATCGCGTTACGAACAAAAACATTCGATTGGCCGTAGTAGCCAACCCTTCGCATTTAGAGACGGTGGATCCGGTGGTTGAAGGGAAAACGAGGGCGGAACAGTTCTACAGAGGCGACGGCGAAGGCAAAAAGGTGCCGTGGGGGGATTTTTGTCGGTTCTTGTGTATTACTATCCGAATTTTAGGTTATGTCGATGCTGCTGCACGGCGACGCCGCCTTTGCCGGCCAAGGCGTTGTGTTTGAGACCATGCACTTATCTGAATTGCCAGATTACACGACCCACGGCACCGTCCATATCGTCGTGAACAACCAAATCGGTTTCACTACCGACCCAAGATTTTCAAGGTCCTCTCCGTACTGTACTGGTATGTATAAAACTATGATTTTGCACTTGTCTGTTGTTTTGACACTTACTACGGGTGTCATACTACTCAGCTAGTTTATTATACCAAACTAGCATTTTTTCGCAGCTTAAAGTTTTATTGTAAGGTAAAGGATAAGAGGAAACTTGAACATTTTTTTTTATCTCTTTAATTCATTTGTTTGTGTATAGAAATAAAGCATATCAAAACTCAAACCTCAATATTTAAGTTGCAATAAATAATTCAAGTTCTACTTGAAGCTTTAGTAATCAACAAATTGCAAAAAAAAACAATTGTCTGTCTATTCAATTAGATTTTAGTGACTCCTACTATTAAACCTATTTTTGGCTTAATTGTCTAGCGCTGTAAAAGTAGTACCTTATATTAGTTTATAATTATATAACCTCTTTAATTATAATTTATAATGACTGATATGATTTAAGAGACTAGATTTTGTTGTATAAATAGATAAATTCTGGTACTATGTTGTACTATATTAAAAGTTGCAGTGTTCATACGACATGTATATGTTGTAGGACATATACAGGGTGTTATAATCATCTCAGAGAGATCTCTTCTAGATTTTGCTTGCAAACGCGGAATGGATAAACTTGTTTTTGTTTAGCCAGTGGCGTTTTCGAGACCATTTTAATTCGTTTAAATAATAAATAATTGTTAGGAAAATGGTTTATCACAATTGTGTTAATAAATTCAGATGTCTTGATCAATTTTAAACAAAAATGGTCCCCTCAGTTTTTTCGCGAAAAATCATTTTTCGAGGACCAAAAAAAAAAGCATAAAAAACTATTTTAAAGTTGCTCGGTTATAATCCGGACCACTCTGAAAGTCACAATGAACAGTTTGTTTCCGTATCGGCTGAGGTGTTTTATAAACCCCCTTATGTTGCGAAAAATGTATATTAATTCCTAACGTTACTCAGACGTGGCCCGAGTGGTCAACGCTCCCATTTTCCACGTCAACGGTGACGATCCCGAAAGCGTGATCCACGTGTGCAACATTGCGGCGGAATGGCGGGCCACCTTCCACAAAGACGTGGTTATCGACCTGGTGTGTTACCGCCGATACGGCCACAACGAACTCGACGAACCGATGTTCACCCAACCTCTCATGTATCGTAAAGTACGGAGTCTGAAACCTTGCCTCGACAAGTACGCCGACCAATTGATCAGCGAGGGCGCTGTCAACGAGGCGGAAGTCAAAGACGTGAAGGAAAAATACGACAAAATCTGCGAGGAAGCGTTGGAAAGGGCGCGGCAAGAGACGCACATTAAATACAAGGACTGGATAGATAGTCCGTGGTCCGGGTTCTTCGAGGGCAAGGATCCCCTGAAGGTGAACCCGACGGGAGTCGTCGAGGACACGTTGGTTCATATCGGAAAGAGGTTCTCGTCGCCTCCGCCGAACGCGGCGGAGTTTATTATCCACAAGGGTATCGAAAGGATTTTAAAATCGAGGATGGAGATGGTGGAAAATCGCATTTGCGATTGGGCGCTCGGCGAGGCGATGGCCTTCGGTTCTCTGCTGAAGGAGGGGATCCACGTGAGGTTGTCCGGGCAAGACGTGGAGAGAGGCACTTTTTCGCATAGGCATCACGTGTTGCACCATCAGACCGTCGACAAGGCCACTTACAGGTATATAAATTTATTTCAAATTATATACATTCTTCAGGTTGGTTCGTGTTGATCCTATTAGAAGTTCTCGAGAACTAAATGGGTTTTTCTTTTCTTCGAATCGAATTGGCACTCTTATTTTCAAGTCTGTTTATTTTTCTGAGGATATAAATTGTGGTATTCCTTTTTTTTTTTCTTTTTTTTATAACCGTTTTGATAAATCCATAAATAAAGTTAACTCATGTCTGTCCTTTGATCATTTTCAGACCTTTGTGCAATCTGTACCCCGATCAGGCGCCCTACACTGTATGCAACAGCTCTCTGTCAGAGTACGGCGTGTTGGGTTTCGAATTAGGCTATTCTATGACCAATCCTAACGCTTTGGTAATGTGGGAAGCCCAATTCGGAGACTTCGCCAACACGGCCCAATGTATAATCGACACTTTACTCTCCAGCGGTCAGTCCAAGTGGGTCAGGCAGACCGGTTTGGTCATGCTATTGCCGCACGGCATGGAAGGTAAAACGTCGTACCACAAAATTGCGATGGGCCCTTTACGCTCGATCATGTTGTAGGACAAGGTCCGGAACACTCGAGCGCCCGCCTCGAACGTTTCTTGCAAATGTCGTCCGACGATCCGGACTATTTCCCGCCGGAAAGTGACGATTTCGCCGTACGTCAGCTGCACGACATCAACTGGATCATTGCGAATTGCACCACTCCGGCCAACTTGTTCCATCTGCTCAGGAGGCAGATCGCGCTGCCTTTCCGCAAACCCCTCATAATAATGACTCCGAAGAGTCTGCTGAGACATCCGGAAGCGAGGAGCTCTTTCGACGAAATGGTCGAGGGCACCGAATTTCAACGTATCATCGCCGACGACGGACCGGCCGCCCAGAATCCGCAATGCGTTCAAAAATTGATATTTTGCTCGGGGAAGGTGTTTTACGATTTGAGGAAAATCAACAAGGAGAAGGGCATCGAAGATAAAATCGCGCTTATCAGAGTCGAGCAGGTGAGTTTCGCTAGCACGTCCTCACACACACACAGCGATACTGTTTTCCATCGTATATACCAGTAAGGATAATCCGTCAAGAGAAATTGTTTTTCGAGTTTCTGAAATGACCGCCAGGGGGGCAATTGATATGTTAAATTATTATTTTAAAACGTGAAACAAATTCAAATTTCATTTTCTAAAGTAGATTTCCAAAAATGATTGACATATTTTGTTCAATTCGGAGTCGTTAGTGCAGAATGTCTAATTATCAAATAAGACATCTGCAAACTAGGACTGCAAAATATTGCCAAGTTTATGTTCCGATTTTCTTACTCTTTTTGTAAATAAATAAGTAAATATAATAAATGATTTAATATATTTTCAGTTAACACCCTTCCCGTTCGACTTGGTCAAAGCGGAGTGCGAAAAGTATCCCAATGCGCAAATCGCGTGGGCCCAGGAAGAGCACAAGAACCAGGGAGGTTGGGCCTACGTTAAGCCCAGATTTGAAACGACTCTTGCCGGACAAAGAGACATTGTGTAAGTTTTCTTTATAGTTATGTGCCGGCCATAAAATTCGTTAAAATCTAGGATATCCTTAGTTTCCGCGGTCCAATAACAACAGCATTTCAAATCACAAAAATTCTATTAAAAATAACAAGACCCAAAATGCTCCTCTATAACTAAACATTCCGTAGAAAAAATCCTATAATAATGGTAAGTGATTGTAACACGTTAAAATTCTATAAATAACAATAGTGATATTCCAAACGTATCTCAAATTTACACAAAAATTTATTTACCAATCAACCAAAACCGAACATATTTTTATTTTTCCCCTTTGTTATTTATTGTTGGTCACTATATCAAAAATGGTTATAGAAACTGAAGATGGCTACTTATATTATTAGCATGATGATGTTTATTTGACCGAGAAAACAAAAAAAAAACCTTGTTTAAGTTCTTGTAATTATGACCGATATTTTGTTTCTTTTTTATTTAATCAATATAAGGAAGATATGATTTTGTAGATCATACCGGTGACTTAATGTGTGGTTGTTAATTTTTTTAGCTCAAAAAAAGCAAACTGGCTCTCTAGAATGTTCGGCAAACGTACACCTGAACCGAGAGACGATGGTATTAAACCTGATAATAGAATTGTTAGGTGAGATTTCAAAATCATATCTTCGTGTTTAGTCGCTTGTATGAGGACAAGGAACGCCGCTGTTGAGAGCCCGTGCTAATTGTTATATCCATTTAGCCATATAACTATTAGATAATGTAGAGGTTATAAATACGATAAAGTCGATATACATGTATGATCTTGCGCGCATGCCCACAAATTTCGCACACTAACCTGCACTTTCCGCCTTTTTTTCCAAATCCCTACACTCTTAAAGTCGTCGAGGGACGTAAGTTTGAAGTGCTGAATTATGAACGGTAAAAGTTGTTGTCAACGGCCATATTAACGGCAAAGTTTTACTGGCGGGAAGTGAATTGAGCATATCTCTTTAATTTTTTTTTCACGTTTGTTTGCGAGAGTTAGGAAAAGTGTGAAAGGCCTTGATGCTTTGGTTTTTCGCAGAAAACCCCAATGTTGAAAAAAGCAGTAGCTGGCCATTTTTTTTATTGCATCACACTGTAGAAATTGCCGACTCACATTGACATAAGCTTTTTCACGCCCTTGTTATGTTATAAACCACCCCGTATATCTAATGGTTGTATGCGTTTAATATATTATTTGGTACCAAAATTCTACCGCACTTTTTAGACTAACTGCTAACAATTATAAACGAATTAATAAACAGTAAACAAAGTACTTTTCTTGAATATTTAATCAGCAGTGAGTCTAAAGGTCTTAGTTTTTAGTTCATATAAATCTGAAAACTTCAAATTTCAATTTTTTTTATATCGCATTTTTTTTTAAATTTTAGCTATATCGGCCGACCTGTAGCGGCAAGCACCGCCACGGGCAGCAAAGCCCAACATCTGAAAGAGTTGAAAAATCTTCTCGATGATGCTACGAGACTTTAAGGTGTCGTCGATTTCAAAAATTTGTGCCGGCTAGTATTTGGGCAGACCTTTTTGAGGAATTTAGAAAATCAGTCCACCCTTACTTAATACTATTTATTGTAGACAGAAACGTACACCTACCTAATACTGTTTGGAGAAACACTACAGGAGAATATTGCTAAGATCCGTGAGCTAGTTTATTTTTGGAATGTTTAAAATAAAATATTTCTTGTTGATGGATATCGCTTGATTTAAATAAACATGGCAGTGCACTTTTTCACGCGAATCAAATACTGCACCGTTTAGTTGAAATCTGTAATTATTGTAAATAATAATACTCTGTCAAATTATTTTTCCATATATTTCTTGTTGTTTTATGTATATATTGTATTGCTTTGAAATGTTTCCTATATTACCTGTGTTGGAATATTAAGAGAATCGATTTTGATAAAAAAACAAAAAACAAAAAATGCTGGCATTCATTATATTTTTTGGAAACTTTTAGGGTTCGGGAGAGGGGTATGTGCGATGTTGAATTTGATTTTCAGGACTGAGGTATTTCAAGTATTTGTTAAAGTTGTTTTAGCCCTTATTAATTTATTGTTGTATTAAATTTTCGGATAAATGTTAAGACGACCACTATAAATTTGTTGCTTAACTTTCATTTGGTTTATTTTGTTCCCGTGTTGGTGAAAGATTTCCCAAAACGAATCTCCTACCCTCATGTTTTTCGAACCTTTATTTGCGGCATAAAACTCAATTTTCGATTTTACAACATGGAACTTAACAATCGATCGGCCGAATATGATAAAGCTTTAAAGTTTTTTCCGACACCTCTGAGGGTGCTTGGCTAATGGGTTCCCTCCCTTCAAACGTCTTTGGGAAGGCGATAACATCTCTAATACTGATTGTGTTGAGCAAAATTGCAAACAACCTATCTAAGCCCAGTGCTATGCCTCCATGGGGAGGACAACCAGAACCTAAAGTCGGGATCATAAATCTTAAGAACTTAACCGAAAAGCGTCTTACCCAGCATGTCTATGATGTGTTGTAACGATTCTTGGTCAATATTCAATGCTTTCAACAATTGTTCTTGTAGGGAAGGATCATGAATTCGTATTGAACCTCCTCCAATTTCATGTCCATTTAGCACCAGATCATATGCCAAAGACCTAACCTGTAATTATTACTGCAAGCTATTATCTATTGCAAATTTTGCGTTTACCTTTAAAGGAGCGCTTTGTAATAAAGGCAAGTCTTCCGGGTGCGGCGAAGTGAAAGGATGATGAACAGATTTTAAAGTGCCGGTCTGTTGGCACTTTTCAAATAAAGGAAAGTCCAGCACCCAAAGAAAATGATATCCTTTTTTTCTTATTGTCACGCCAATGCTCTCCAAGTAATTTACATACTCTACCCTTAGTTTACCCAACAAATTTCTCTGCGAAGTAGAATCTTTGTTTAAATTTTTCTTCAGCAGCAAGCGATAAAAACCTCATTACCACATCCACCTTGTCTCCAAATGCTAAAAATAACGCGGAGCCGTCCTCCAAATCACAATCTTTCATAATAGCTTTTGCAGCATCTTCAGATATAAGACGGGTTATCTTGGTGAGCCAATCTTTATTTAAGTTGACCTTACTCTGTACCAACTTAGCTTTAGGATGCTGGAGAGTGATATTGGACAAATGTTCCTTAACAGATTTACTTAAATTTGCATAGTGCTTGGGAAAAGCCAGTGCATAAGCCCCAAAATTTTCACAAGTAGGATCCATGTCCTTTAGAAGATGTGTAAAATTTTTTAGCTAAAATTACAATATTAAATATGATTTTTAACTTCAAAAATCCCAAGCACCTTAAAATCAAAACTTGTATCTGGTCTATCACTGCCAAATTCCTCCATTGCTGTCAGATACGAAATTCGAGGAAATTTTTTAGGAATCCCATCACAAAATTTTTCAAGGGTGTAAACCATTAAGTCCTCTATAAGTTGAACTACATGTTCAGCATTGGTAAAAGACAGCTCTATGTCCAACTGGGTAAATTCAGGTTGTCTGTCTGATCGCGCCCCTTCATCTCTGTAACACCTAGCTATTTGGAAGTATCTATCCAAAGCCCCAGCCATTAACATTTGCTTAAACTGCTGTGGGCTTTGCACTAATGAGAAAAATTTGCCTGCGAATCTGGTAGGTACAACAAACTCTTGTGCTCCCTTAAAAGGGAAGAGTGCATTATTATATAAAATTATATTAAGATGCTTACTCCAGGCGTCTCTTTAAATAAAGTTGGTGTTTCTACATCCACAAAATTGTTTGTGATTAAAAATTCTCTCATTCTCATTATCAGCTTAGATCGTACCCGCAGATTTCTCTGCATTTGTGGAAACCTTATGTCCAAATATCTGTATTTCATTCTTAATCCCTCTTTGGCTTTTTGGAACTCCCTCATTTGAAAGGGTAGTGAGTCTTTAGCCTTATTTAGCACCTGAATTGCTTCAATGCCAACCTCAATTTCACCAGTTACTTGGTTTATGTTGATCATTTCCTTAGGGCGCTCAAACACCGTGCCTGTCACTTGGATTATGCTTTCCAAAGAGGTAGATTTCAAAAGTTCCTGAATATTTTCATCCTGAATAAAGAAGCAATTGGATTGCCATTAAAAAAAAACAGGTATCTTCGTGACATTAAAGACATGAATCTTCACCAACAGGTACCTTGTTTAAAGTGATAAGCTGAGTTTCTCCGTAACTATCTCTTAGTACTAAAAATTTGTCCATCCTCTGGTACTCCAACCAACCACACAGTACAACTTTTTGTCCTACATTGTGCCTACGTAAATCTCCGCAGGTATGAGTCCGATTTGTGTATTTATTAACCTGACTCGCCTTTCGATTTACATTGTGAGATTCATCGGATAAATGAATGTTGGTGTGGGTGCTTAAATTGGTACGATTTTGCCAATTGCCACTTTTGTTGTCCAACAAAAAAGAAACCTAATGTAAACAGAATAAGTATCCATTTATAATAAAAATTTCAACTATTACATGTTTGAAAAATTGTGTGCTCTTAATAATTGGAAATTTGCAATACAATTCTGTAAAAATTTTAATCATGCTGCTGTAAGTGCAGAATTTATTACAAAAATGAATTGTAGTTTTTATGTAAAATGCTAAGGTTCTTCTTTCTTTCTTCTTTACTTCTAATGGCCACGACTGCATAAGGTCATTCGGCCAGCTTACACAATTTTTCACATTATTCAGATATCCTAAAGAATGCCTTCTTAAGAGAAGGGTCTGGACCAATCCATCATCCTCTAGGTTATTTAACGTATACAAAAATGGAAACAACTTCTAAATAAATTGTCATAAAATGACGACCGATTCTTCAAACGGCTCCAGCAATCATCTTATACGGGACATCCGATCCCATCCGGCCTGGTTACCAGCGTGAATATAGGACATTCGGAAACCGTATTTACATACACCTCATGGAATTACACATCACAAATCCGTGTACATCCACGTAAGACGAACACTATTTCCCAAACTTATAGGCACTACGTCTCTATCACGTCAGATAACGACTATACGTAACAATATTTTCTTTAAACGACACTAATTTCGACCGATTTCTATAAATATTTTGGAACCGGGCAGGAGCAACGTCCGCCACGTGCAATGGTTCCATCGAAAGTCCAATGCTAAGGTTAGAGTGTTTTATTCTATTCTCCTTCCTTTTAATTCTCTTTACCAAAGGAAACAAGATTTTCCGACCGTTAGGGCCCTGTAAGTTACCTACAGAAACACCACCAAATTCCAAGCAATTTTAATAACCCCAAAGATAGGGGGAAAGGCTCCCATTAGTGACAATGTTAAAAAGTTTCAAAGCCTCTAGTGAATGTGTCCAGTCATGAAAACGAAAAACGCGCGGGACGTACGGTTCAATTCAATTCAAAGTTTGAAAGATATAATGTGAAAAAAAAATTGTCGAAGTGGTTTTAATTTTTTTTTATTAAAATATAAATATCGTGCTGTTATCCGTCATGGGGGCTATACACATGCAGTCAAATCCGCGCGCAAGTGTGTCCAGATAAGTCCACGAGCAAGTGCGTAACGAATTGCGGCCACACACTATTCAGGTAAACGTCGAGGTTCATCGGTGGGATCTGCTGGTGTGCGAAAAATCAACGTCGAAAAAATGTGTGTGATTGCAACCGCTGTCGTTCTTGCAGTTAATAATAAATGAATTGAGATTAGAATCGGATGATTACATAAATTATCTGAGAATGGAATCGAATATAAACAAGTCCACATTGAATTTTTTTTTGATAACGTCTTCCTTTGCTGCGTCTTCGTTAATTTCTTTCAACTTCTCAACTAAAATTTTCTATGCCTCTTATAATATTTTATTGGAGTGCTCTTTTCATTTTATCTTCCACAAGCACGGATTGTTTTTATATAATTCTATGAATTGCCGCGTGTTTCTTTGATAATCTCTAGATTTGCCACTTTTTGCAGCTACTATTCTACCGCAAAAATCACGTAGAAACAGTCTTGACAATTTATTAATTTTGAGATCTGCATTGTATGGCATGGTAGGTTTGTCTGAATGTCGAAAATTGACATTTTTATTTTCTCTACTAAAAAAATCATTCTAAGGTTCATAAAAAGGTCATTAACTTAACTTTAACATAGCTTTATTGTTTATTTATTAACCTTATTAACTTTTAACTTAACATTAACTTTTTTGTTGAAAATGATATTGCGTCCCCCCTCTAAAATTGACTTTTAACTTTCAACCAAATGTTTTGAGTTGCATTTTTGTTTAATTTTAGTTTAATCCCTTGCATGGGTCAATTTTTTATAATTTTTTGCCATAATCCAAATTTTTTCTTATTGATGGTAAGCTCAAGGGGAGGAAATGGTATCAGCTCTCATAAAAGCATGCGCTTTGAGAATTCCAATACAAACGTCGCGGTACGACTGCCCGATCTCCCGCGTATTCGACTGCTAACAATTTTTCAGTCCTTTTTATCGAATCATAATTGAAACTTCTTGACAATAGCATCACTTTTCGGTCGTCAAAGCCAACTGCCTAGAAGCAGACAATAAACACTTTGTAGTCTGTGATTGATAATTTCGTCCAAGCTTTATGCGTACGAAACATATAGCAACTATGACTTCATTTACCATTTAAAATCAAAAACGAAAGTCGAATTGTGCTATAATTTGAAAGGTTTGCTTGCATTTTCTTGTTATTTATCTTGAGATTTAAACAAATTTAGATAATGCATTTAAAATAATTCGATTAGAATTCAGCGTGGGTACGGGTTTAATGATAAATTTAAACAAACATATAAACAAGTTGAGACAAACTTTATATCTCTACAGTTACAAGTAAAAATTAAAACGAAACGAATCTAATTGTTACAGAGAACAAGTGGGACATTAATGCTGAAATGAAAAAATACAATCAACTCTTGTTCAAAATAACCACTAAAAGACAACTGTTTTGGTATTGGATAATACATACACATACTAGCAATTCGTGACAGAGTGCGCAAAAACGAAATGAATGACAGTAGGTACTTAAAATATTGATAGGTTCTTGAGACCATTTTATTGTACACTATAGGGAACTTTGACACGAAAAAAAAAATAGAAATAGCGTTCAATATTTCTTAATAAAAAATACAAGAAAAACTATGTCTACCACGAAAATGATAGTTCTTGATAAATATTCCAATGATATATTTGGGTTTATTTATTATTACTATGGTAAGGCATTAAGGAAATGCTGAATTGCTTTCTAATTTGTGATTCCGAGTCAATTGGTAAAACACATCGTACAAATATACAATATATTATTATGAAACTCATATCAAACGAGATTTGGACGAATATGTCGAATATCGGTTATAGGTTATGTTTTTGTACTTTACTTCGCAGGCGGATTGCATAATTGATAAATACTATGTAAAACAACTTGGTACGCGGGGATTGCTTGCTCTCAAACCGCACAAAAACATAACCCTGCAAAAGATATGCACACAAAGTAGTTATTATAACATTGTTGATATTTATCTTTGCGTAAAAGTCGAAAATTTCGTAGTATTATTTTTCAGATAAGACACTTTTTGGGAAATTTATTTTATATTTTTTTTATTATTAGGCGTATGATGAATATAATTTAATATTGTAAGAATCTTTACAAAATACCCTAAAGAGATTCAGTTATAGGTTTGCTATAATATATATATGAAATATTACTTTAAGAACTGCGATTGATACGCCAGAATACGAATATCTCGTCCCGAATCGCAAGAAAACACAAACATCTTTGTTCAACTTGTGATATACGAGCAAAGTGATAGATAATTATTTTGATGAATAATGCACATCAATTACATTAATTAGTTTTTCTTTGGCTAAAAATTTACGAAAAATTTTACAAAATAATTTTAAAACGTGTCGTTTAGTATTTTAAAATGAAAAACACTAATAGGCCCAACTAATATCATATTTCTATCTACATCTATACTTTATGGTAGGTACACGTATTTTATTTGTGGAAGAAGGATTGGAGATACTATTATCTTGAAATTTAAGTAGGTACACAAGTATCAGTTACATCAATTACCACAACGGGAGGAATTTCAAGTAAATATTTAATTTTCGACAATTTTCTGCGATTTTCTAAACATTTTGCCAACGCGGAAATTATTTGAACATAACATTATAATGATTGGGAAAGGCACCACAAACGAACGTTATTAAACAAAAACAGAAAGATTTCTCAAGGGTGTGCAATTTCCGTGTTTTCCGGAAGTAAATATTTTCATCCGAATGTGGCTAAATGAGCTGTAGAATAAGATCGATTAGGAAGTGGTTACGATACAAATAAATATGAGAGAGCAAACATTGTGAGATAGACTTATTCCGCAAACCAATGATGAAATGTCAAAAAAACTCACTGTGAAGAGATCTTCCGCCTACGTCGTTCAATGACGTTTAGCTCATCATAGTGAGACGTAAGTGGACGGGAGAGCTTTTTGAGCAACTGTCTACTCACGACTACTGCACAAAATAACCGACACCCGTCTCACTGAGCACGACGCTTTACAGGGTGTCACATCGGGAAGCATTTCAATTTGTTATGGGAATTTTCCATTATACTGATTCACATTTGATTGGAATAACCCTATAGAGGGTTTTATCAAGTGGATGATGATTATATGTTCCAGTGACTAGAAAAATGCACGGTACCAACATGTGTTCTGCCTGGTTACCAAGAGGTCTCAAAAAATACTTTTTGTTAATAAGCATATGGATACTTATTTCATTAGTTTGTTGTTGCAATAAATCCGAAGTGAAATACTACAACTAACCAAAACTCGAGTAGACCACAAATTTAACAAGCACCAAAATGTTGTACTCTTATTGGAATTACGACCTATCATTACCCAACACACAGGATACATTTACAATTTCATTAGAGTAAACTCTTGTGCAGAGAAAATTTATGTTTAATTATTTTTTAAAAATATATTTACTATTTAATTATTAATAGAAAAAATGTGACATTAAATTAAATTTGAAAAACTAGCTGAACTGAATTGAATTTTAAGAATCGAATCTTATTTAGCATTAGAAACTATCTACAAAGTATAATTACGAGGAAAATATACCTTACGGCTGTTACACTCAATTAATCTCAGCTATCTTAGCCACATTGTAGCAGCCAAACTAGCAATCTATTTCGTTTTAACCGATTAGTTTGTTGAGTGACAAGCAACATTTTACTTTAGCACAGGGCAAGGTTGTCTTCTTTTTTTAATGCTAAATAACCGATTTCCGATTCGGGTTAGCTTCGTCGGTTTTTCAATATATTTTTTGACAATCTGGATTAATAGTTATTAAAATAGATCATTTGTAAAATAGAAATATTTTTTTAAAAGCTCGCTCAATTGAAATTATAATGACTTCAATATGTAAATTTCATTTTTGACAGGCAACATTAAATACATACATCCAAATACAGCTGAAAGATGACCAGAATTTTCTTAGAAAATGAAAAATTAATAACATATAACAGATCATAATGCTTCCTGATGGAACACTGTGTATATGGTACAATTCGAAAAACATATAACCACAGGGAAACCAGAAGTATTCATAGGATGGGAAAATTTTATTAAACCCTCCTCAAGAGAAATCTCAAATGATGTTAAAATTCCTTTGTTTACTTATCAATACCATTTTTGATTTAACATTCAAAAGAAAGAGAAACATAGAGTTTAATGATCTATATGAATACATATACATGCTCGATGAAAATATTTAAAAAATAAGGAAAACGACGAATTGAAATGTCCTAGTAAAACTCATAGTTTCCATTTTTACTATCTTATTATATATTAATAGTTTACTCACTCATAACTGATAACATTTCTAAAGCAATGCAGTGATGCCAAAACGATGGACTTCCTTATCCTGTATTATGGAATGACTCACTTGGTTTCCCCTATGGTATAATGTCTTCCGTAGGAATCACCCACACTGCAGGCAACATGAGTATTTACTTCACTATGCTTTGCCATGCAACCGAAAAACGAATGACGTTCCGTTATGTCACAATTATGCAACCAATACATACAATGACAAAAATCGCATAGAAAAATACGAGTGCGAAATGTGGCAAGTTTTTCAGTGCTGAAACAAAAATGGCTTAAAAAATAAATCAAAACTTTATTCGTGATAAATTCGCATACTTTTTGATATCTTTCGTTAGGAATAATTTAAAAAGAATAGTAATACACTCCACAAATAAATATTGCACAAGAACAATGTGGACGACGCATTCACAAAAGGAAAGACGTGTATGTACAACTCAGCGGCGATCCGCCCTAAAAAAATTAAGAGAATTGCCTCGACTTCAGTCAGCTAGAACTTCAGGTTTTTCTTCAGTGGTAACCTAAAGATACATCAGACTTTAATTCTAATGCTAAAAACATACAAAAAACCCATGTTGATCACCTTTGCTACAGACACTTGCATTTAGCCAAACCGAACTGTTACCCTATAAGGATGACAAAGTAAAAAACTGCTTTCATACCATAAATAAAGAATAAAGATAAAATAAAATCATTTCTTTTAATAAAAAAAAAGAAATAAATGATTACAGTCTTTATTTACATCAATAAATAAATGGAAATATTTTTATGGAGTGATTTTTTTTCGGCTAATCTTCTGCAAATGGAGGATTATTATTGTCCTTTCATAGCTCCCAACTAAAAACAAGTGGATAAAAAGGGAGATATTTGTTGAAAGTTCTGACTGAAGGTTAAAAAAAACACACTGTGCACAGAAACTAACTTACCGATGTAATAGGTGTTTCTGAAATATTGAGGTTCGGCAATAACCAAATTCGTTAAAAAAAAATCGTCTAATATTTGGTTCAACGCGAACGAAAAAAAAAGTAAAGCTAATCAGGTCCAATCACAATTAAAATAATAAAAGAGGAAGCGGTTCGAAAGCAAGACTAAGCACGCGTCGCGTACGCACTACCCGCCCCAGTTTTCTTCGTCGCTGTCCATGTCTTCGTCATCGTCATCGTTTGTGGTCAACAATTCCGAATCCATGTCAGAATAGGCGGACTGTTTCAGTTTTTTCTTGGCTAACGCGTCCATCTCCTCTTTTGAACGTTCTTTTCGGAACTCGTAAACGAGCGGAAAGATATGTTCGATTGCTGCTTGAACGTCGGCTACACTGGGTGCTGAAATAACTTTGCGTTAGTCAGGCTTCGCAGAAAAATTGAAACGTTTCCAGGCGCCCCTGTTATTTTCACGGGGTTCTGCGAAAGAGCATCGTCAATTTATATGAAACTAACCAAAAATAACTGTTTTATTTTATATAATACATGTAAAATTAGTAATATAACGTATATATAACATAATAACATAACCTTGCTTTTTCATTTATGACAATAACAGTTGGCATTGCTGAATTGCCTTAAAAATTTGAAAAATATTCTATTTGCTCAGTAAATTTATGAAGAACTTGGTGAATTTGTTTAATCATATTGGTGCATTACACTGGTCAAATATGTTGTTGAACTAACTTAAAAAATTAATTCATGAAAAATTGTGGATGTAAAACTAATATTATATAAGCTTACAATTCCAATAGGTCTAACGCGCGTGTAAAAGTATGTGACGTCACTTGTTAGATATCAACTAAACAGTAAACAAAAATATGTATTCAGCAGATAAAAATAAGTAAAAATTTTAATACAAACATATGTTCTTAAATGCTTGAAATATTGCAAAAAGAAAGTTTTTTCCTATTTATCTAAAATCTCTTCTGGGTATTGCTTTTAAAGTTGGTAGGTATTATTACCACTGAAAACAAATGTTAGTTAATTTAAATAATACAATATTATAATAATAAATAACAAACTCGCAATTTTGTTAGTAAATTTAGATAACATCAATTCTGAATAGAAATGTTCCATCCATTTTTTTCGCTTAAACAAGCCCTTTTCTAGAAAAAAGTTTTGTTGTTTGCATGCGAACCTAATTGTATTATTTAAATTAATTAACACAGTCAAACGAAATCCACTCGTTAAACAAAAATAAGTTCATATATGCCATAAATTTTTTTGTAAGTTGCAATAATAAATACCAAGTTTCAAACAAAGAGAAGACTTTTTTAAAAAAATGTAAAAAAATATTTTTTTCACAACATTTCAACAAATGACGCATTTTATTATATAAGTTAATATGAAGTTTCTTACTTATTTTTTATCTGCTTGATATGCTGTTAAAGTAGCTCCATTATAATTCAGATCAAGTACGGAAACCTGCTAACCTTTACTTTATTCAGTAATTTTTTTGAAAATTTAAATTAAAACGAAACTATCATTACAGAATCAAAATACATAAACCGATATTAATCCCTTCTCTAGAGGAAGCAAGTTTATGTGCCTATAATTGCAAAACAATACCTGTAACAGTTACACTGCCCGTAGAGAAAATTTTCAACGTTGCTTTAGGATTTGTTAACTTATAGGTGACACCAGGATGAAGCTCAGGCTCATAGCTGTAAGACAAGACACAATTTTACAAGAAAAACCTTCATAGAGACGGAGGAATAATAGGAACAATAATTATTCTGTCTAAAACCTTTTAGGTATATGAACGTAAAAATTAATAGTAAAATTTCTTAATATATTAATTGATTTTACTTGTCCACAGCAAAACAATTATACATAAAAACTTCTACGCGTAATAAGTTGTAATTGCCAGCCGCTTATCAGTTGAAATTACGACACTATAGACAGGTCACTTATTAAGCTGCTTTAAAAAAGACATTCAAATTCGGTTAATGAATGAATCATTTAACTAATTTAAAATAGGGAAGTTTATATTAAAATTTGCTACACACTTCATAAATGTTATCATATAAATAATAATATTATCAGAGCACTCAATATTGAATGAATATTATTAAATGTCAACACAAATTAATTAATGCATTGCTTATGCAACATCTTCTACACTACTACTATTTACGATTTTAAAACACTTTGAAATAATTAACATAATGTTGAAAAAACTCAAATTTAACAAGGTAAAAATTCTGTTACTTGGCTAAATCATAAGCCCAGCAACATCTAAGTAAATAAATTTAAATATAAATAAATGACTTACTCAGCTTCCCGATGCCTTTCTGAGAAGGAATTGATCCTGATAGCGAATGGCATTGAACACGTGCCTAGCACATTAACTACACGGTAATTGTTAAATCGTACATTAAATCCGAGTTTTTGCAAACATCTCGCGAATTTACGGGCAGCCTGTTTGGCGGCATCCTCACTTGTAGCACCCGTACAAGTGACCTTTCCCGAGGACCAAATGTTGGCGGTTGTGTATGGGCGGCGCAACTTCATAGTGATCATACCGTTTTCCTTTCGGTACTCTACATTTGTACCATTTAACGCGATCTCGCGTAGATTTAAGTGACACCGAACACTGAAACTGCACACCACATTGTTTATTACAATGTCTATCTCCGGTTCTGTTTCGTCATGTTGGGCTACCACAACTTCTTCTGCCGCTTTCTGTTCCAAAGTTTCCTCGGCGGACCCATCTTTGATTTTTTCAGTCTCTCCATACTGGTACCCCTGGTTTTGAGCTGCTAGTGTGGTGTCAAAACGGGCACCAACATTTTGCATTTGATGATGTACAAGGACATTGCCGTTGGAAAGAGATTTTATGCCGTTCTTTTGAACGGCTGCAGCCATTCTAGAACTCAGCCCAAAATCAGTCCTGAATGTAAATAAATGGGTAAGATTTTAACCGTCTCAAAGTTTTCATTAATCTAAATAGTGACGTATGAGGATATGTTAAATTCAACAACACCAAAAATGTATCAAAATACCACAGGTCCAAAAAAATTCTTTGTACATGGTTGTTCAGGAAGTAAAAAATAAAGGAATTACTAGGAGGGTCAAATACTCACTTTGGCGTCTCAGTTGGCAAAACGTGGTTCTATTTTGCAAAATTAATCAATTATATGCACAATATACGTGGATTTTATTTCAGATTGATAGTATTAAAGAACTTCTTTTTGCAACTAGAAGCCATGACACTAAAAACACTGACAACCCGAACCACCACGATACCAGGGTCCTATGCTAGACAAGATTTGACTAAAATGCATAGAACACTAACGTTGAATTGAGTGCACGAAACGCCCTTCTTCCTATCTTCTTTATTACAAGACTTAAGGCATATTAGACAGGAGCAGTCGCCCATGACTGATAAACTGAACGACAAAATAAAATGTCTGAGGCAATGTGCAGTTATCTTTAAGTTTTGGTCATTATAACGTACGTACAAAATACTGTTTTGCTAAATGAATAACCGAGAGCAACACACTAATATCGGTGAAATGCGAAAAAGCATAATACAAACATTATTTTCTGTTCTAGAAAAATTTCAATGGCCTTAATTTTAATTGTAACTTTGAAACCAAAAATCAACGAGTACCTAAATATATTTTTGAAAATTGCCTAATGTTTTATTTTTTCTTCCCATGCTTGCTTATAACAATTTTCCATTTTAAACATTTTTTTAGCTGTTTTTTCCTTTGGCAAGGTTCGACGATTTCCGTTGCCTACCGAAAAAACGAATTAGTGTATTTTCAATCAGTTTACTTTTGCCCATCTCACGTCTGTTTGGACCGTTGAATCATTTTTCTCATTTATTAAAGACCCGTGCGTCTCCTCAGTTTCAATGCTTTTATCGTTAGCCGATTTTGTTAATTCAGTTACACTTTCTAGTTGTTTTCTACCTGAGAAAAAACAGGAACAAGTAAACTAATACCTAGCATACTTGTAAATGTTAATTAATTCAATATTTCAAATATTTACTCACTTACCCGGAATACAATAGACTTCTAATTCCTGCTTAGCCGGCTTAAACGATTTTTCGGTCCTTGTGTGGTACTCCGGTAAAGGTTTATTAAATCTAGCAATCGCTTTAAGCTCGGCTGGAAGATCTTGGTTTTGATTCGACCGGGTTACAATCTTTCTAGAAAACGACTCAAGTACTGCACGAAATCGAATTAATTAATACACTGGCCTAGATTGAGTGCGAGAAGACCAAATAATATACAATTTTTAACTGTTGATGAGCATTACGTTATTTTCAGAGTTAGTAATTATATAATTGCTTCTTTATAATATATAAACTCTAGTTTTCGCGTAAGGACCCTTCAATAACACATCTCTAGTTTTTAGATTTCTAGAAAGAGTACATTTTGTACAGGTGATGGCTAGTCCCTTCACTCATTTAAAATAAACGTGTCCATTTCAAATAGAAAGTGCTAAACTGTCATCGCCAAGAAAGAAAAAAGAATCTGTAGAACAAATCTAACTATTATTGTCCCTGCGCAGGAACTTTTAGCTGATATATACCTATATTAATCCTAAAAACATGACTCAACGCACCTCTCTCGGCGATTTTTGAATCTGAAAAGCAAAGTTCCTGCCATCAATTATATGTTTAACGTCTTTGTAACCCGGTGGCTCGACATTTTCAGGAACATCTCGTCGACAGGATCCGCAGGGTTTACTAAAAGATTCGTACTTGCCGTCGCTGTTTGGAGAAACAGTACTGCAATGACCAGACGGCTCGTACTCGTCTGGCAACACCTTAAGACCGTTATTTTCAAAATCTCCTTGTCCCGTTAAGTTATCGTTCCGATTGTTACCGTTCGCTTTATTATTTTCGACGTGTGACATCTAAAATAACTGGAAATGACGATGGAGTTTATAAAAAAAGTACCTGCACCAACTTTCAGCACAGATTTGGTTGAAATGTTCGTAGAGTGCACCGGAGCCAAATCCAGTAGTTTTTTAGGAACCGGCTTAACGCGTAAATTGTCTATAACGTATTCATATTCGATAAATTCCCCTTTCAAACAGTCCAGCGCGAACTCTTCACCCTTCGATTTTCTTCTCACGCAGCAGAAGCACAGGCATCGATGCACTTTCTTTTTACCTACCGAAGACATTGACGTCTAAGTGATTTTACCGTTGCCGTGGCAAATTTTGAAAGTCCCGTGACTTTCCGATCTTTCCTGCAAGTCAAAGGGACGATGCGATCTGCTTCAGCGGATTTCGGAAGACCCGAGAATCCCAGAAAAAACGCAAACTTTTTGTCCGTGTTCACATTCTGGTAGGTGACGTTCCCTGCTTCGATTTCTTTCAAATCCTTTCGTATAGGTATTCGCTAAAACTCTTCATGGTGGGAAGGAAAAGAGACTTGGACGAGAGCGATCTAACCGAGCCCCTGGAGGAGCACAAGTCTTCCTTGTTGGGGGAAAAAATAGCAGCCAATTGGTCGAGAGAGCTAGATGACGCGACAAGAAATAAAAAAAAACCGAGCCTGACGAAAGTCATATTGAAGACATTCTATTCCGACGTAGTGTTCTACGGGATGGTCCTGTTTGTCATGGAAATTGGTATTAGGTTCACAAAACAACACATATTAATATAGTTATTCCAAACTGTCTTTCGTTGTAGGCTCGTTCAGCCGATCTTTATTGGTCTGTTCATCAGATATTTTACGTCCGATAATAGGAATAATGAAAATTTGTAAGTTGGCTTGACTCTTGTTTAATCGAAATTTATTTGTTTTTATTACTACTCACAAAAAAAAACAATGGATTTCTTCAAAAATTTTCAGTGTTCGCAAAGAAAAATATAACTAAACGTTTTGTTTGAAAGGTTAAGACCGCCTCATTTATGAGATTTTTTTTTCATACCATAGTGCAAGTTAAATAGTCGCCATTTTAGTCACCAGTTTGATTTAGCAGGATCCGAGCTCAGCTTAGAGAATACTTAATAAACGAGTAACGGAAGAAGTTAAAAAAAAACTGTTTCATTGGTAGAAAAATGTTGTATGAGGTATTTTTTAATTCGAATTAGACGAATACGATACGGAGAAAAGCAATAAACAAGTAGTTATTAAGAAGTTGCTTAAACAATTTCATTCATTATTAAGATTGGTCATTTGTGACCACCCTGTATAATTAATTTTCGAAATAAATAAGTGTTCTATATTAACCACTTACATGGTATTCAAATGTGAAAAAACACATTTTCCCAAAGACCTGTTTTCCGCAAAAAAATATTCCTAGCATTCTATTTAAAAAAATAAATTTTAATTTTTAATCCCCAAGATTGCTTTTAAATAAAAAATATTTAAAATGTATCACAACCGCTCAGTTCAAAGAAGGCTTTACGATTAAAATGATATACCCCATAGCAAACGATTTAATCCCAAAAACCGAAACAGGAAAAAATAATTATCTGCCATTAGTATTAACGTGTATGATAAAGGAAAGAATACTCATTACTACGCGTTTCATTCTAAATAAAATTTACTTCAGAAAAAACTATCGGACCCATTGTAATATGGTTCGATTTCACTGTGTTTTATCTCGCTTTAGATCGAGATCGCCAAGGTGGTTAATGCGTGTCTTTTTCTACTGGTCGTCTAATCAGTCTTCCATCACGAAGAACGAAGCTTACTTTTACGCAGTCTGCATAATGGCATGCAGCCTCTTGACTATCGGAATTTTCCACCCTTACGTCATGGCTGCGCTACATATCGGGATGAGGATAAGAGTTGCTTGCTGTTCGTTGATTTACAGGAAGGTCGGAGATATTAGTAGTATGCTTCATAATCGCGGAACAGGGATATACCATTTTCAGACCATGAGAATAAAACTAACTAGTCTAGGAGGCAAAACGGCAGGTAATGCGGTGAATCTCATGTCGAACGATGTGATGCGATTCGACTTGACTCCCATTTTTTTACATTACCTTTGGCTGGCGCCTCTGCAAGGTGTTTTGATCGCGTACTTTATTTACTTGGAAATTGGGGTGTCCTCGTTTTACGGGATGCTGGCCGTGGTGGTTATTCTGCCGATTCAGGGTGAGTTTTAGGTAACCACCACTCAAATACTCAATGCTTTATTAATAATAATGTGGATATTGAGAACTTAGATAATGGGAGTAGGCACCAACCCAGCAATTGTTTACTCAAAACAGAGAATCTTATTTTTGGCCTAAAAGTTATCTAAGCCAATTCTAACTAATAACTAACCAAAAAATGTCCTATGCGTCTCAAAAAATTTTGGAATCATTATTTTGAACAGTTTCTATAATATGGTCGAATATTTAATTTTAATGTTCAACTTAAACACCTTAAATTTTTTAATTAAACACTGGTAAATCGAAGTATTTTGACTTAAAGAAACATGATTCTCTACTTATATTATTATGAAGATACAGGAGAACCATTTTTTTTGTCTTTTCAATTTACATTTCAACAACACGAAATATTACGAACCATCAAAGTATAAGAGTTACCATTCAGAAAATCTATTCATTCCTCGAAAGAGTTTGGGGGTGACTAAATGGAAGGCCGATATTCAGCAATTTCCAGATAATTATTATAAAAATTGAAAAAAGCTGAGAATCACACCATTAACACAGAATAGAAAAACTAAAAAGCTAACTCTCCCGAAAATGCGTGACATTTCAGAAATTGCTACTCCATTTAATAAAGATAGAACCCAGAGTCGTATTAAAGACGTATTGAAGACATCGCCTTACTTGATGACCTTTAAACCTTTAACTCATGTGGTTTCTAATACTCATTAAGCAGTAAACTTTTCCACAAAGATATCAATTATTGTCGAAGTATTTATTAAAATAGAAATCTACATGTTACTAACTGGGAAAAAAACTTAAACTCTGCTTCAGCAGTTTCTGGAGAAACTGATCTGAAGTTCAAAATTTCCTTTGAATGGCGTCCGCCACTGCTTCGTCGAGTTTTATCTTCATTTTGAGTTCTGAATGTTTTTCCATTGTATGCCCCTAAGTTAAAGTCATGAATTAATGAACCACCATGAATAATATTTTTTCTTCAGTGGTACTCGGTTGGCAAACGTCCGTCCTGAGAACAAAATCGGCAAAAAGAACCGATGACAGAGTACGGGTGATGAACGAGATCATCCAGGCAATGCAGGTGATCAAAATGTACGCGTGGGAAAACGCGTTCGCAGATCTAATTAGCGATTTAAGGAAGTAAGATCATATAAGCTATTTCAGAAAAGTGTAGGGTAATAAAATGGAAAATTCCGTTCAAATGCAAATTCTATCCTGATAAATAGGCCTCGTTGTCATTTTTAACCACTTACCATGTTGTCTGATATATTTCCCCTCGTTATTCTGTTTATGAGGCATAAATGCAAATTAATGACATTTTAATGACACATACTTGCAGTAACACCTTTATATATATTATATTTGTTTAATTTAAAGCAGTATTTGCTCTTAACCAGTACTATTGACATTATTATAATTGCAACATTCACACTAACGACAGGTTAACACCGAGCGAACAAGTTCATAAAATAAGATTGCCAGAATGTTACAGGCAGATTTGTAAAAGTTCTTGATGAAGACACCAAAACTGTAATTCACTCTTTTTATTTGAAAAATAAGAATTCACCCTAAGATAAGAATTCAATGGAGTTTAGCCACGATGGCCGCTATTCAGTTGATAACTAGAAAACTTTTATGGATGACTTAAAAAAATATGGATGGTTGTTGAGTCGAACTTGTTAACGTTTCGCCAATCATCCAGTTGGCTTCTTCGGAACTTAACCGAAACTGGCTCGCATTTTACTCTGTACCTGCTTTTATATGGTTTGAGGTGCATAAACACCGTCTCGGATGACTGATTCTCATATTGGTGACAGGCAAAGACCAGAGTCGCGGTTAAGATTGTTATGTTGCTTATAGATTTCTATAGACACTCGAATTTTTCGTTGGTAGACGAATTGATTACATGCAAGAATGTTAGTTTTATCGAATAAAATTTTATGCTCGGTTTCATGATTGTGTTCGGCAATTGCTGATGAGTTTATTTGTCTTAGCCTAGTTGGTATTTTTCTTCCGGTCTCTCCAATGCCGCATATGCATAGAATGCTGTAAACTTCTGGCATCTCAAATGGAATTTTGTCTTTGACGGATCGAAGATGTTGGAGAGATTTCTGGACAAGTGGTAAATCTGGTTTTGACGTTATACTTCTTTACAACTTTTGATATGTGGTCAGTGATGTTTTGAATGTGAGGAAAGACAACAATGGCAAGTGTGGTATTGCTTTCGGCTTCGTTGCTAATGGAAGGTTGTGGTATATTTTGTGATGGAACGCTTAATATCTTGAATACGGAAATTATTAAAGAGGAGAACAATTTGGGTTCAGGGACTCGGGCTGAGATGGTTTCTGTAGACAAGAGAGTTGAAAACTGATGATTTTTGAAAAGATGGTGATGTGAACATGCATTAAGGTATCGTTCTGTGTGCGTAGGTTTTCTGTAAACACAATGACCCGATGTTGGGTCTGATTTTCTATTGCTAATATCTAAGAATGACAGACAGGATAGGGCTTAAAGTATTCGTACGCTCACTCTCTAGTCATTTTGCATTCTTAATGAGATTTTATTACTCTACACCTTCCTACCATAGAATTTAATAATCCTTCCATTCTTTTGTCGTTTTTTTTTTCAGAAAAGAAATTAGATATTTGCTCCTTACCTCCTATATAAGGGGACTGACGATGTCCTTTATAATGTTTATGGCAAGAAGCGGCATATTTTTGAGCGTACTGAGTTACGTTTTGCTCGATAACGCGATTTCGGCCGAGAAGGTTTTCCTGATCAGTTCGTATTACCAAATCGTCAGGCAAACGTTGTCCGTTTATTTTCCACAGGGTGTTAACGCTGTAGGACAAGGGCGAAAAGCGAACCTAAGCAAATATATTCACTTGCTTTTCGCAGGTGGCGGAAACCATGGTAGCTGTAAAACGTATTCAGGAATATTTGATGATCAATGAAGCGGTGGTCGGCGATCCAGCCGTATTCGATCCGTTTCACGAAGTAAAATTAACATCCGGTTCCGCACACGAAAGTCCGCTCGAAAGACGCGCCAGACAGAGAAGTGACCTTTATGGGACAAGGCTTACTTCTGCTTCTTTATTATTTTCAGTCCCGAGACCTCTGACGCCTGGAGAAACCGCTGAAATAACAATAGTGCGAGGAATAGCCAAATACGGTACTTTACAATTCGTATTGCAATTTTGGTGATTTACGTGTACGTACGCTTTGGAAAACCTGTTTCATTTTATTTCATTGGAGACTTTTTATAGCAAAAATGTATGTATTTTGGGTGACTTCAACATACTGTAGAGTCATCCGGATTATAAAAACCGAGGCAATCCGAATTAGTGAAACACACAGATTATTGGAATCTTTTTAAAAGCTATAAAAATTCACCAAATACACATTGTCGTAGCATTTACTAACACCTAAAAAATAAAAGGAAAAGAACACCAATACGCGGTCTCGGTCAATGTTAATAAGACCAGCAATTAGGACTTATGAAACTAAGATTTAAAAAAATATGTAAGTCTTGCTTGCATTGCGCGTTCTCTCATGGTTCGTAAGATGGACAAAACATTCAGTTCAGCACCATTTTCTTCCGCCGACTGTATACATGTACCAAACGCTTCACCAAAAATCCCTTCCAATACATATTCAATAATAGCGTCTTAAGGCGATGAAGCATATGAAGACATATAACATTTTATAGGTATTTTTATAACTTTAAATAAACAGGATCCAGTAAATAAATGAATACTTCGGTGCTTAACGCCCTGTGTGTACCAAAATTAAATTATTAGGTTCGGATTAAGAACCGAATTCTTTGTTTTCAAAATGAAAGGATTCAAAATAAATTTATTCGGTATTCACGTATCTTGTCTATAGGGTGTCCCAGTTATAAATTCTTATTGAGATTTCAAATAAAACATCCTGCATTTTTGCATTTTTATATTTTTCTATAGAAAACCGAACTAATTTTATAATCGGTACTTTCGGTCTATCGTAATTCGTTTTCTAGAAAGAAAAAAAACAAAAATCGAAATTTTCTCAATTTTAAAATAAAATAAAAATTATGCGTTAATGAAAACAAAAAATTCAAAAAGGTACATTATTTTGTAATAAAAACGAATTTAATTATATTTATAACAAATATAACTTCATTAAAACATTTGCTAATTTAGTATTGACGAAATCCACGCAGTATATATAATGGTTCAAAAGTATACAAAATTATAAATAGTTTTCTTTTTGATTTTCTAAAAGAGAATACTTAATTTGTGTTATTTGTCTAACTGTTTTATAATCTTTTTATTTAATCGTTTCATCACATACTCTTTGTTTTCTTGTCTTGTCTGAAGTTTTTCCATTCGACCTACAGACTAGTAAAATATGCGTATACTTCGATCAGAAATATAGTGCTTTTACAATCGACCCAGTGATTAATTTTACCTACTGTTTATTACTTCAAAACCGCAGCCCCTTATAGAACTCCCAGCCGAGCAGACCCTTACCCGTAACCATTCCAGAGCCATCCTAGGAATTTATCTCCTACCACGACTACTATCTCCACTTCGTCTTCAAATTTTGCGTCGTGTTTCGTGTTTTCTTCTAATAGGGGAACATCTGCTTTATTTCACGGTCTTGACATTTTAAAATGTTAAAAAACAGGAACCATCAAAAAATGTTTAATTGTAAGATTCTAATAAATATTGGGTTGTTCGGAAAGTCATTTCGTTTTTTTTGTGGAACATGAAAGTTTTCGTATAATGAATAAATATTTTATTAAATTATATATTGGCCATTCTGGTCAACGCGACGACACAAATTTCGCTCCGTAAGGACATGGGGCACCCACACATCGAGCTTCGAGGTTAAGCCCATGCCTTTCAAATGGCCATAAACAGTCGAATTCGACAAATTTAATCTCTCACCGATCTCTCGTGTGGTTATTCGCCGATTTGCATCAACTAATGCCTTTATCGCATCTTTGTCAGCTTCGACCGGCCTTCCAGACCGTGGTGCATCTTCGACATCAAAATTGCCGGATCGAAATTTTGCAAACCAGTTCTGGCACTGGCGTACTGTTAACACGCCTTCTCCATACACATCAATTTTTTTCTCGCTTGGACAGCATTTTTACCATTTCTGAAGTAAAAAAGTAAAATATGACGAAAATGCTGCTTATTGCTCTCCATATTTAAAAGGGCACCAACCAAAAACTACTGCGTAGAATTAATAGAACTTTTTCACACACAAGCCTTGCAATATCAGCTCTCAAGACATATAATGGTTATGCGGCTTAAGTGTGAAGTTGGTTTCGAAAAAACGTAATTAAGTCCTCTGACGGGAAAAAACGAAATGACTTTCCGAACAACCTTATATTTATCTGTATTCTTATGACGTACCTTTATCTACAGGGAAAAAAGACTGTTGTTCTATAGAGTTCTATAGGTTCTATAGAGGACAGGTACTTACCCTTACCCTTTAAAGTATCCAGCGCAAACAGCCTCGCAGGGTATTCAAAGCTCGAGAATCAGCTACATAAACACGTGCTTACTGGAAAGATCACAGTTAAATATTTCGGTAATATATTCGAACATATTGCAATTTATATTAAATAAAAAATTCAAGTTTCTATAAATATTCATTAAGGTCAATCTCAGGCAAGACCTACTGAATACAGAACAAACATCTGTTGAGATGGGTTTTACCACGGTACTGCGAAGGTTTGCGATTAAGGCACTGTAAAATACTTAAAAAGTCAAAGCAATAAATGCACTATATTTTCGGTCTATAATACAAGCGTCACTTTGGGTCATCATTAATGACAATTGGAATGTTCGTATTGAAAAAAAAGTTATTATGAAATATGAATTAGGTGAAGATGTTTGCTTGGACAATATCAACGCGTCGCTGCGATCCGGTGAATTAGTAACAGTAGTTGGTCCGGTGGGGGCAGGAAAAACTTGCCTTCTTAATCTGATACTTGGAGAATTAAAATTGTTCAGTGGAAAGTTGAACGTCAAAGGGACAGTCTCTTACGCTTCTCAAGAGCCCTGGTTGTTTGCAGGTATGTATTTATAGGATTTATATATATATATATATATAATTTATATATATATATATATATATATATATATATATATATATATATATATATATATATATATATATATATATATATATATATATATATATATATATATATTTTTTTTTTTTTTTCTGCACAAAATACGACAGGTCAGTGCGTAGAAAATGATGCAGGTTAATGTAAATTAGGTTAGCAACAAAAAAAATTCCTGCTTTTGCAACAATGGGACAACTTTCAATAAGTTTGTTAAACGTAAACGTAATCGCGATACGAGAGGGCTGGTTGCAATTAATTTGAAGCAACCACAGGGTCAGTCAAAATTACCCATCCCGTCCAGATATATTTTCCACTTGCCAACAGTCTATTTAACGTTTGTAGGTTCGGTAAGGCAAAATATATTGTTCGGAAAGGTGTTTGATCCGATCAGGTATAGAGAAATTATCGAGGTATGCGCTCTGAAAAGAGATTTTTCTTTGCTGCCCTATTCTGATCGGACGATCGTAGGAGAGAGGGGAATTTCTTTGAGCGGGGGGCAAAGAGCTAGGATTAACCTAGCTAGAGCGATATATCAAAGGGCGGATATTTATCTGCTGGACGATCCCCTGTCAGCAGTAGACATACAGGTTAGTTCGATTAAAACTTAAGGCGCTAGTGGAAAAAACGTTCGTTGTAGGTGGGCCAGCAAATATTCGAAGAATGTCTGATGAAATACCTCGAAGATAAAATCGTGGTATTGGTCACTCACCAGCTTCAGTACCTCAAAAGGGCCGACCGAATCATCATCCTGAGCCGTGGCGCCATCCAGTTTCAGGGCACCTATAGCGAAATTATTGCCAGCGACATTTCTTTCGCCAATATTTTGGAAGAGGCCGTTACTGCTACGGAACCGGAGAAAGAAGAGAAAGATATAGGCAGAGCATTAAGGGCTTTGTCCCGCGTTAGTACTGCTTTCAACAGCATAGTTGATATTGAAGGATTTAAGGTACGACTGTTTTTTTGATAGCTTGTTTTGTTTAAGTTAGCGAAGTTGATTTTTAAGTGGAACCGCTTTTTTTTTTTAGTGGAAAAATTATTTTACTTGACCTTGTTACCTTATTAAAGGGTGGGGTTTCTAACGTCCTTTTATTTCTTAAAAACAACAAAAACTAAAGAATGCCATTTGCACATCTTCAAAATAACTCTTTGAAAGAGAAACTATACCGGATAATGAAAAATTTGATTCCCAAAATAAAAATTTCAAATTTACGGTTAGTATTAATTTGTATTATATTTTATATAGTCGATTCTGGAAATTATGGAAGATCGTTTCACTAAGAACGGATATTTTGTCTTTTTCTAGAGACGATTATGGTAACACGTATGTAACAACGGTTTTATATTGATATTTAGGTCATTCCGAAACTGGCCCCTGAAATGAGAACCCTAGGCTCGGTAGGCGTCGACAATTACAAAGAATATTTCCTTGCCGGTGGATCTTGTGGCACGATAATGGTCATGCTGGTTCTTTTTCTCGGCGCCCAATTTTTGGCAAGCGGCGGCGACTACTTTTTGAGTCAATGGTAACTTCAGCTATAGGGTATTTCAGAGAACCGTAGAGTAATAAAATGGACTATTTTGGTGAAATGAATAACTATCTGCCGACTGATTCAGTAGTAGTTATAGATAAATACAAAGTACTATTCACGGCCCGTACGTAAGACGTCATCATCAAGTCCGTATCAAGCGCTCCAGATGGTTGGCGAGAAAAGAAATCTTTTCAAAACTGTAAAGAAAAGAAGAATTGTGAGGACCAGTATAATCTTCTACGTCTGATCCCAAATGGAAAAATGGTTGTGTTGTAAGAAGCTTTCATTGTTTCTTGCAAGGGACTCCGTATTTTGAAAAGCGTAGTCATTTGGTCCCCGAATCAGTGCCGAAATCGTCAACTGAAAATAATAAAATCTTGTATCATTACAAGATTGTGAAGTTTGAATTTTTAGTTTAATAAATCATAGAGAACCAGACGTTTTTAAAACATTGTTATGTTAATAAATTATCAAAACAACATCATTTTCAAAGACACTTCCACAAGCTACTGTAATACTACCTAAGTCACTGTTTAGATTGTTTGGTTGCTTATAGATTTCTATAGATTTTCGGGTTTTAATCTTAAGGCTCTTTCTTGTTCTTTGAGCCTAGTTGATATTTTTTGTGCGGTTTCACCAATAATAAATCCTCTAGAACTTGTATGAGTGCAACTGTTGGCATTGAAGTGACACTATATCAGCATGTCTATATGGTTTTATTACTCTATATTTTTCTGCAATAGACTATAATTAGGCTTGCCGGAGAATAATTACGGAACCTTTAAGGGTAAATTTAGAAGAATTGAGGGAACGTTCCGGCGACTCATCGGCGATGGGATTTTGGAACAAATTTGACAGAAGCGTGTGTATTCGAATCTACGCGGGGTTCATCGTCGCCACGATAATCGTCGCCATCGTGAGAAGTATCTATTTCTTTACCGTTTGCATGCGCGCGTCTTTCAGGTAAGTTAAACAATGTAAAGAACAAATTTCTGATAACCACAGGGTGTTTCTTAATGCTGCGTCAATACTGAAGGGAGTACTTCTTGGATTCATTTATCTTTTGTGATAGTGTCTAAAAAGCAATTCTAGATATGTCAAGATATTTTCAAGTGTTTTTTTTTTTAATTTTGTGCGAGTTGTATGCCTTATTTATTGAGAAAAAAACTGTATGCCACTCACATTTCTTCAGGTCCAAATTTACTTTGCATTTGTGCCCATCAGATGCACCCTTTTTGAATAACATAATGAACATTTACAGTTTATAAACGCTACTTTTCGATGTATTCTTGTTGAGTTCATTTAATTTTTTGCCTTTTATGATTATAAGGTTTTTTTTTATTAGAATAAGGTTAATAATTTCCTCATATGTATTGACACGCCATTAAAAGGCTTTGGTGTATAACAAAAACTGAGAAATATCTCAGCAAAAACATTCTTTTGTTAGCCAATAGATTCAATAATAACTCTATTCACTCTTACTTACTCTTAGTCTATTTATTCTTTGCTCTTTGCTCTCCCACTGGGTTAACTTTTTTGTGTACTCCCTATACTTATAACAATTTCCTGTACTTAAATGTTCAAAATTCGGGAGAGCGTTTTTAAAAACATTTATTTATACAGAAAGTAAAACAAAGTTTTATTCGTACTAGTCGATACAAAGGCCGGAATATTTAAGAGCAATTTTACAATATGACAATCGAATGAATAGGGCTTCTGTGCCAGCGAGGCGTTATCTTCGCTTAGCTTTGGGCTTCGTCTGCATGCGTTTTGAATTTATAAATAACGTCACTTAATGACATTTTCTTGGCGGTCGTAGAAAAAACAGTTTATAATTAAACTTTTCTTCACTAATTTACCAAGTCTTTTAAATAATTATTAATTTATAGTCTAGCCAAACTTTATTAATACCTGAAAAAACTGTAAGTTGGGAATATAAAATGTTAAAAAAATGCTAAAAAGAAATACTACAACAGCAAAAAGCTATTGAAGTTTCAGTCAAAAATCTTGGGTATTAGAAAGCCACTCGTGCTTGTACAAGAGCAAAGGATCTTTATTAGAAATAGAAATAGTTTTCATTAAAATGTCACTTAGCTACCGCACTAAAAAAACTTCGCTACCATTATTGCTGGCGCTCATAGAATTTTTTTTTGGCAGTTATTGTAAATAGATGCAGGGTGCAATCCAAACTCAATAAACCGAGAATTCGAAGCGTTTTTTTTTAAATCTAAAAGTATTCAAAGGTCATATAAGTTGTCATATCAAATTTTATTTTTATTTGCATCTTGTCTGGCTGGTTCGTTTTTATGTTAGACCAGTTCTTTTCCTTCAAATGCCTACAATGTTTCCCTTGACTTTACTAACTTTGCTCTCGCCGCAATCCAAATTTTTAACTTAAAACTGCCAGTTTTTATTGACCGTTCTTTATGAATCATCCTGTATATTTGATGTTTCAATTGGCACTGTTCCTTGGCAGAATTGTGATTTATTTTTCAGAAATTCTTATTCCTCCAAAAATTGCCTTATTAAGCTAAAATCCTATATTTTATATTTGGTGACCTCTCAGCGCCATGTAAAAAAATAACTATACGGACACAATCGATATGCCGATAGCATTTTTCTCAGATAAAAGATGAAACGATCTAACTGACATCTCGGGGCATATTTCAGACTGCACAACCGGATGTTCGAGAGTGTGATACACGCCGCGATGAGTTTTTTCAACGCAAACACTTCCGGGAGGATTTTGAATCGGTTCTCGAAAGATCTCGGCACTGTCGACGAGCTGCTCCCGAACGCTTTCATCGATACCGCTCAGGTTTTTGGCACCAACGCCCACAACTAACGCTATAAAATAGAAAGCATTATCTGATTTTTAGTTGTTGCTTAATTTAGTGGGCGCCATAGTGGTGGTGTGCATCATAAACGTGTGGCTTCTGATACCGGTGGCGGTAATGGTCGTATGCTTCTACGGTCTCAGAAAATTTTATTTAAAGACGAGTCGCAGTGTGAAAAGACTCGAAGGAATAGGTAATGATTTTCGATGAAAAACAGAATGTTTCATCTATTTTCTGTACGTACGTATCCAGGAATCCTGAAAAAAGTGGGGACTGTAACTTTTTTTCTCCACATACGCAGATACGATCTCCCAAACCATAAGGTTTCATAGCTATCAGAAACAAGGCGATAATTTTAATATCTGCTTAGGCAATGGCAATGACTAACTATCTTTTTCTAAAACTTCATGAGATTGCAACGGTCGTTCAATTAATTCTATGCGAAGATGGGATCAATTTGTTTGCTGTATATTAAAGACTTGTTTGAAAATTGTTTTCCATTTCCAGTGAAAAGTCCGGTTTTTGCACACCTAAATGCCACGCTTCAGGGACTGCCGACCATAAGATCGAACAAAGCCGAGAAGCTGTTGGTCGAAGAGTTTGACGCCTTAGAAGATGTCCACAGCAGCGCGTGGTATATGTTCCTCTATACGTCGAGAGCTTTCAGCCTCTGGCTTGATTGGATATGCGCCCTTTTCATCGGAATCGTGACGTTTAGCTTTTTGTTCCTCTCGAATAGTAAGTAAACACCAAATGCCATTAAATAAATGCGTCCGGATGTGAACAGATATGTTTCAATGATTAGATTTTTATGGCAGCGCCGTGGGCCTCGCCATAAGCCAGTGCATTGGACTGACAGGGTTAATACAATGGGGAATGAGACAATCCGCCGAACTGGAGAATCAAATGACTGCCGTTGAAAGAGTTCTGGAATTTACGACGATCGAACATGAACCAGATTTGTATTCGGTGAGCATCTGGAACTAAATTCCATTGCTGTTAAGTTTTGGGTAAAAGCATATAGCTATAAAACATATAGAGGCCCTGCTTATGCCGACAGTACAGGAACTTTGCGAGAAAGTCCATTCAAGATGCGCATGCGCAAGATTTAAAAATTCTGTAATTAATTTGGCGTTTTTGTTCTTTAAGCCCTGTATTTTTTCATGTAAGCTATTCTTCCAATTTTTTTTTGCTTGTAAATTGGCGCAAAGCGTTAGTTTTCATAAATTCATAGGTTTAACCTCCACTGAAATAACTCCTGACCTCCTATAGACAGTAGTGGACGATGAGTATTTCCTATGCTTGTTCTAGCAAAAATTCAACTTGTAGCTTTCATATTTACTGTCATCCTTGTACTCGAAAACATATTACGCAAACATCCTTCGTAGCTTCTTAAGTGTACCTAAAAATGTAAGGAATTCTGTTTACTAAATTCACACGTAAATATTTGTGTAAATCTATTTTCCAGTTTGTTAAATGTCAAAAACATAGGCATTCTCGAAGATCCTATTATCCTATATTTGTCACATTTGTCGTAATTTCGTAAAAGACCAAGAACAAGGTATTGAAAGCACAAATTATACAAGTTGGTGACTACGGTACCCAGATGTTGACACCAACAATGAAAACAACAATGGCGTTGCCAATTATGTTCGGATTTCAGAGATCGTGCGGCTGGTTTTTGTTATCAGTTCACTTAAAGTAAAGATTGTGAGTTATGTTTGCGAATTGATTAGGAAGAAGACAAAAAACCACCTGTTTCGTGGCCCAAAAATGGACGCATCGAATTCATCGACACCTCGATGAAATACAGTGTGTATGAACCGCCGGTATTGAAGAATTTAAATCTCGTGGTTTTACCCAAAGAGAAAGTGAGACATTGATTTTTTTTTCCCTTCCTTTATATCCAAGCTTTATTAACCTTGTAGGTCGGAATAGTTGGCAGGACCGGGGCGGGAAAATCGTCTTTGATCGTCACCCTGTTCCGACTCGCCTATTACGAAGGGGAAGTTCTTATCGACCATTTGGATATAAGCGTTTTGGGATTGCACGATTTGAGGAAAAAAATTTCTATAATACCCCAGGTACATGACATTTTCGTTTCAGTTATTCACGTTCAAGATTAAAAAACAAAATCAAATGAAGGTTTTTGTGGAATTCCCGAGGGAGCGTGTTAAAGGGAATTGGAAAATAGTTTGAACGTTAACTGGTTGGGTGTTTAACAATTTCCATTATTCGACTTTTTTTCTTTGATAGAGGAATGGTTTAGATACAAGTACTTTAGTTCTGTCCAATGACCTTTTTCATAACGGTGTTCAAAAACTGCTAATGCTGAATGCTGAAATTACCTCCTTTACAAAGGATTAAACAATTTAAGAAATTTATTATATCTTCGTCGTCCTCTGATGAAGAACAGGAGAGTTTATCTTTAAGAACTATTACAGCGGAAGTGCATGATCGTTCCAGCTCAGCAAATGTAGCAGAATTCATCCCAAAAAAACATCTAATTATGTTCCTCCCTTGAATGAGGAGGCCGAAAAATTTTTATCCGCCCTTGACAAAAACAAAGACTCCCATGCAAGAAAAGTTGGGGCGTGGTTTGATGAAATTGGGACAAATTAATACATTAAATTATTCGACCCGTTTCTCCAATGCTTACTTTACCAAAGCCTTAACAGATCGTAGATTTTGGGAGATTTTTCGGTAAGTAATATTTTAGGTGAATTTTTGATTTTGGTATGTAATTTTCCTGCTATTTTCTGAGGGTAGTTGTCGAAGTACATTTATCCAATGGCCTAGAACTTTTTAAAGATACGAAGAGAGGCAAGGTGTTTTAATTGTTGTCTAATTAATTGAGGATGATGTTTGAATGCAATTAGATATGGATCAGTGTGAATGAGTTTTAAAAGTTCAGATTTTCACGAAATGATATATATTCACATGACAATTGTTTCGACAACACCGTGTCTTAGTTCAATGAATGAGTTTTCTGTACACAGAATGACCGATCACTGAAAATATTTAAAAAGATGGTTTTCAAGTTCGATAGTGAACTTGACGTTAGGATATATGGAGTTTATGCGTTACGCGAAAGATCGAAGATATTCGCCATTTTTACTTGACAGAACTAAAATTTTTTATCTAACTAATTCTTCTATCAAAAGAAAATACGAGAAACCATTAAAATTGTGAAACAAACGCTCAAACTAAATTTCATAAATAAATAAATGTAATTATCCTTAGTTTAAGTTTATAAGTTGTGTTATAAAGTAAACAAATAAAATCTCTCATCCATTTGAGATTTAGTCATCCGTTAAACTAGTAAACCTCTCCCCCTCTTTCACATGAATCTCAGTGATTTGATGTACATGCAGAGCATTCGCCTCTTAGCAAAATAAATACAGAAGAAGTGTACTCTCAAAATTTGTTGGTTCTTATAATAAATGTTGTCTTATGCGCGGTGTGATTCGAAGGCATATTAAAAATATCTGTTACGAACTACGCAGTGTTGCCGCTTATACATGAACTTGCCTAGTTTAAATTCGATGCAACCGCAACTGATCGAAACCAAAATGCAAAATAAATAAGACTTTCTGGAGAATTTTGTTGTCTATCAAATTACGAATGAAACTACTAAGATGAAAGAGCCTGAACAAATCAACTTTATTTTTGGACTCAAACGATATTCAAGCGCAAGATTTTCGGCGTTCGTGTTAAAGCTGCAACATCTTCGATTCGGTTTTCCAGATACTTCTAATAGGCCAAAGTGAAACCCTCGCGGATCGAAACATAAGTTACGTGCGAGTAAATTTTCTAAAAAATGCCTGAATTATTTGATAGGAACCCATTTTATTTTCCGGAACTCTGAGATACAATCTGGATCCTTTCAACGAATATAACGACGAAGAAATGGTAAATGCTCTTGTAGCGGTAGAAGACAAAAACGCCTTAAGTAAAGGTGCAGGTAAAGTGGATGACTTTTTTTCTCTGATCCATCTCATTTAATAATTTTTAACTCCAAGTTTTTATATGTAGTTTAATGGGTTTACTTTTCAGAATGTTTAGATAAGATAATGTCCGAGGGTGGCGGAAACATAAGCGTCGGGCAGCGGCAAATGATTTGCCTCGCCCGCGCTATTTTGAGGAACAACAAAATTCTGGTCATGGACGAAGCCACAGCCAACGTAGACGCGCAAACCGATAAACTCATCCAAAAAACGATAAGGACCAAATTTGCCCACTGTACCGTCCTCACGATAGCTCACAGGCTGCACACGGTTATGGATTCCGATAAGGCGAGTATTTTTACGAGTAATACCAAAAAAAGGTGAAATTGCTGGCGGAAATTTTTTCGAACTAGAAATTAATTTTATAAAATGCGTGAGAAAAAATTCGCTTCGCATAATTTAACCTCGAGTTTTATTCGGTATGAAAATTGCACTTCACATTAATAGGTTGTTTTTATGTTCGTGACTGCTTAAAAGTAAGTAAATACCAAAAAATAACAAGTTTCTTGTGAGCAACGCACGGATGTACGCGTCAACATATTTAACGCCTCCTCTGATAGGTCAAAACTATTCGTGTGCGTTTAGAATATGATTGGATATTAGGGGTTGGCTAAGAGCGATGTCAGACGATCATGAAAATGTCAATTATGTAATGGATATATAAACTACAATTGTGGTTTATTGACTACCAACCGTTTTTGCGATATACGTGAATTAACATTTAAATGAAGAAAGTGTCTGTAAATTGTTTATCGTTATGTCGAAAAATGTGCGCTTCAATTCACTGTCGGTTGCATATATTAAAGAAAAACAAACACTTTTTAATTCGTTAAAAATTATGTTTTATTAATCGAGTGTCAATACTTCAGAAGTGATTTTAAGAGGGAAAGTTGACTGAAAGAATTGACCACACGGGGTTATTTAACTCAACAAAAAATATTCTTCACGATAGTCTTATTGATCTACGAAAACTTCTCTTACCACCGCTGCATATTAAATTAGGACTGATGAAGCAAAACATTAAAGCTTTAAGTAAACATAGAGTATATTTATGTGGAAATTTCCCCTTAGATGCAAATAAAACCACTAATTTTACGTCACGTTTCGTAATAGATCTTAGTGATGGACGCTGGCATCGCGGTAGAATTCGACCATCCGCACGTTCTGTTGCAGAACCCCAATGGATACCTGTCCCGGTTGGTCAGAAAGACCGGTCCTGGACTATCTTCTAATTTACGGCGAATCGCCAAGGAGGTATACATGGACCAGAATTACAGTGCTTTTACAACCGACCCCGTCATTATCTTTGCCTACTGTTTATTACTCCAAAACCGCACCGTTCTATAATTTCATGCAGCAGAGTTTTGACAATCTTAACCGTAATGTATTTTTTTAGAATTTTGACCTTAAATTGTCGTTGGATCGAGAAGCTGACAATTCCGAATACAACGGAACTGTTACCGCTACGGAGATGTTATCTAAAATTTCAGACATGTCGTACGTAAGCGGTCCGGAATAGAAACAATCTCGGTTAAAGATGGAAAATAAAGGACGCGTTATGTATTACAACTTTATTAAAAAGATTGTTGAAATATTTATGCTAATAAAGTTAGTTGTAAATGTTCCTATGCTCTTAAAAAGAAAAAGTACAAATTATATATATAATGGGCGTTTGCCCGCGAAATAATGCTCGCGTTCGGTGTTACGAATTATACAAAAAAAAAAAAGAAAAAATACTAAACATCTCTTCCTGAGAACCGCTCGTATCTGTACACACACTTCGCGATACAAATTCAGACTATGTTTCTCCTTAAAGTTTTTAATTAAAATACAATGGACAACCTAATGACAATACAAAACGGCAATTCAGATATTTGCCTTATGCTCTAAACACTTAGGGATAAAATTTCCTAATCTGTGTTCAAAAAGAGAAATTTGAATCGCTCCCGGCGACAACAGCACACAATTAAACTAGCATACAGTTGAACCAGTTTAGATTTTATTACTAAATAAGGGCACAAAATAAGTTCATAATCGGGTGATACAATAAATTTCTCATGTTTGATATATGGGCGGCTATGGATTAACCTAAATTGTGACGTCACTAAGGACAGATCAAACACAGAAGCTGCATTTTGATACTCGCATATCAACATCATCATCGTGCTATGAAATTTATTCCTGCAATACCTTATGCAAGAGCGCGTCGCACGTTTTTTTCGCGTCGCCCAGTAACATGGACGTGTTGGGCTTGTAAAAGACTGGATTGTCTACGGCTGCATAACCGACACCTGCAAATTAAATCACATTTTCCCTATTAATATGAGACTGCTTGTACAGGGTCGTTTAACGATAGAATAAAGTTCGCTACGTAATTAGTTTCAACAGATATCAGAAAATGATATAATAATAATAAAACATACCTAAACCAAACAATTTTTCCAATATTTAAAAAACTAGTTTTGAACGGAATTCGAATTAAATGCGACAAAGTGTTCAAAATAAATTATTATTATTATTACGTAAGTATATCATATATTTTAACTATTGGTAAACAGAGCTGTTAAGATTGAAAAACGAACAGGAAAAAGAACTTTGTTGGAGACGTAGAAAAAGACAATTATTAGAAATTTGTGCTATTGGTGTTTTCTATCGGTAGATTACGCTGTATCACGTAAGCTTGCTACTTGAGGGCCACTGACCTAGGGACTAGCTTGAAATTGAAGTAGAATTTTCTCACTGGTAGCATCCAGTGCACCACTTTCCGTTCTTCATATTAAATACTACTACTAGCATCAGATTATTACTACTTCGCTTTGTCAAGTCTTGCTGCCATTAAAGCATTACTTTGCCGCCTCAGCTAATATGGAAATCATATCAATTAATTCAACTTTTGCACTTTTTTTTTAAGTATTTCCCAATATTTATTTAATCAGTGGTCAGGTAAAAATTTCACAATACCATTATGTCAGAAAGTCTTTACTTCGCACGTACCTAAAGATCTCTTCATCACTATCACATGATCAGACTTCCAGACGTTCAATACGGGCATGCCGGCTATCGGCGAGTTGGGATCCTCTAGAGCGGCGCTGTTGACCGTATCATTGGCGCCAATCACCAACACGAGATCCGTGCTCTCAAAGTCCTCGTTGATTTCGTCCATCTCCAACACGTCGTCGTAGGGAACTCCGGCTTCGGCCAGCAACACGTTGAGCTGTCCCGGCATCCTCCCTAAACATTTCCGAAACTACATTCGCGAGCCAAACAAATTACGAGGACCACCGACCGGCCACTGGATGTATGGCGAATCTGACTTGCTTTCCCTTACTCTTCAACACCTCCACCATTTCGGCTATGGGGTACTGAGCTTTGGCCACGCACAAGCCATATCCCGGCACGATTATGATACTCCTGGCATTGTTGATCGCTTCCACCGCCGAATCCAAGTTAATTTCCGTATGCGTGCCGGTGATCTCCATCGGTTTACCGCTTCCGGTACTGGTGGTACCGTAACCGCCCAAAATAACGTTCGGCAACGAGCGGTTCATCGCTTTGCACATAATGTGCGACAGTATGGCGCCGGACGACCCGATTAGAGCTCCGACGATCGTCATGAGACTATTGTTCAACATGAAACCTTCGGCGCAGAGTGCCCATCCCGAGTAACTGTTTAGTACCGTGATAACCACCGGCATGTCGGCGCCGCCGATGGCGACGGTCAAAGTGACCCCCATCGTGGACGATAAGGCTGCGGTAGTGGCCAACGCTCCTAATCCGCCGATCAAGGTGGGATCGTAAAACAAATAACCACCGGCCGCTACGTTAGCCAAAAGCAGGGCAGAGTTTAGGGCGTGGCGGCCGGGTAATAGGAGCGCGTTGGATTTGAGGAGGCCCTGCAGCTTGCCGTAGGCTACCAACGAGCCGCTGAATGTTACCCCACCGATGTAGGTGCCCAAGAAAAGGGCGGTTTTAGTCACGTTGGCGGCCGGGTCTATGGCGAATGTGGGAAAGTCGTGAATGAAAGTGGCCACGCATGTAAGCACCGCGGCCAAACCCACCAAGCTGCAAAACGTTACTGTTGGAGATAACCAAGTGGAGTTTTGGAACTATTTAAAACGTCATGTTTTCTACAACTTAAAACTAACGAAAATCTTGACCGAGACAAATTCGAATCTTTACGCAAATACGAGGGTCACTCGAAATGTTTTCACCCTGAAGATGAAGCCACTACTTACCAGAAGATAGTGTCGTAGTTGGTAGCTACATGCCCTAGAGAAAATGGAAAAAAATGACTATAAAGCTGCCACAAAATATTTGTTTTTGAAAGGCAATACGGGGGATTCTGCGCCGTCATTTACCACAGCGAAATTTTGGGCGGTTGAATTTAACGTGCCCGTATGAGCTTAGAAGATGATGAACGTATTAAACGACCGTCGAATTCCAACGCTCTGTTAGTGCTCTGTTAGGCGGAATAAATAAATTATTTTGCGGAGGAAAACGCTGGGTACTATTCGGAGGAGTTAGGAGAAATGTATAGAGTTACAAGGAGACTAGAAAAATAAAACAAAAATTGAGAAACAAGTTCTCATCATCATTGTTAAGTCGGAAACTTTTCAAGTGACCCCCGTGATAAAGAAGACAATTGCGAATGCTTTCTTTGTTAGTAGTTTGCTATTTTGCTCGATATTAAATAAAAACTTAACCCCCAAAACAAAGTCACTAGTCTGGTCAAGGATAGGTGTTATGGATTAAGAAGACCCAAAAAGTCATTCATAATATACCTAAAAACCTGCTTCCTAAATAAATACACAATTGTTAGGGTCACGTGGTCGACAGAACAGGTTTTACATAGTTCGATTCTAACACGGCTACGCGAGATTGGACTAGATATAAGGCAGGTCAACTACAGATAAAACTACAACAGAATCATTTAGTGTATTGAAATATATTCGTCAAGGATTACTGCTTATACATTAGAAGAAGACCAGCAATACTGGTTGAATAAGATAAATGATATTAGGTAGCAGTATGGGCTTCAGATTGACATTTCTAAAACGAAAACTATGGTAAAACCAAAGTAATTATTAGTGGATGCGTAAATAAGTAAATAAGGGGGTAAATAAGTTCAGATAAAGTTAAAACACGAATTGGTATAACCGAAATGACATTTTCTAAACTTAGCCATCTGTTCCTCCATTAATGTATGCCTGTGGATCTTCGAAATTGAATATATTGAACAGATGTCAAAAGAGAGGAGCCAGAGCAGAAAGATATCTTGAGAGGTGAGACCCTTCTCACCTTAAAATATCAAGAACACCCTCATATTCAATTAGGCATAATGAAAAGATAACCCCAACGTGCGGGATGCATATGGGAAAAGAAGAAGAAAAAGAATATTCTAGCCAATTACTTTATATCATATTGCGATAATTATCTATTGAAAAAGTTAAAAACAAATAACCCACGATTACAGAAAATAAAAAAGATCTATGAATGCTGCAGAACGTGTGAGTAAAATATCAATGGCGCCTCATCGCAAAATAACACAAACCTGTGAAAACCAGCAACCAGTTGCGGCAGATCGGTGATTTCGATTTTTTTCGCTATCGTGGCACCTATCGCACCGCCCCCTATCAGGCAGGCCGCCATTTGAGCCAACACTTCATTGGAGGGCGCTAATTGACCCAACGTCGCGGCTATACCTCCTGCCACTCCGATCTAAAGTAATCATTTGATATTCTCTCGGAAATGTTACAGTATATGAAAATTTTATATAAAACGGCTTCTTTAGTTACTAAAAATTAATTAAGTTTAAAATGTTAATCGATAGCAGGTCAGGAGTGCAAAAAATTCAAAATGCATTTTTTGTCTGTATTGTACTTCATTGCCAAATAAAGGCCCTATCCCCGGCCCTTTTCCACACGGCACATGTGTATTTTAAAATCATCTTTGAAAAAATATTAAATTTCATCTTAATTATGTTGGGTGCTGCACCTTATGTGATTAAGACATCAGAACATTTAAAAATATTTTATTCTAACCTACTTTACGATATTTGTTTGGCTCATGGTCACAATAGAATCAGCAGAATGTATAAGAGACTAGTTTCCATTGTTAAAGGATTTATTTAATCAAGTAAAAAAAATGTTTTCAAAAGCACCTTCACGTGCTCAATTTTATAAGGAAAATTGCCCAAATATTCAATTAACATCACAACCAACAACAACTAACTGGGGAACTTGGTTAGTCGCTGCTACATTTTATGCGAAAAATTTGGAATTATTTAAAAAAATTATCGAAGATCCAAACGACTTATCTTCTCGCGTTCTAATAAGTGAACCTCTTTTTTCTAATCCAACAGTGACAGATAATTTAATATTTATAAAAACAAATTTATTCTTTTGTATCCAGAGCACTCACGCAGCTGGAGGCCACCTCTGTTTCTTTGACAGATTCAATTTGAGGTAGAATGCAAAAAAGTTTCAGTTACTGTTGGGGCTGCGGTTATAAAAAAATAAAAAAATCCTAAAAAATATTTCAGTGCTTTTCATAGGCCATAATTTCAAAACTGTCGGATAACTCATGTAGATATTGAGCAAGTGTCAATAGTATTGTTAAATTTTAATTGTATTATTTTTTTTTATAATCGTAACTCAAGTTTTGTAAGTTTTTTTTTGTGTTTTGCAATTTGCTATTAAAGCATCAATGTGTGTATCTGTGGTTTAAGTAGACTTCTGAAGAACGAAAGAAAAATTATAAAGAAATAGTTCTGGGTTGATTTAAAATAACATTAATTATGACAATTTTTCATATAATAAAAAGGCATTTTTGCATTTTTTGTTCATTTCAATGAATATATTTGGAAAATGTTATGCATTTAAATGAGCATATAATGGGGTTTTTCGATTTCATTTTTTCCGCTCATCACTTATATATTTAGCCTGCAAAGCAGAACCGTACTACGAATTTTATTATTACTATTTTTCAACTACATAATTGTTGTTTTTTTTTTTAATTTGATGCCATTAATATACTTGCCATCCCAAGGTTGTTTCCCATTCTGCTGGTGGTTTGCGAGCTTAAACCAGCCAAAGCTCCCACACAACACAGGGACGCGGCAAGGTAAGCTGCCTGATGGATTTCGGCCAAACCGCTCATCGCTGCGTAACTGTACCCCCCGAGGAACACTACCGCCGGAATGCCATAGAACAGGTTGTAGTCTGGCGGATCTCCGGGCCTAAAATCACATTAATCTTGAAGGGACCATATCCGGCAGCGCACCCACTACGCACCTTCTAAACATGTCCAACATCCTTTTTGTGACGAGAAATCCTCCGAAAACGTTAATGAAAGATACAAATGCAGCTGCCGCTGAAAGCGTCTAAAATAATTGAACAAAAAATTTCACTTTTCAATTCAAAAAGTAACGAAATCGTAATAAATTAAGCAATATGCAATTAGACGGCAATTTATTAATAAATACCTCCACAGAATTGGTTGGAAAATAGCTGCCGTTCATCAGCAACAGGCCCCCTACAGCCGTAATGCCGGATATGGCGTTCGTAACTGACATAAGGGGTGAATGCAACGCCGGTGTTACACCCCATACGGTGTGATAACCCACTAATCCAGACAGCCCCAATACTGTCAACATCGACGTGAAATCCGAATTGGGAGAACATATCCCCAACCCCAATATACTTCCGATTCCTTTAAAAACGGGGAAAAAGTGCAAAATAGGCGTGGGCGGATCATAAAGGTTCACTTACCGGCGGTTGTGATTAGAGCGTTGTCCAATGTTTTCTTCAACGGAGTAAGTTCTTTATGGACTTCTTTCACCACTTTGGATTCCAGTTTGGGAGGTGGCGCAGTCGAAGGGGGAGGGCCGACCGGTTCAGGAGGAGGCCATACTAATTTTCCCTTATCCAGTATTATGCTACCACGTACAACGTCGTCCGACATATCAATATGGAAATGATTGTCGTCGCCTAAAATAGAAAAAATATTCAAATTTCGAACCCCAACACAGTTCGATGGTTACCACCTATTGACAGCAAAAACTTCGAAATATTGTTGGCATACAAAGTGGAACTCTGAGTGGGCAGTAGACTAGGAAAGTCCGTCAGCCCTACATGCGTGACATCGTTGAACACATAAGTCTCTCCTGGTTTTGTGGTCTCTATATTTCCCCCCGCTTCCGCTGCCAAGTCCACCACCACGCTTCCGGGTTTCATGGACAAAATATGTTCCTAAAAAAACTGTAATTTGTGGCCCTTTTTGAAGGTCCTACTACGTAGTGGTCGACCATTAACAACTATGATATGCCCTTTTCTTTTTTCATCTGATCTCAACTTCAAATAATTTAAACATACGCCAATTCTGGGCTGGAGATTCGTTAACCAAAAAAAAAGCTCATATAAGAGAGGTGTTGAATATTAAAAAAAAAATCTTCCAATATGTTAAAAAATGTTAAAAACTTGTATCTTCAAAACTAGGCATCTCCCACAGAGCGTTGGCGCATGTTTTTAAAAACACCCTGTATCAAAAGGGTATCATGGAACAACATTGTAATATGCATTTTCTTTAAAATTTTTAGCACACAATCATTAGGAATAGAAACACTCAAAACATAAATATTCAATAAACAACAAAATTTCAACATTAATTTAGGAATCAAATTATTCAAATCTATTTTTACGCGAACTAAAAAACTGGAAATACTGGATATATAATAATAATACCATATTAAAAGGCAATTTCTTGTTAATTTTTTTGTAGTCAATTATTTGTGTAGGTACTTAGTCCTTGCAAAAAATATATATTTGCTGTATGAAGCATAAAGTAAAAAGTGTACAACAAGCCCGGTTTTTGCACGATCCATTTCCATTTCCATTTTTTAAAAATATTATGGACTAAACCGTTTGAACACAACCGACCTTCAAAATAAGTAGCGGCGCCTTTTTTCCCGGTATTAAAGCAGTTGAGATAATTATGTCGACCTCCTTGCACTGTTTGGCAAACAGGGCGTGTTCGGCTTCGATAAATTCCTTGGACATTTCTTTGCTGTACCCTCCGGCAGCCCCACCCTCCTCCTAAAATAGTGAGTCAATATTAGTGGCCATAGCAATCTCATTGTGACGTAAAATACTTCTATGTTTACGGTCAAAAACTCCGCACCCATAGACTCGACTTGCTCTTTAACTACCGATCTCGTATCGAACGCCCGCACAACCGCGCCCATGCTTTTTGCCTGGCCAATAGCGGCCAAGCCGGCCACGCCCCCACCAATGACGAGCACTTTGGAAGGCGGGACCTTTCCGGCGGCTGTTATCTGACCTATAGGAAAGCGTTTATGACGCAGTCATATCGTTTCGGTTAGTTAGCTAACCTGACATGAACCTTGGAAAATGATTGGCTGCCTCAACTACTGCTCTGTACCCCGATATGTTCGCCATAGAACTCAGTGCGTCAAAAACTTGCGCCCTCGTCAGTCGAGGGATGCAATCCATAGCTACAAAAAGCGGTTTAGAAGAAAAAAGTTTTACTAAAAGAGGCTCACCGAACGCGGTCATTTTCCTATCGGCCAATTTTTCGACCAATTCCTTGTTTTGACCAGGGTATAGGAAAGACAACAGCGTCGAATTTTCCCTAAAATTGGATACATCATTGTCTAGTGGTTGCCTAACTTTTAAAATAATATCTGTAATAAGAAAAATTTGTTTGCCGTTATTGAGTTTGCAGTTCAAATTATTCGCCTGCCATTTTACTAGGTTACTATAAGTTTCATTACCTGAGTTGAACGCGGTTTTCGTATCCACAATTTTGACTCCGGATTTTTCGTAGTCTCCGTTCTTAAACTTGGCGTCTGCGCCGGCATTTTCTTCGACCTTAACCGTAAAACCTTTTTTGGTTAGAGTTTCCGTAACCGCGGGCGTGATGGCAACTCTAAAAAAATCAAAATACTATTAGAATGTACACTTTCTAATGTAAAAAATTAACCTCTTTTCATTTTTCCAAACTTCCTTAGGGACGCCTATGGTCAATTGGCTGTAGGGAATACCTTTGGTGTCTTTCTTTTCTTTGGATTCTTTCCAACAGTGTTGGCCTCGCGAAAATTCCCTAGCGACCGATTTTTCTAATAGAGTTGCATTTTTTAATCGAACCTCAAACACGCGTCTCTTGTTTAAGTACAGTCTCATTAGTCCCCTGGCCATTTTCTATGGGCATTTAATTTCCTATTTCATTGCTGTAAAAACAAAACGATTCGACATGTCCGGTCCATACTATTTATAAAACTTGTGTCGTCCTTAAGTGGGGAACAAAAACATAAAAAAAATCAATTTGCACCAGAAAAAAAAAATTAAATTGACACTGGCATTTTATGTCAATCGTTACACCTTATTATGAGTGCCTTATTATTTGTTTTAAGCTTTACTTGTTTTTCATTGTCTATAACCTTAGTTTTAATTGAAATTTAATTAATGTCAAAAAGACTGTTTTTAATTTTTTTAATGCTGTTATTGGCTGATTAAAATAACTCAACAAAATGCCCATTTTTTAAACGATCAAAATTTCTAAATATCTAATGTATAATTACCAAAGTTACGTCAGCATGAATTCTGGAAATAAGCTCTTTAAAAAATGTATTTATTGCGTACTTTAGAGAAGAATTATAAAACTGGCAACACGGCAAATATGTAGTGTACAGCGTTAATCAACTTTCTGGACTTTTACATGTTATCTCACCCATATTTAAAGATGCAGAACTGTGGTTCTAACACCTCTTCATAAAACGAAAGTATTTTTCGTATTAGTGTTCTTTAAATTTAACTTTTTGCTTAGAATTTTTTTTAGAGCTCAGAAAAAATATACGAAGACAGATCAAAACATCATCTGCCCAACTTTGTTTTTTAAATAGAACACGCTGTATATTATTTTTATTTCGGTTGAAAATTATGTGATCTGTTTAAAAATATATTGTTTTATATATTTTTATATATATTTTATATATTGTTACATTTTCCCTTAAAATTTCAAGATCTTTAAAAAAAAATTATGCATATTATATTTTATTGTAAAAATAAAAGCCTGAAAGGATTTACTACAACTTGAAAGGGTCAAGAACGAGAAACAATTTTCAAATTTTCCGTTCTGACTCATTTTTCCACGGTACTGATACAAAATAAATTTGAGTTCTAAAATTATATAACCTCTTTGCACTATTTCTCCATGTTTGTAAACAGTACTTTCAACATGATTCAATGGACGTTTCATAAATCTCAGGGTAGAGAGAGCTCGAGTCCAAATAAATCCAAAGACGAAGGTTATTGAACCGGAATTCAAAGTTAAAAGTGTTATTTTAACTTGATCATAGTTAATGGTAATTAGTTTAAATCATTTATATATAGAATTTACAGATATATAAAGGTTAGAAATGGACATGAAACGGAACTCACATTTAGCTGACATGTAGGTTTTCTCTGAATGACAAATTGTATGATATAAAAATATGATGAAATATGTTTGTCTAATTAGTACAAAATTTTTATTGTTAGATGTTTAATCACCATTGAGAACAAACAGTACAAGATATAAAAAATGGTTTTATACAATTATTTTGAAAAATATTTACCAAATTCTGCATTTGAAGAATATATGATAGGATACGACTTCTATTCCACTTGAGATTAATTAATAAATTTTACTTCGAAACTTTTAATTCTGATTTTTAAAAAAGTATTTGAATAGGAACAGTTACTTTTTTTGCATCTTGCGTTGCCAAAACCATAACTCCATCAAAATTTGCGATGATGATGATCGATGAACGTTTTACCATTAAGCCAGTATTTTTTGTCGCAAACGTTTTCTTCACAAGTTGTATTTCTCGCTGAACCCGTTATTAATATTTAAATTCAAGACCTTGGATGGACCACGTGGATGATACCAAAATGCCTACTATTCACTATTGAATGGACCAATAATAATTGTAATTTGCTTAACTACACCCCAGTGTGTAAATCCAACGGATCGTTCCAGCACGGTCAGTTGGTTTCAATATTATAATTTCTGGACCAATCATCATCTTGTACGCATTTCAATTTTTCTAAGTCACGTGCCTACTTATTTGTCGCAAAAGTATTACCCTATGTAAATATCCCGATAGCTATATTTGCGTTTAAGCGTTAGAAAATAAATACACAAACGAGTGTAGATATGTTGATGTATAGGGTGCATTTACATTTTAATATGATGGTATGTAGTTTATTGGTCAACAAAGTTTCGTTATATGCAATTTATAATAACTATTTATCCATCCAATTGAAGTGGATTTCCGCGGGATCAGCATAAGGAATTATTAAAGGTTTTAATCGAAGTTTTAACGCAACACGCGATACATTGATATTTTCTTGGTCTATACATATAGCACGATTATAGCCCTATAACACTTTTGATAATTCCTGTGGTCAAAAAATTAAATTTCAAGTGACAATTACTACCGTTCCGGATATCACCCTGTATTCCAATGTATCGCGTGCTCTTTACTTTTTAAATGTTTCAATTCAATAAGTATTCCACATTCAACAAATTTAATCTAATATATTCAAAAATACACACGGCTTAAGCACCCACATTAAGTGCAAGTATCTGTGAGATAAAAGTAACGCTCTCATTTGTAATTAAATGTAATCATCACGTCATAGAGTGCTCAAAGCAGAAATTTAGCCCAATCTAATATAACTTAATTTAAATAATGTGAATAGCAACCTCTAAACTGTTAATAAGTTGATCCCGACTCTTAAATTAGGAGCTAAAACAACATCACCAAAGTTTTGACAAAAAAAAAGTTGGGATTACTTGTCCGGTTCTAATAATATGATACGTACCATACAATTTCCTAAACGGTATTTAGACCGACGTAAAAATATTTAAAAACCGGTAAATTTTGCTAATAACGTGAAAAAGCTTCCGCACAAACTGAAACTCGTGGGGCTTCACGAACAATACTTGCACAGCCGATAGCAGACTACCTACCTACACACTGGGAAAATACTGAAACAGTTTTTGACTCCGAACGTTCGCATGGAAGTTTGGAAAAGTCCTGCAATGCAATTGCTATTTTTTAACTGACGGAACCTTTTTTTTTGTAAAAGATCCTTCAGTTATCGAAATACCCTCGTATAATAGTGTTAATTGTACAAATAAGTTAAAAACCATAAATTTTGGCTTTAGTTAATGTTTTATGTCCCTTCATCTGTTCGGTTTGTTAATATATATTGTTATTGTAATTAATAATTTTTAAATAAATATTAATTTGTGGATGCGAATGATATGGAAAAACTCATAATGCTTGAGATTGAGAACGTTTTGAAAGCTCATCATTTTTCTTAGAAAGGTGAATGCTTATAGGGGGTATGCTAATTTTTTAATTTAAAAAAATATTTATTTCTTGAAAGCAATGGTTGAACGACAGTTACAATGCTTCAAATAGCGAATAACAACAACACAATGATTACTTGTTATTTAAAAAATATATCGAAACTTCTGGATTCTGGAACAGTTTCAGTCAAGCTCTGAACAAGCCAACAGGATGATTGGCGAAAGGTCAGCAATTTCGACTAAGCAAAAACCGACGCAAGAGGAATCCAAAAGTTTTGTAAAAAGCATTACAGTAACCTGTGGAAGTTTCTTTGAAAAATTAACAAGCCTCGTATAATGTTGTTCAAAACCGATGTGATATGTTTAATTGTAGTTACACAGAAGTTAATTTTCTTTTAAATTAATAATTTGGCTTGTTGTCTGTTGAGTGGTTTCACTAAATAAAAAATAGTAATTTGTTTAATGGTCAATACAAATTGTTAGTTTCAGATGATATGAAAAAATCATAATTCTTTTTAGAAATCACATTGGTTGCAATGTCTAATGACAGTTGAACAAAAGCGAATAACAACAATATAAAGTGTAATTTTTTCCAGCACCTTTTGAGAGACAAGATGAATATTACTTATAATTTTTCAAAACAGACACTTGCAAATTAATTAAAAATAAACTTTCCTATTTTGTTAACTACATATATATGTAGGGGCGCATACCTACAGCAACCTTTGTATCCACATTTTTGTGCGAATTCGTAAATACACAAATAAAAATTTGTTAGGTCAAACAGTTATCTTTATTTATTGTTTATTGGAACTAAGCAACAATTTACATGCCAAATTCAAACTGCATCTCAATTTACTTCGCGCATACTATACTTAAAATGTGATGACGCTAAGCTTGAATTAAATCTACTTAGACTGTCAGATTAAAAAGTTTCCTTGATGTGTCCTTTTGTGAAACAAAAAACATCCTCATATATGGCTGCCATTACACCGCGTTGTACTTTTATTTGCCATATTTTTTTCTATTTCTGGAAGACTCTGCTATTACCTGGCGTTTAATTTAAAATTAACTAAACGTGGATATCCGTTGACGGCTAGAAACCGTCATGTGAACGTGGTAATCATGGAGAATGCGCGAAACGCCGGCACTGGTCCTGTAAACCGACCTCTCCGAGCCAGCCATACAAACGCAACTTGTGGAGGCGATACGGGTTTTAGATTGGTGCAGACGAACTTGTTCTGTTATTAATTTTTTTAATTGGCAAACAAAATTACAATTATGGCCGGCACTTTGACGAAAATGTATAAGAAGTCGGCAAAATTCGCGCAGTCCAACAATCACGGATCCATCTTATCGACGATATCCACGCAAACGAGGCAGTGTAAGTAATTTTTAGGTTAGGAGTGTATATTTTTTGTTTGGGATGATAAAAATTCGCCGAACAAGTGTATCGACCCTGAAGGAGGCTCGTCTGCTCGGCTTGCGCTGTTTTTCGCAGACTCTCAGTGGCGTATGTGCATTTTTTTTATAGATTTTTACGTCATTTAAGTTCATTAAGCATCTATTGATTAGTAGTAAGGATTAAGGACCAAACGTCAAAAAACAAAAGTAACAATAACCTACAAACCTATATTATAAGTGTTTACTTTTCTGATAAATCTCTGACCTTGTTAAGAAAACAAGTTATTTAGAATTCATTTATCATGCAAATCAAGTTAACTAGCTTAATATAAATTAATGATGTACGGGGTGTCCCACGTGTAAGATCCTAAGATATTTGACCTACCAAAAGAGATTTAATACAAAATTTCTAATAGAACTTTCATATTATACAACTTGGCACCTATTTGCTCAGTTTTCCATGGGCAGGAACTAAGTTTTACAATTCCTCCCAAAAAATACTGTACCGATTGTTACTATGGCAACCTAAATAACAATTGTGTCGTCATGGTAAATACGTTAAGATGTGTTTTAAATAAACAACATAGCAAAAATCAGGAAGATTTTCCATTGAAATTACAGCATTTATCTTTATTTCTATCAAAATGTGAACTGTAAAATTTGAAGAGAAAGAAGAAACTAATATAGGAAAATAGGATATTAATATTGTTGAAAAGTTCTATGTTTGGCGAGACTTCCAAAGTTGGCTCTGATTTTGCGTTCAAAATTGGTGTTGTTTACAGGTGAAGGAAATAGCAGTATCATTTCTAATTTACAGCGGCAATAATCAAATTTTATTTTTAGCGAAGGATAATCCGAAGCAATAAATAAAAATCTCCGCGCAATACACGAAAACAAAAAACAAAAACTGACGTCACCATTAACTGTTTTATGCGCAACAAGCCAATTATTAATAATCCTATAATTTATTGTAGGTACTACCTGCGTGCCATGTTATATTATATATATTATATTATATATTAATATGACGGAACAATAACGTTTTTAGTTTTTATAAATATTACTGAAGTATTACTATTACACACACACACACACACACTACAACACACTTTATGTATATTTTTTTATTGTTTTTTTAATTAGGGGACGGAATTGAATTAGACTACCTCTATTATGCTTTTTCACTAAATTTTAAAACTAATAAATGGAAGTTTTATTTAAAAAAATGCGAATAAACCCGTCTATCGAAATTTTTTGTTGTTGTTTCAACATTTTTCTTTAATTTAGTAAAGGAGAATGATAGGCGTAGTCTGATTAAGTCGTTTCCATTCATTTAACGAAAATACAAAAATATTCATAAGGTGTGTTAATGGTACTTCCGTAAAATTTTATTCTTCTACCTATTTCCGTTTTTCACATAAAAAATAAACACATTATTTTTTCTAGCTATATAATTTATTTTTTTTATTGTTTTATTATTTCATTTTGGAATAAACTTCTTATCACGCCGTATTTAAATTTTGAAGACTAATAGAGAAAGAAAATTCTGTAGAAATTCGTAGAAAAAACAATAACGTTTTTTCAGTAATACATTTTTTCTTTCATTTTTTTTACTTAATTTGCACTGTATGTTTGTTTGACATGATGAAATAATGTAATAATAATCATCCTTAAATGCAGCCGCAGAACAAAACATATACCGTTTATAACAAAACCAAAGGTTTCTGCTTTTGTAAACAGAGTTGTAATTTAAGTGTTTTGCTTCGAAAATGAGCAACGACCGAGAAAACGCAATTGTTAAATTAAAAAATTACATGGCTGGCTCATAGACACGATGTGGGAACGTTTCGATGGTCACGCGTTTTAAATAAATACAGATTATTTAACGTTGCTCTCGAAAATTTTTATCAATGCTAAACAAACAAAAGTGTTATAGGACCTATATACCCTTATCGCACATTAAAGGTACCTATATTATTAACAAAAATTCATTTTTAGATTTTATTGTTTAGTGGTGGGCATTTATGGAACGTTCGGTATCAAAACAATTACCTATAAAAACTGTAAATCGTTACGGCCGTGATCTTGAGATGGCCAAGTCGAAACACTACAAACAAACCTCGATTTCGTTGTTGACTTTAAATTCCTAATAGCGCGACACTTCGCCCCTATCAAAATTACAGTCATGTTCATTCGGAAGATCAATGAACCTCTTTCTTTTAATCGTAGTTTTCGGGTAGTGATAAAACGTGGCCACTTACGACTTCGATTCATTGATATTTCTCGACCAAAAGTATAGTCCGTTTATGACATTTTCTAATTGTAATTTTTAAAAAATGCTTCGAAAAATATAGGGAGATAGTTTAGAGGGCAATTCCTTAAAAAAAAATGAAACAAAGTTTTTTACGAAAAAAAAAATTAATATATAAACAAATCAATCTGCGAGTTGGAAAACCGTACGTTTCTAAAATCAGCTTTCCGAGAAAATCAATAAAAAAAATTGACATTGAAACTATAATGCAAAGCAACAAAAGGGAAATGGAGTTTTATTTCACAACCACTCACAGCCATCTAGTCTAAAGGAGAAATGTGTTGTTAATTCGGTTATTTTCAAGTTAGGTCATATTGCATATGACCTTCTTGTTCTGTTGGTAATCTACGAACTTTAAAGTAAAAAATATACATTTAAAAAGAGTACATTTTGTCTTTTTTTTTGTTTTTACGTAATCAATGGAAAAATGCCACTAGTTTGCAATTTTTTTTTCCAGTTTGACACCCATGAAAACCCTTTTACATGTTTTTTTTTTTAACAACGCAACTCAATCACTTTCCTGCTTTGTCCATAGAATGGCACCAGCACGATGGCATAAAAAACGGTCCCGGTTTATAATATATTGCAATTATTCCATTAAACAAGTTTAATTATGATTAACTTATAAAGAAAACTCAACGTCATTCTAATTTAGTGATTTTTTGAAAATTAGTCACTTTGTAATTATATCAATACAGCCTTAAAGGTTACAGTTTTAATATTTTATTTTCCAGTTTTAATAGCCTTTATGGATCGAATTTTAACACAAATGTTAAAAACAGGAATTTTGAAGCTTTTATTGCTATTTTTTAATATATTTTTTATGGTCCCATCAAAAAACGCTCACTTTACCAAAAAACAAGCAAATAATTTATTTTTATTATCATTTTTATTCAATATGTCTATAACCTATTTAAATATTAAGCGTTTGTGTTGCGTACTCATACTTTGCGGGTAGATATATTAGATACAAATGAGGTATTTATTTGAAAGTCCCATAACTGAAATGACAGTTTGTTGACACCACAGAACGTGTTTAATTTTTTTGGCGTGAAGATTAGAATGTTTTACAGTTTCAGTAAAGTTCAATTTTCCCTTTTAGATTCAGGTAAGAGGGTCGTAGCAAAAAATCCGGTAGTAGAAATGGACGGCGACGAAATGACCAGAATAATATGGGAAAAAATTAAAGAATCGCTTATTTTCCCGTACTTAAAAATCGAGTGCCTCTACTATGATTTGGGATTGCCGTATAGGTATACAAATACTACCCTAATATGTGCGGTTTTGGAAAAAAAAACTCGTATGTATTTTAGAGACCAAACCAACGATCAAGTGACCATAGATGCCGCGCATGCTATTTTAAAGCACAACGTCGGGATTAAATGTGCCACCATTACGCCTGACGAGCAACGAGTAAAAGGTAGTCCCAAAAAAAATGATCCTCAAAAAACTGACTGTTAAAAGTGGGGATATTTTTAATTGAATGTGGAAAAGTCACATTAGTCTAAAAACGAAATCTAACACAAAAACTAGCAGCAATTTTTTCTCTACATGCGTAATATACAACAGTAACGGTAATAAGAAGTCAAACACGGTATGACTTTTTTAGTTTTAATCTTATCAAGCAGCTAAACGGTCTGAAAAAATCCAGCAAGAAAATTTAAATTATAAATCTCAACGTTGCCCTTAAACGTTGAAATTTTATATAGTTTTATAGTTGCACGGATTGGTAATTTAGAAACTATTTTTCTACGAATTACAACAAGTAACACCAAATCATATAAATAATAAACCCCGTGCAAAAATGATCTCCGTGTTTATATACAAAATTGTGGCCAAAATTAAAAAAAAATACTTCTGGGATATGCGAAGTCCCATTATTTTTAAAAAATATAATTTTATTACACATTTATGCAGGTAATTTTAAAAAATAACCATAATAAGTAAAATTTTTCTTAAAAAATGTCGATTAAAAAAAATAAAATCGAATGCCCTTTACATTATAGCATTTTTGGATTCTACGATCACGTGTATATTTCGATAAGGTTTTTGATACCTAAATCATAAAGTTTTTTAAACACTAATAATACTAATTTTAATTTGTTAAGTACGGAAGGAGTATTTGATTTAAATTATATCAACGAAATTTACGGTAAAGTGTAAAAGTAGAAAAATATAAAAAACTTCCCATCTTATACAGGGTGGCAAAAAAATTAACTTAAGCTAATAACAACTTTAAGTGGCTGCAACCTGATTAATTAAAATGAGACACTGTATAACATAATAAAATAATAAATACTCCTTACTTATTTAAAAAATTAAAATTTGGTTACATTTTGACAAAATTCAAATTATCTAAAAAACGTTATAAACTTATATATCACAAAACTTATTGCTGCGTATACTTATTTTAATCATTGATTCAAAAAATGCCATAATATATAGGAAGTTCAACAATAAAAGTTTTCCGTCAGCCTGTATAGTATGAAAGTAATTTTAAAAGTAACAACAACAACAAAGTTACACTCGTATATAGCGTAAACAATTGTGTCTATTCAACCGAATACCTACTTTGATAATTAATCTGTAAACAGAATTTAACCTAAAAAAAAGGTGGTTGTCGCCAAAGGGAGTATTTTTTTGATATATATTATATATTAATAAATATATTTATTAATGTATCTTTTATGGCTCCATCAACAAACGCTCACCTTACCAAAAAACAAGAAAACAATTTATTTTTATTGTTTTATTTTATTATTTATTTTGTTTTTATTATTATTATGTTATATTATTATTGTTATTATTATTTATTGACACCACACAACGTTTTTAATTTTTTGGCGTGAGAATTTACAATATTCCATGCCGTAAATAGCGTGAACAACCCTGTACGTTCAACCGACTACCTACTGTAATAATTAATCTGTATGTAGAATTTAACCTAAAAAAAATGTGGTTGTCGCCAAACGGTACCATAAGGAATATTTTGGGAGGTACCGTATTCCGAGAACCCATCCTCTGCAAAAACATTCCAAAACTGGTGCCCGGCTGGGAAAAAGCCATTTGTATAGGTCGTCACGCGCACGGAGATCAATACAAAGCCCAGGACTTGGTCATCGCCAAACCCGGAAAGGTATTTCAATCCCCCTGTGCGACCGGCACTAAAACTAGTATCAATATGTCCGTTCCAGGTGGAAATAGTATACACAGCGGATGACGGAGAAGTTCAAAAAGTGGAATTGTTCAAATACGATTCTCCAGGGGTCGCCCTAGCTATGTATAATACAGATGAAAGTATAAGGGGCTTCGCACATTCCTCGTTCCAGATGGCGCTGCAGAAGTCTTGGCCGTTGTATCTTTCCACCAAAAATACTATTTTAAAAAGATACGACGGACGGTTTAAGGACATTTTTCAAGAAATTTACGACAAGTGAGTTTTCGTGTGGTCTAGGTAAATCTTAACTAATTCGTTATTCCTAGAGAGTACAAAAACCAATTCGAAGCAAAGAAGATCTGGTACGAGCATAGGTTAATTGACGATCAAGTCGCTCAAGTGCTAAAATCATCAGGTTTGTGCTATCAATTGTTACTGAATTATATTTGGACGATGACGTCATTTTCAAAATTTTAGAGGAAACACCTTGTATATATATATATATATATATATATATATATATATATATATATATATATATATATATATATATATATATATATATATATTTATCTCTATGTTTCCGCCCAAAGATACTGGTGCGTAGTTAAATAAAAAATGGGAAAACACTCAAAGTCTACATTTAACTCGTTTTCGATTGGTTTCTCTGTAAACATCTTTTCTATTTTTGACTTTATAATTTTAAACTATGCTGTCTCCATAAATCATCAAATAATCGCATGTTTGGTATTGAGATAATTCATTTTTTATTTTTTAAATGCTATGAGTTTAATTTTTTACGACACTTTAAAAGATAAAGTTTCAGTCGTGGGTGTGTGCTTGGAAATTTTTTTGAGAGAGGCTTCCAAGATAGGGCCGGAATATTAAAAATGACAATTGCTAACCTTAAAACTATTTTTTGGCAGATTGCAAAATATGAAGCTGCTAATAAATTCCATCGGTTGTACTTTTTTTTATCGAGGTGTCTAATAACAGAAAGTAGGTAAATGGAAACATTACAAAATAAAAGATAACATCAAACTATTATTAGCTTCAAGGAACCTAACGCTCAGCTGACAACAGCTACTACTGCTAGTGGTTGAATTTTAAAATTAAAGAATCATTTATCCAGGTACAAAATCCTATAATCTTGTTTCTATTGTTACCATTTTATTTAATAAAATACTAGATCATACATACGTCATTATCAGTATGAACCTGACACATATTTTTGTGAATTATTTTGTCAGTCATATCTTGGTATACAGTCGACCCATTTAAATTGAGTACATCCAAAAGCTGTATTCTGTAATTTAATATTCATTGTCTAGGCAAAATAGTAATAATCATAAACATTCATTTATAAAATGCTAAGCATTGCGTGTCTATGTGTGTGTGTGTGTGTGTATACTCCAGTTTTGAACAAAAAATGCTTACTATTATTAAACTGTAGCCTAATGTTTGGCTAAGTTGTAAATTATGGCAAAAACAACTAAAATCTTTCAAAAAAATCCACATATCGACCTTGGCTTTTTTCAGTTCAGTTGGGAATTTTAGGTTAATACTAGTACACCGACAATGTATTCATAAAATATTTTGAAGTTCTTTATGGAATTCTAGACGAAAAATACTGAATTTATTGTAACGAGCTTCGGCAATTTATTTGACGTCTCGAAATATCATTTAATTAGCATTTAGAGGTTAAGGTTGACTGTTTTTTGGAAAAGTGTTCTTTGTTGAACTGTTTAAACTTTTCTACAGGAGGGTTAAAATTGATTAAAAAAGAGTTTTAAAATGTCTTATTTTAAACGGTTTTTGAGGAAATTTAAAAAAAAAACTTTAAATAAAACCTAATGTGATAACCCAGACAGAGAAAATGAACAAAAATTTTGAGATGTGAAAAGTGCACAACACAAACTTCGAGTGTCCAGCTTTCCAATGTCATATTTTTTTTATTCGGGTCAAAAATTGGACACTCTTGAGAACGAATTTCTATAAATAAGTACATAAAATTCAGTTTTTGTAACGCTATTTTCAATTATGTTGAATGTGGTATAATTTATTTATAATGACATAACAGTTGGCATCACTTAATTGTCGTAAAAATTTAACGCACATTAGAATAACAACGCCGCGAATTTGTTTAAGTAGTTGACATCAAACTTGTGCATTGCACTCGTCAAATTTGTTCAGCGGTAGTGAATAATTTCGTTTAAGTTTTTTAAGTCTCAATGGTGTAATATATTTAATAAGAAAGAACCTAACTAGAAATTAACCTCAAAAAACGAAACAGGTCTGTTTAAATCGTAGGTTAGGAACGGCGTCAACTGTTACGCGTCACCTTAAAATATATGGCGATTCCTATAACTAAAATCGAACAGGCTCTATTTGATGTTGCCTTCTTAATAAACATTAACCATATCCTTATTAAATATTCGTCTTCATTCGCGTTCAATAAGGCCTTATTAACTGTTTAATGTTACGCTAAGCCATAAGCCGTAAAAAGACATGTATGTGGTTATCACAATTCAAGTATTTTTCAAGGTGGATTCGTATGGGCTTGCAAAAACTACGACGGAGACGTACAATCCGACATAGTGGCGCAAGGGTACGGGTCGTTGGGTATGATGACGTCGGTACTGATGTGTCCCGACGGTAAAACGGTAGAAGCGGAAGCTGCCCACGGCACAGTGACTAGACATTACAGGCAACATCAGAAGGGTTTGCCGACTTCTACGAACCCGATAGCGTCCATTTTCGCGTGGACCAGAGGTATAGAGCATCGAGGAAAATTAGACGATACTCCGGACGTCGTAAAATTCGCTCACCGTTTGGAAAAAGCGTGCGTGGATACCGTCGAGTCGGGAAAATACACGAAAGATTTGGCCGCCTCCATCGAAGGAGGGTTCGATAAAGTCAAGGAAGGGATGTTCTTAAATACTCAAGATTTCTTGGATGCCATCGCCGATCAATTAAGAAAAAGTGTATAACGCGAGTTCATTTTAAACAATTTTTTTTTGTAAGTGTTGTAATTTAAAGGCGAAAACTTTTTTAACTAAAGCAAATGTATTTTTATAAAACGGTTTGGATTTTGGCGACACGTTTGTCATTTGAGTTCCGAAACTTAAGAAAAGAAACTATTTGATGTAAGTAATAAAAGTATATTTTTATAAAATGGTTTTATTTTTGCTTAAAATGTATTTACTTTAAACAACTAACTTATATAAAGGAAAGCTCTTAGGTGGGTATATACCTAATAAAAATATGTCTTCCTAAATTCCTTTAGATTTTGGTGATGGAGATTTTCGTTTCCTACTGATGCGAGCCACTTCGGACATTTCCGGGATTTTACTGCGCGCGGGTTTGGCAGCAATCGGATGATTTCGGTGATATTTCCCACTCCTTGAAATTGACGTTTGTGGGATACAATTTACCTGTGACGCCTCGATAGAAAAAATCTTTTTTTTTGTTTCTCCCTGCTCGATATATACCAACAAATGTAAACAGCACGTGTGTATCAGACTTAGTTTAACCAACTTACGAAAAGAAATACTTTTAAGTGGTAATAAAAGATGTTTTTATAAAATAGTTACTCTACTACTTTACTCCTTTAGAAAGAATTGAAATACATTTTAATAAATACATACTTGTACCTTAGATGTGTCTTTATCTATTTAAATATATTTATATGAATCTGATTGCCGGGGCTGTGCTAGGGTTAGGTCAAGAGTCATTATGTTTCAATAATCCCAGTACATGTCACGGGTTTGGCAGTAATCGGATGTTTTTAAAACATTTTAACCATGATAGTTTGATATTTGTCAGTTACGTCGTTCAGTGAATAAAGAACTAACCAAAAACTAATGGCTGTAGAAAAAGTATACTACGCAACGCATTGAAAGACTTCAAGACTTTTATCGGGACTCGGTAGACTCGTGCCAAAACAAAGTCGTGAATAAAATGAGCTTTATCATTTTCCATAATATACTATTATCCGACAAATTACAAAATCGTGTAACAGCAGTAATTTTGGTTACTTATCGCGACGTAAGCCTAAAGCCCGTAACATGATAATGTAATTATATTTAACGTACAAGAGAATCGTCATTATACTTGACATCAGCAAAAAAATATATACACCGCGTACGCGGATAACCACACTTAATCATTAACACAATAAACCCATATGGCAGGCAGCAGTTAAAATACAACAAGAGAATGCAAAATTTCATTCCATTCAAAATTTTTTAGGCCATAAAATGCGAAATACACTGAATATTTGGGATGTCCTAATACCAAGATCTCCTCTGCACGTTTTGTTTCCTTTAGCATTTGCACACACGCACATATACGACTACAAATCTGTATTTCTTTCTTTTATTTATATATTTAAAAAATATAATTTCATAATTTCAGAGAAACAAATCTGCCGCGAACCGTTTTTATCGTTAGGTAATACTAATAGTAGGTGAGATACCAAGAGTGCTCAAAAGTTTAAATTTTAAGTTTCGCTTAAGTATGAGTTGTGCAAATGTGAATGGCATTGTATCGTGAAAATATAAAAGCAAAAACACCAAACCCAGAATTTCAACCACACGAGCTTCCAAAAATGATCACCTTGTTTGTATATTGCGCAATGAAAAACTAAAGTTCTGTGCTAAAATGGAGGACCTAGGATATATGAATAAGACGAACATGGATGTAAATGTTGAAGTTTAAAATTTTTATTTATAAATAGGAACAGAATTGACAAGTTTCAAAAACTAATTAATATAAATAAGATAATTACTTATTGATTTCAACTTGCCGCTTTAATTTTGAACACACAAAAACAAACAATGTTCGTTGTGATTAGGTCTGTGTGCGCAAGTGCTATTAGTATATTATGCAACAAGTGCGATAAACGGCATTTGACTTGCGCGGAGCGATTGTTTAATAAACGAGTGAGTTAAAAAGTTTACCGAACGTGTTGCATACTATACCTTTTCCACGACCGTTAGCTTTTGGGAACATTTTTGCAAAACATTGCTTCACTGACACGACCGTCACAACCGACAAATATCGAAATTCGAGACGTAGGAAATATCTCCGAACACATCCGATTGCTCCCAAAGCCGTGCGGTAAAATTCCGGAAATGTACGAAGTGGCTCGGATTCGTAGGAAACGAAACTGACGTGGTAAAGTTACGCTTCCCGCAGGCTAGATTGGTGGGTAATTAGATATTTTACAGACGGGAGTAGAAAAAAAATCTGTATATTCAAAAAATTGTAAAAATCTTAATTATTAGAAAAATATTTTTTCTACTACCTTCTGTAAAATACCTAATTATACACCTGCGTGCGAAAAGTCTGTCGGGTAAAATTCAGACATTTCCGGGAGATTAATGCACTGCTTGTCAATTGTTATCAACGACTTTCGTATTATTAGCACGGTTTTCCGTTATTACAATTTATTTAATTCACATTGTGTGGTGTGTGTTGTATAAAAAAAAATCTTATTCGAAATATTCGAAATTTTTGTAGTTCCACAATAAAGCATTGTCTTTTAATAGGTCTTTATATTTTACTGAAATAGCAATAATATGATATAATATATATAATCTACGTACACATCACATTGTTTATTAATTTCCTTTTGCTTACATACTATTATCTCCATTTGTGCAAAAATGATCTGATTTTTGTCAATGATAAAACATCCTTATAATCGTGTAGAAATGAAGACATTGAATGAAGAAAATTTTGTTGCTCTTTTGTTCATAAGCAAAACTGTTAGAAGTTATTCAGTAACCAAATTAAAAATATGATGCAGCATGCCGTCCATAATAAATACTTGCAAAAATGGCTAAAATTTAAGAGGTTTCGTCAAAAAAGAAAAACGGAAATTTTAAGGGAAAAGTATCGGGCTTTCTTTTCGTTATGCAACCGGCTTAAGAGTCCGCCACTGTGCAATAACAAAAGAATGTTGTTATTGAATTGGTCCTCTATCGCGCAGAATATAACTACATTGATTACTCGTATCAGCGTTATTTATTCAATTTTTGGCGAATTGCGGAGGTTGAGTGAAGATGAGCGATCTCGTTTGCGTGAAAGACTTCGAAGATAGAGCTTTCAAAATACTCCCGAGGAATGCGCTGGATTATTACCGAAGCGGAGCCGGTAGACAAGAAACGCTAGAAAACAACAGAACTGCATTTTCCAAGTGAGTAGTTTTTCGGGAAAATTTTTACAAGTACGCCGTTTAAAATTGCACCAATTACTGCAAAACATTTGATCCATTTTAAAAATTTAATCAATATTTCTTATATAGATTCGATGATACCTCTTACATATTGCACATAATATTTCAAAGAAACTTCGACAGGCTACTGTAATACTTTATACAAAACTTCTGGATTCCTCCTGCGTCGGTTTTTGTTGAGTCGAACTTGGGAATGAAAACCTCTGGCGAAAACAAAACAAATTGGGCGAAATATCCTAGATAAATCACTATTAAATTTTTTTGTGCTGTTGTTTTGGCAACACATCTTTTTTAGTCATTCTTGAATTTTTATTTTTTTATATTTTAAAAATCGCAGCAAGTATGAATTCGGCATTTCACAGCTAAAAATTATCCTATCTACGACCTCTGAGGCCACAGTTAAGTATAAATAATTCGTTTGTTTATACCGCATTACGAAATTGATACGTTTCTTGACGATTTTGGTTGCAACTGATCAAACTGATAACCGTGGACTTGACCTTAACAAAATGTAAACGTCTTACTTCGCCCGTAAATTTCCATGACGTCAGTATAAAAGAAAAATTGAACTTGTCGATTTTTTCAATCATCTAAGTGTATGTCAATTATATATTAATTTTGAAAGGGTTGTGTAAACATTCTTCGGCATATTGCGAAATACAAACAGATACTAGAATAATTATTGTTTCTTTATGTTGTTTTGAAGGACCTATTATTCTAATAGTAGTCAATTTTCTAATTGACTCATTAACATCTTTCTTTGTGCATCACTAATGAAATCTCCTCTTAATGACAGAAGAGTTTCATCATCAAACAAATTAGTCATTACATCATCATCAATCATTCATATTGTAACTAAACTTCTACACTCTGGGAGATGTCATGAGAAAGAAAAAAAAAGATCGATTGCTTGAATTAGTTTGTTTTCTATTAAGCGGACTTTTAGACTAACTTTAAATTCTTGGTATATGATAAAAATTGGTGAATTATATGTATTAATGAAATTTCAAAGAAAACTTTTTTTATACATAGTTCTATGTTTAGGAATAAATATTAATGATTAATATGTACTAGTTTATAATAATTTATAATATATATTTGATTTTGGGTTTTTATACGTAAAAATTGCCTGAAAAACAAAATATTGTGTAAAAACTTCCTCAAATATAATTAAAAGTTGATGGGTGATCCAAGAATCTCACAAAAAATGCGCTCTCTAAAGCAAACCTTCAAAATAACTGTAATTCTGTTTTATGCGTTTTTAATTGCTTCATAAACTTCCTTAACTGATGAGGTAAAAATAAAAAAGCAGAAAGCCTAAACAACAATAATAATAAGTATAATACACATCAAAAACTTTTAACTATAGTTAATTAACGAATATTTTAGATTAAAAATTAGACCGAGATGTCTGCGAAACGTATCGAAAAGAGACGTGTCCACTACTGTCTTTGGAGAAAAGGTGTCCATTCCGGTTGGAATATCGCCCACAGCAATGCAAAGGATGGCCCATCCAGAGGGAGAATGTGCCAATGCTCGAGGTTATAATGCAAATATGTTACCATTTGTTCAAACTTTCGGTAAAATTTAACAGCTGCAGAAGCCATGGGAACCATATTTACGCTAAGCACGATAGCCACCAGCAGTATAGAGGAAGTAGCTGAGGCGGCACCAGGAGCAATCAAGTGGTTCCAACTTTACATTTTTAACGACAGGTATATCGGTTCTCGGTCATGTGCGTCCCAAACTAAATCTACATTTGGTTCTAGAGAAGTCACCCGACAACTGGTTCGAAGAGCAGAAAACGCGGGTTATAAGGCGCTAGTTCTCACTGTGGATACTCCGTTTTTTGGACTTAGGTTGGCTGACATGAGGAATAAGTTTAAATTGCCAACGCATCTGAAGTAAGATATGTTCATATTATTGGTTAAACTTATTTTTCTACTCCCGTCTGCAAAATACCTAATTACACACCGATCTAGCGTGCCGGAAGTGTCACTTTACCACGTCAGTTTCGTTTCCCACGAATCCTAGCCGCTTCGGACATTTCCGGGATTTTACCGCATGTTTTCGGAGATATTTCCAACGCTTTGAATTTTGACGTTTGCCAATTCTGACGGTCATGTCAGTGAATGTATGCGTGTTGTTTTGCGAGAATGTACCCAAAAACTAACGGTCGTAGATTGTATATATCTATATAGAGATTGTATTGATAATAAATTAGGTTCAATGAAATGAAACAAAAGAAATTTCCTTCTCAGTCATTAATAGAATTACTTTGAATGAAAAAAAATTGTATAATTTTTGCTGCTCCACATGAGCTCCAGGTACAAAAATTCTAAATAAGAAAGTTTGGTTATTTTTATTCAATTTAATAATTTTTGGACGGACGTGTCAGAAGATGGGACAGGTTAATGTTTTGTTTTAAAGAAACGGCGTGTAAATTAATTTATATTCTGATTTTTACTCGTAAAGAATAACACAAAACTACAACTTTACGCTATTTTTTGAAGACTGGAAGAAAAGTTTCAGCTTTTTTTGAAGCTAGAAATTGGGTGTATAAATTTGGATACGATTTTTTTTTAGGTAAATAGGTATAGTTTGTACATTGAAGTATTTTTTTAGATGGGGAATTTATCCCAAAAACCTGGAGAAATTAAACATACAGATATTTACATGGTTTTAAGTTTTATTACAGATAAGAAACAAGGCCAAAATCGTTTCATAGATTCACCAATAAAAATCTGATTTGTTTTTTTCTAAAATTATTTTCAATTTTTTGAGCTATTTTTTACTCGCCAATGTATTACAACTAGTATATTACAAGATCATCTTTGAAGATGGTAAACTGTCGAGAAAGCGGTGGAGTACGGATGAATTAGTACTTTAATAGATGCTTTTCCGCAAACATAGAGATTCAAAGGATGCCAACAAAAACAAAACATAAACTTGCACATTTTGCGCTATTTTCTTTCTAAATTGCGATCTCCACACACTTAACTCGTAGGCATATTTTGATATCTATCTAAACTTATTGACAATCTGTCAGCGGCCATGTTGGTTGCTGAATGGCTCAAGATCATTGGATAAAAACGAGATTCGTAGTTGCTTAACAAGTTCCTATATTATCAGCATAGACCGGGTCTCTATATCTCTAGTTTTTTTTTTGTAAAGTCAAACAAAAACTAAGCAAAACTAACGTAGCAAAAATGCCATTTTTTTAGGTTAGTTTTGTGTTGGAGTTGCAAGTAGAAAAATTTATTAAAGAATATCTATTGCAACATAAAATACTAATTTTTACAGATTGGCAAACTTTGAAGGCACAGTTGCGTCTGTGGCAAACAAAAAAAGTGAGACCACTGGCTCCGGATTAAACGACCTCGGAAATCTATTTGACGCGTCTTTGAGCTGGGACGACATCGCCTGGCTTAAAACGATTACGCGCCTTCCTATCGTTCTGAAGGGGATATTAACGGCCGAAGATGCTATGTTAGCGGCCGACCTTGGAGTTGCTGCAGTGTTAGTTTCCAATCACGGTGCGAGACAAGTCGACGGTACTCCCGCCTCAGTAAATTGACTCAAATCGGTATAACGGAAGGTACACTTTTAATGACTGACATATATCTAGATCGAGGCACTTCCGGAAATAGTGAATGCCGCGGGGCATCGGCTGGAAGTTTTTTTGGATGGCGGAATTACTGACGGAACAGATATATTTAAAGCTTTAGCGCTGGGCGCCAAAATGGTCTTTGTCGGTAGACCGGCGCTCTGGGGCTTGGCATGTGGGGGCGCAGACGGAGTCACGAAGATACTAGGTATCTTGAAAACGGAATTTGAGTACGCTTTAGGAATTTCAGGTAAACATATAAACGTTAACATTCTTTTATTAAATGGTTATTTTTTTTAGGATGCTCCACTGTCGCAGACATAAGAAGCAATATGGTGGTACACGAATCGTTTTATTCTAAACTTTGACAAACATGTAAATCGCCTTAAAACTCCTAAATAAATATATTTATTTACAACATGTCTATCTAAATATTTTTCCCCTAAATCTCAGGATTATTTTTAAAATAGATTTATGAAAAGTGGTTGTCAAATAATATTTTTCAGTTATTCGTTTATATACAGTGATCGTCTTACTTCCGGATTTATTCACTTAAAAATGATATTAATAGGAGCCAGCACTATTATAACTATGAAATGATTTATACCATTTCGAATATTTTTATGTATTGGTTGAAATAGTGTCACTGAGGTCAAAAATAATGCAGAAATGCTTGCTTTTCCAAATACAGGGCGTCAAAGTTCTATGAAAAAAATATGTTTCGATCATGAGACATTATTTACTGGAATAAGATTACATTCAGTACCGTACAGTTTGAAGTAAAAGACTAAAAAGCATTCACGGTACTATTCGGTAAATTCCCACAATATCACAACTGCTAAGTAGTCCATGATTCTATACCTAACATAACCTCTACGTATAACCTCTATTTTACGAGTAGATAGGTAGTTGCTTGCTACTTCGTTAAATTTTTAAAAAAAGGTACTTGTCATGGGTTTTCAAATGTTAATGATCAGAAAACATATTCGGTGTCCATTTGGTTCCATTTTTAAAACACTAGAAGCCATTAGCAAACTAAACAAGCCTAATTGCAAATATATGTCCAGTTACAAGAAATACGCCGATCATAAGGACTTAAGCAATATCAGAAATATCGGTATATCGGCACACATTGATTCCGGAAAGACCACTTTGACCGAACGTATTTTGTTTTACACTGGACGGATCGAGGCTATGCATGAGGTGAAAGGAAAAGACAATGTAGGGGCCACTATGGACTCAATGGAACTAGAGAAGCAAAGAGGAATCACAATTCAATCAGCAGCTACCTATACTCTGTGGAAAGATCATAATATAAATATAATTGATACTCCAGGTCATGTTGATTTTACCGTTGAAGTGGAAAGAGCATTGAGAGTGTTGGACGGAGCTGTGTTAGTTTTATGTGCTGTAGGGGGGGTTCAAAGTCAATCTCTAACAGTAAATAGGCAAATGAAAAGGTACAATGTACCATGTATTGCTTTTATAAATAAATTAGATAGGATGGGAGCTAGTCCTACAAGAGTACTTTCTCAAATGAGGTAAGAATGGCGCCAGATTAGTGAATCTATTCATTGTCAACATTGTGAAAAATAAATACAAGTAATAGTTAATGATAAACCACATTTAAAAATGTATGTTGTCTAAAAATTTACATTTTAGATCAAAAATGAACCATAATGCAGCATTTATTCAACTACCAATAGGTCTTGAAGGTGACTGTTCTGGCTTGGTAGATATAATATCCCAAAAAGCAATTTATTTTGATGGTCAATTTGGGGAAATGGTGCGCTATGATGAAATCCCAAAAGATATGCAAGTTGAAACAAACGAACGAAGACATGAGTTAATAGAGCACCTTTCAAATGTTGATGAGCATATGGGAGAAATGTATTTAGAAGAAAAATCTATTTCTGAACAAGACATTAAAGCGGCAATCCGCAGAACTTGCTTGAAAAAAACTTTTACTCCTGTTATGTTAGGGACTGCATTAAAAAATAAAGGAGTTCAGCCGCTTTTGGATGCAGTGTTGGATTATTTGCCAAATCCTGGGGAAGTGACGAATTATGCATTCAAAAAAATGAGCAAAGGAGAGGAACCTCAAAAAATTTTACTGGATCCCAAAAGAAGTAACGATAAGCCCTTTGTATCTTTAGCTTTCAAACTAGAGGCTGGACGCTTTGGTCAGCTGACTTACATGAGGTGTTATCAAGGAATGCTGAAGAAGGGGGACACAATTTACAATGCGCGCACACAAAGAAAAGTTAGGATTGCCAGATTGGTCAGGTAAAACAAATTTGACGCCTTGCTTGATTTTTATGCAACCATTAGGTTAATATTGCAGGCTGCATTCAAACACAATGGAAGATGTCAGTGAGGTATATGCCGGAGATATATTTGCCGTGTTTGGAGTCGATTGTGCTAGTGGTGACACGTTTGTGACAGATCTCAGTGAGGAAATATCCCTTGAATCAATTTTCGTGCCAGAGCCGGTGGTATCCATGGCCATCAACCCTGTAAACAATAAAGATCGAGACAATTTCTCAAAAGCTATAGCCAGGTTTACCAAAGAAGATCCCACATTTCACTTTCAATTCGATTCCGATAATAAAGAGACAATAGTATCTGGGATGGGAGAGCTACACCTGGAAATCTACGCTCAGAGGATGGAGAGAGAGTACAGTTGCCCTGTGGTTTTGGGTAAACCGAAAGTCGCGTTTAGGGAGACATTGGTAAGCCCTTGTGAGTTTGACTACCTGCATAAGAAGCAGTCTGGTGGTCAAGGCCAATACGCCAGAGTCACGGGAATTTTAGAACCTCTACCTCCACATAAAAATACCATACTCGAATTTGTTGATGAAACTGTGGGCACAAATGTACCCAAACCATTTGTGCCTGGAATTCGGAAGGGCTATTTAGCAATGGCCGAAAAGGGATTGCTGGCAGGCCAGAAATTGTCCGGTTTGAAATTTAGATTGATAGACGGTGCACATCACATTGTTGATTCTAGCGAACTGGCGTTCTTTTTGGCTGCCCAGGGAGCTATAAAAGAAGGTGAGCAATGAAATTGTGTCTGGACTATTTTCAGCATTATGTATTATGCATATATAATTAAATAGCTATTTAAAGCAATGTTTATTTTTAGTATTTGAGAATGGGGTTTGGCAAATTCTAGAACCTGTTATGTCAGTAGAAGTTACTGCACCTGATGAGTTCCAAGGAACCGTTATGACACAGTTGAATAAACGCAATGGTATAATAACAGGAGTAGAGGGAACAGAAGGATGGTTCACACTATATGCAGAAGTACCTTTAAATGAAATGTTTGGTTATGTCGGAGAGTTGCGTTCCAGTACTCAAGGCAAAGGGGAGTACAGCATGGAATATAGCCGGTACACCCCCTGCCTACCCGAAGTACAGGAAAAACTCATTCTGGAATACCAAAAAGCAACGGGGCAGATTCCAGAACAAAAAAAGAAACGAAATTAATAAAATAAATACCAATTGAATTGTATATTTATTGTATAATAGTCTTAATTATTTTAACTTGTGATATTGTTTCAATAAAGATTTTTTTTCAAAATATCAAAACATAAAAAGATAAATCTATGTTTCCCTTCGTCCCTTGTCTTTTTTATTGAAAATCATAGGTATACAACTACCAATATAAGCTGGATACAAATTTTGTTGGTACAATTGAATTTGATAAATTTATACCAGAGATTTAAAACGGGTTCCCATCATCGCAGAACATGTCAAAATAATCTACTTTTTACAAGGAATCATCAGCCAAATGCTGTTTTTCCAGATCATAGGGGCCCACAGAATTAAGAAGAAGACGTGCATTTGACGGCTATACTCACGAATGTTTTCATTTTTTGTTGAAATATGATTTAATTTTTTCGAAAGACTGAAGGTCAATTACTACTTTATCGTGTTACAATAAGTCCCGCGTATTATGCTGTTTATTGATAGAAGTAGCGCCGTTTTTCATCGCTCGAATAAGCGGGGTTACATAATTTTTCTGTGACTGCATTGTAAATCCTGAATCGATCTACTTGCGTAACGGAAACGTTTTTAAAAATAGTTGCAAATAAGTTTCAATAGCCTCCATGTCCAGGACGTTAAATTTAGAATGCAACTTCAGAAAGTTTTGCGTGTGGCGCCTATGAGATTTGAATGTGCCGTGGGACTGTGGTTGTTTTAAATTAAATGGGACAAAATATTCCACATAGTAAGTGCTAGTTAATAGTAGGATGGTTTTTCTCAATTCACTGCATAAAAAACACATTGCCATAATTAAAAAGATATAATACGTCTATTTAAATACGCACACACAGCAAGGCAAACCTGTGCGTGGTTTTATTGTCTTGTTTTCGAATATGGCGATGATAAAAAAGGCCTATTTTAAAGCTGATATTAGAAAATACCTGGTACTTGCTCTTTATCGACCTTTTTTTCATTTAATAATACCATTAACATGAAATCAGTGTTTTTATTTTTTTTTAGGTTTTCTATTTTACTAACGAAAAGACGAACAAAATAAAAAATAAACGACTGGAAAAATTATTTAAATATTCTTTCTCCCACACATTGAATGTAATGTTCAAAAATACAATATTTCCCACTCGCATCTTTGTGATGTTAGGTATACATATTTTTTTCAAATTTTACCATTTCTGTATTTATTATCTGCCTCTTATATAATTTTTATCAATGTATTTATTAAGAATCAATTATTTGGCTTCCCTTGATTATTATAGTTCCCCATTTTGAGCAAAGAATAAATGCGGGAGTAAGTAATATCACGAAATTGCTTGGTATTTGCACCATGTATTTTTCTTTTACAAATAAACATGTTTAGTTATTGTAGAAATTTTATTTATGTTATTGGAATTTTTGACAAATATATTTAAAAAGCTGAATAAGTTTATCTAAAAGTGTACTTTGATCTTGAAGCGCACTTGTTTGTATTATGGTTTTTCTTTCTAATTTTCCAAATATAGTCCTGAATATATTTTGCCCATATTCGGATCATCTAATTGTTAACGAATGTTTTACTTATGCAGATATATTCTCTTGTCAGCCGCGTAAAAATGGTGAAAGCCAGAAAAAATAAAGACCCTCATTTGGAACGTTTATCGAATACAGAAATTGTAATCACTGCCCTCACATCCGGCGCAATAGCAGGGGGTATAGCGAAAACTACTATTGCACCATTGGACAGAACAAAAATAAATTTCCAGATAAGGTATCCGCTACATATACTTAAATAAATAGTTATATCTAAAAAGCGTTCTTTTTTAGTCATAGGACATACTCGACTAGAAAAGCTTTTAAATTTCTATTAGAAACTTTGAGGAAGGAAGGTTTTTTTGCATTATGGAGGGGAAACAGTGCCACAATGGCGCGTATAGTGCCCTATGCAGCTATTCAATTCACTGCGCACGAACAGTGGAAAAGGATATTAAAAGTGGACCAGAACGGGTAATAAAATAAATTGAATATTAACTAGAAGAATCTATATAAGATATAACTCAATAAAAATTTTAGCAGTCCGCAAAAACTCTTTTTGGCTGGTTGCCTAACTGGAGTGACCGCGCAATCTCTTACTTACCCTTTAGATATGGCACGCGCGCGGATGGCTGTGACTCATAAAAGCGAATATGCCACTCTAAGGCGGGTAAATATTACAGTTTTTTTGTCTCAAAGCGCTAATATTTACGTTTTAGTGACACTGTTGACAGAACGCATTTTCATTTACTTGTTGCATTCCTTATAGGTGTTCCAAAAAATATACTCTTTTGAAGGATTCCGGGGATATTATCGTGGATTTATACCTACTATAGTCGGGGTGATTCCTTATGCAGGAGTTTCTTTTTTTACTTATGACTCACTGAAAAGATTTTATAGAGGTACAACTCTTTACTGATTGCTCTGGGTCTCTTATGCGATTAGTATAGATTTTCCTTTTTTCTAGAGCATGTGGACAGTAGCAGCTTTACAATAAATCCCATAGCCTCATTGGGGTTTGGGGCCGTCGCCGGCATGCTCGGTCAAACAAGCAGTTATCCCTTTGATATTGTTAGAAGAAGGATACAGACGGGAACAGTGGAAAAGTATCCGAATATGATAAAGACAATACAATATGTTTATAAGTGAGTATATAATTTTTTGTGGTTGTCCAAAAACTTATTTTATGATTGCAGTACTGAAGGTATCATTAAAGGTTTCTACAAGGGATTGTCTATGAATTGGATAAAGGGACCTATTGCAGTGGGAATCAGTTACGCAGCCAACGATAATATTAGAGACAGTTTGCGGGCGTTTTTGGTGAAGTACAGAACCCATACGCTGATGTAATTAACATGTTAAATGCGCTATGCACAATATGTACCGAGTGTTCATTTTTGATCTTTACTTATAAATACAGAAAATTAAACATATGATTTTTAATGTATTAACAGAAGTAACAAAAGTTGCTGTATCAACAGCTATATTTTTTTCTTTTTATATATATAAAATAGGTTATATTTTCTGTGGATCTATATAGATTTTCTAATTATATTCTTTGAGCAGAGTGATATGATTGTTATTATAGAAAATAGTTGTGATTATGAACATAATAAACGAACCTAGGATATTAGTAAGCCTGAATGGATGGAAGGAAAACGTGTTACTGAAAGATATATTTATTATTTTATATGTTGTACTTTGTATAGATAAATTTCCACTGTGTTTTAAGCATTTACCAGATGTGCTGTGCGATTGCTCAATTATATAATTTTATTTTAGTTAATAAAAATTATTGTCTATGTGATTTTGTTATTAGCTTCCAAAAATCGGATCTGCCTGTCCCATAGTTAAGTTCGAAAAAAAAAACTGATATTGCTGACGCACATGCGCATATTTGAGTTCACGTTTGAAATTGATGAAAGGTAAAATGATCGTTAACTCTTTAATGTTAATGGTTTAATTGACATTTTAAATTAGTGTTAATGTTAACTAAAGGTTGAAAATTGTACATTTGTTTAATTCAAAACCTGGTTGTTTTCCTTACCAAACTCTTTTACTAAAATACTTTTATAACACATTAAACTTTCACGAAAAATTGACCATAGATAAAAGGCAATAAAGCAGTATTTCACCCAAAATGAATTCTATTTAAAGACTTTGCCTCAAACTTATTCTCTTCGAACGTGTTATTGCATAGAACTACAGAACTGAAGTATCACAGAACGTGAACATTAATAAAATTGGTATGTTAATGTAATGCGATAGGCAACAAGTATCAACTATCACTGGGCCATATCTCACGAGATTTAATTTTCCGTAACCATTTCATTTTCTGCAGTAGAAAAAAAAATGGCTGTTGTATAGTGATAAGAGCTGCGAACTTACGAAAAGATGTATTGTGCATCTGTATCTTGTATTTTTTAGAAAATATCAATAGAACCACAGGAATATCGTTTTGTCATTTAATTTTGTCGTAGTGTAACAAGTAAGTGAAATTATATTTGAAATTGCCCTTGGAAGCCACCGCGCCAGTGACCTTGACTGCCGATTTGTTGATTTTTCATTTGAAAGCAAATTTTAATTGGCTTTTACGTCAAAATCATTTGTAATTTTAACACGTCCCTTACAAATTGTAGGATAAGATGGCTTTATGGGCTAAGGCGCAGCAATTGCCGGCGGATAGCCCACATTTGCAACAAATCAGGGCTATTTACGGAGATCATTTCCCTATAGAAGTCAGGCACTATCTGGCGCAGTCTATAGAAGACAAGTTCTGGTATGTTTTTTTTTGTTTTGACTCAGTGTTTATTGTTCTGTCATTTGTAATATCCCTTTTTGTAAGTTATTCCATTTGTCTGATCTTTATTGTTTCTGTTCAGGTCAGAGATTGATCATGTGCCAGATAATCCTCATTATGAACAGTATGTTGCGAATTTGGTAAATGGTTTCATACAAGAAATAGAAAGCAAAGCTGAGGTGGTCTCAGATTCAACAGAGTTTTTTTTGACAAAACTCAAGCTGGCTGAAACTGCCAAAATGTTTAAACTGAGGTATAGGTGAGTAGAACTCAAATTTTAGGGTTATAAGTTTTTCATCTTTCTGTAAAAGTAATATTTAGGAAAAAATAATGTTGAAACAATAAAATGTTTTAATTAGTGTTTTTTAAACCAGATATTTCAATTTCTTCTAGTTCGAACCCCATGCAGCTGTTTAATTATATTCGCCAGTGTTTGGCTATGGAGATTAAATTCTTGCAACAGTCAGGTGCTGAGTTTCTGGGTGGAGGTCCGGCATTGGCAATATCACATACTGCTGCTGAAGTTCTAAATAGATTAGACATGTTAAGGCGCAATACTCAAGTGTGTAGTTTACTAATTGCATTACCTATTAAAGTAATTAATTACTTTACAGCATACGTCTGAAACAACAAGAAAATTGGAACAAGACCAGGAAGCTTTTGCTTTGCAATATCATGAGTGCACAAAATTAAATGGTTGGTTATTTATTCTATTTTTAGATTTTATTTAAAGTAAATCTACTATTTCATTTAGCAAACATAAATTCAATGAACCAAGGCCAGCAAACACCCCAAACTCAGATGACTCTTCAATCATATGTGAAAAGAAAGGACATGCTGGAGGCAGAGTTGAATCGAAAGGTATCTGTGTCTCAGAACTTGTTGTTGTGTATTGTCCAATGATTTTTAGGTTGCTCACTTGATGGAAATCCGATTGGCTCTAACAGAAAAATTGAAAGAAAATTACCAACTCTTGAACACTTTACAGACTCATATACTAGATGAAGAGTTAATCAGATGGAAAAGAGACCAACAGTTAGCCGGTAATGGGGTGCCTTTTACCAGCAATTTAGATCAGATACAGGACTGGTATGTGGCCGATGGTTTTTTGTTCTTTTTTTTTTTTTTCAAAAGGAACTTAGTTCGGTTGTAATTTGGTTTTGTCTATAGGTGCGAAAGTTTGGCGGAAATCATGTGGCTGAATAGGCAGCAAATCAAGGAGGTTGAAAGATTAAAGTTGAAACTTCCTTTGGACCCACCTGGTGTAGTTGATGTATTACCACAGCTGCTGGCTGAAATCACTCAACTACTGTCAACCTTAGTAACCACAACTTTTATCATAGAGAAACAACCTCCTCAAGTGATGAAGACCAATACCAGGTGATTGTCCGTTATTTATTTAGTCCTTTTATTTTTTACAAAGCACCGAATATTGCAAAATGCTTAGTAATATATTTAAAAAAAAACTGTGTTAAAGAGTTAAGTAAGTCAAATGTATTACCTTTTATTGCTTTTATTTGTTCTTTTTTTTTTAATTTTAAATTTTTAATTATTGATGTAGAAGATAATTATCGGTAATTGTTCCAGATTTACCGCTACAGTTCGTCTCTTGGTGGGTGGTAAATTAAATGTTCACATGTCTCCACCTCAAGTCAAAGTAACGATAATTTCCGAATCCCAAGCAAACATGCTGCTCAAAAACGACAACAAGCTGATAAAGGGCGGCGAGAGCTCAGGGGAGATATTAAACAACACTGGTACTATGGAATACCAGCAGACCACAAGGCAATTGTCGGTCAGTTTCAGGAACATGCAGCTGAAGAAGATAAAAAGGGCCGAAAAGAAAGGCACCGAGAGTGTCATGGACGAGAAGTTTTCTTTATTTTTTCAATCGCAGTTCAGTATTGGTGGTGGAGAACTTATGTTTCAGGTGACTGCATTTCTTTAACACCATTTACATTAAGGGCTAAAGTAGATCCGTCTTTTTTTTAAGTAGAGCTATTTTAACAAGAAATATTAACATTGAGCAAAGTTAAACGAGAAACCAGAATATTAATTATATTCTCTCCCCTCAGAAAATTATAAAATTTATGGTTTAATTGTTTAAATAGTGAACTTTTCCAGCTATTTCTAAAAAGTTCTACAATTATTCAGTTTTTATTTTTTTAAATAATAAGTTATCAATATTGTCATCTTAACATGTTTGTAAATATTGTTTTAGGTATGGACACTGAGTTTACCGGTGGTTGTTATAGTCCACGGTAACCAAGAGCCCCATGCGTGGGCAACAGTGACATGGGACAATGCGTTCAGCGAACCAGAAAGATGTCCTTTTGCAGTACCAGATAAAGTAAGCTTTTTTTTTTTAATGATGACTTCCAGTGTGAATATCCTGAATTTAACCAAGGTGCCGTGGAGTAAAATGAAAGAAACCCTCTCGCAAAAGTTCAAGTGGGCGACCGGTCGCGGACTGACGGAAGATAACCTTAGATTTCTAGCAGAAAAGGCTTTCAGGGGCAACTACAACGAATCCACCAACTGCATGTTAAGCTGGGCCCAGTTTTGTAAAGAACCTCTCAGCGAACGGAACTTTACATTCTGGGAATGGTTCTTTGCCATAATGAAGCTGACCAGGGAGCATTTGAGAGGACCGTGGGTTGACGGGTAGGTGGAATGGTACCTTCGATGACTGAAGTTTCATATAAAAATGTCGTTTTAGTGCAATTATGGGTTTCATTCGGAAAAGACAAGCGGAAGACATGTTGGCTTCCAGACCTGCTGGAACTTTCTTGTTACGGTTTTCCGATAGCGAGCTGGGCGGAATAACTATTGCATGGGTATCAGGTAAACGTTGGTTGTCTTTCTACGCTAGTAGCGTTCTGATTGTGGATATTTTTCCTTAGAAACCCAAGAGGTGTTTAGTCTTCAACCATTTACTTCGAAAGATTTCCAAATCCGTTCACTCGCGGATCGGATTTCCGATCTGAACCACTTGGTGACCCTTTACCCTGATATCGCCAAAGAAGTGCACTTTCAGAAGTACTACACACCATATCAAGGTGAGAAAAGTTTTTTTTAAGTTTGTGATTTATTTTATGGTTCTGGTTTTATTTCCATTCCCTTATAACTATTTAAAAAATTATAAGTAAAGATATGTTCAACTTAAACACACAGATTATAAAAACATTAAAAATTGAACTGAAACTTTTACTAACAAAAATAAGAGACTTTTGTATACAAAAAGGTGTTTATCTAGATTGCCTTAAAGTGTGTAAAATTATGACCATATGTGAAAAGGGCATTAAAAGTGACTTAAATAACCATAGACCTATTAGGCCATTAATTACAAATCAACTTTATGATTTCAAAAAATAATAACATATTGTCACATTTCCATTTAGGCTTTACAAAATCTAAGTCAACAGTTAAAGGTTGAAGTGCCCAAAAAAAAATTAAGAAGTTGCTGAAAAAACCTAACTTTATGTCTTAGTCGGTATTGGCTTTTTTTTTTGTTCACCAAACAAGCTTTTGTGTTTATATTTACTTAAGTGTTTTCATATTTAAAACAACAACCTCATTATATAAATGTAACTTATTCTAAATATCTAGAGGATAGATTGAATAATTATTAGTCTAAAAAAAACACAATAAAAACAATATTAAGCAAACTATTTACAAATCTTCTGGATTCCCCAGCGTTGGTTGTTAAAAACTAGCTAAAACTTGCTATAAAGGTGCCATATTTGTAAATAGTATTACAGTAGACTGGAAAAAATTTCCAAAAATTAGTTTGTATAAAAAAACGCATAGGTAATAATGCAATGCATAATGTCTTACAATCATGTAATATCCGTGTTAATGAAGATGAACCCTGAATTTCTCAGACTAGACAAATCTGGGTATCACATCAACTTTTGCTTTAATTAAGTTTCCAAATAATATTAAAAACAAAAACGATAATGTTTTTAATTAATAAAATTTTCTGTACTGTAACAGATTTCTGAAAGAGTGAAATAAAGTATAATGATTTTTGTGTATTTTAAAAATTTAAGTGTGCTGAAAGAGACCAATGGGTGATGATAGCTTTAATTTAATTAAAAAATTATGATCTGTGATAAAATTACTTTTTATTTGGAAATGCTAATACAGTTTTGTCTTGTGTATCTGTAAGTGGAGTAGGCTAGCCTTAGGCCGTAGCAGGCCTGTTGTGCTTTCCCCTGATTTATCTTTTCCTTATATCACTTTACATCGGGCCGACCCACTGTACTGGATTGGTAGGTACAGGTATATTTATTTAATTCGGTTGAGAGTTTTTATTTTCGTTTTCTTTTATTTTTATCTAGCTGATATTAGTTGACACGTGTTTTTAAATAGATAATCCACCGCCAATCAATGGGTATGTTCGACCAGTGCTCGTGACACAGGTGCCAGGCTTCGCAGGAAACTCTTTCAACAACACACCGCAGCATACATTTTTGCAATCGCCCGATCCATCCAGGGATACCCCCTCCGTTTGCAGTACTACGTGAGTATTTTTCACAGAACATTTTTTCCCAATATAGTTTTTTTTAATTTGCATTTTGCCAAATGCTAGCACAATCGAATTTTTTTCTCAAAAAAAAATATGGATTCTTGAAATGAGCTAAATGTCGGAGGCGGTGTGATTTGCGGTTAATTAACTTTCCCTGTATCTCCAGTTTCCAGGGGATGCTCGATCTTTAAGAGAAACGCGGAGCATTTTAATAACGTGGGATCGCCAGAAGTATTTTTTTTTTAAATTATCGAAACAAATGCTTTATACGAATAGTGATACTATATTTAGTTTAAGGTTTTTTTTAAGGTTGTATTTCTAATCAATGTGCCTATTTATAATTTTATATGTAAATCAGTAGTTTGATTAAAAAATATATTTTTATTGCTTCATTAATGTATCCGTTTTTCTACAATTGTTGCTACCTAAAAAGTGACTAACCCATTAAGCGCTATGAGGAAAGCTTAACTTTTGATAAAAGTAACATTAATTTGACACAAACATACTGCAGAACAGACATAACCAGACACACTTGCAACATTTTTGTGTTTTTTTTTGTTTCCTCGCTTTAGATTGTTTTTAACAATCGTGTTACCCGCCAAAGACTCAACAATTTATTATTATTTCTAGCACACGCATTCTCGGCAGCTTTTTTTAAATTTAATTTACATTTTTCTTCCAATTTTGCACTTGTGAATTTTTATTGTTATGCCTGTCTGCAGGGTGAGCTATAACATCAGCAAATAACTGGTTTCGGCGTCTCGTTATCTAAAAAGTGTGATGCAAAAAAATTCTGTTTTTAGTCTAAATCCCAAATTTTCCCTTTGTCGTGGTTAGGTTAGATTTACGAAAAATACAATTCCACACTCGTATAAAATTGTTGGGTTTACCTGGCAGACTTTAAACTATCATATAAAATTTTTTTTTAACAAAAAGTCTTTGTTGCGGTGTAGTGATGTCTGGTTATGTATTTTGTGCAGTTACCCCTCATCGGTAGCCACCACTGTAACAGCGCCTGGTTTCCATATGGACTACAACTTTGAACTGGACGACTCGAATTATCCAAGCTTCGACTTGGGCCTGGGAGACCTGATGCCCAATAGCTACAACAAGCAATAGGCTTTGCTTAATAAGAACTATTTTCATATTGCCATAATGAGAGGATGGAGTGTTGGAGGCTTTTATGCCTCTCTAAGACATTTTGATCGGCTTTTAATTTTTGCTATCAATCAATAGGGAATGTGATAAATTTGAGGCTAAGGTAAGGTGTTGCCATAAATCTATATTCTTTTAAGTTAGGATTGGTAAATCAATCACTTGCTCAAAGTAGCAGCCATTATATGTCAAAATGACATATTTCAAGTAATTCTTGAATGCCGATTACTGTCTTAAAATTTGTTAATAGTATAAATGGAAAGTATTTTGATCAGACATCTACTGAAAAATAAAATGCAATAATTGCATAAATGCCTGTTCTGTCTCTGTTTTATAGAATGTTATGTTGTATTTGCTATCGTTTTTATAGCATTTTGAAACATTTATGACCTTTCTTCCGCTGTTTCTATCTTTTTTGAATTCTTATTTTAACATACAACACGCTGTAGCGCGAAAAGATGTTAAACTTAAATTCTTATATTATTTTCGTCCATTTTGCCTTCAAATAATTAAAGTGGTAATTAGTTTACTGTCGCAAAGTGTACAAAATAATTCAAACCTTGGGACTAAATTGTTCTTTTTTTTTTTTGAAAACTTCTAGGACTCTTAAACAGCTAGGTTACCCCTTTATTTGATAATTACGATATGCTGTTCGTCCTTGTAGGGTACATGTAGGTTCAAGAGTGCGAGTACAAATTTTTGTTCATGCTATACATTATTACATACTGTTAAAGTTTTTGTAGAGTTTAGTTTTGTGCAATCATCTTGACTATTTTTGTATATACTTATACTGTATTATTATGGTGCTTTATTAATATTTTATGTGGCATATTTTTATAACGTATACCAAGGGTTTTGTAAGTTATAAAAATTTACCCTTTGTGTCAGTGTTTTCTTGTATTGTGCTAGTTTCAAAACGTCGCAGAATACATAAAGAGTAAATTTTTATAATTATATATGTGATAAAAGAGTCGACAGATGTTCATATCAATATTTCAATATGTATTTTCTGGACACCAGTATGCACAGTTGTTAAGTAAATTTTTTTAGACAATTGTTTAAATCATATATATAGAAGTGAAATGTTGTAACAATGAAATTCAATTAAATGTTTATACACCTGCATTGAATAAATAATAAAATATTCATTACCCAACTAAATTTTCCGATTGAGTGGACCCTTGCCTTCTATGTAAGCTAAGTTATTAATAATTTAATTGGCTATAGGAAAAAGCACTTTGCAACTTTTTGCAGATCATTTCAGATTAAATTGTGTAGGCCAGGTAAAAATTTCATTTACTATAAATTTTATCAACACAACAGTAAATATACGATTTTAAAAACTAACTAAAATTCTTGGCTCTTAATATACTTCCGTAATCTTTCACGTCCGATATCGTAATTAATGAGTATTTTTTCGGCCCGTCGTCGAAGTCCTGTGTAGTAACGCTCGGTCGGACGGCGGACTGAGCGGGTGTTGGTACGGCCCGCCCCTTGCCGAGTTGTTCGTATACAACACAGAGACAACAACTGAGGATGGCTGCCGCAGCAGTTGAAAATTTTGGTTAGTTTTGGTTAGGTAGAAAAACTCTATTTCTTGACTCTCTGTCCTAAGGATGTCGCATAATTTAAAAGCAATATTTTGCAAATAAAAATACCGGTCAATAATAAATATCTTTTTATTACATAATCTTATTAAAATATATATATAACTATTTACAACAGCAAGTGTTCACTGCTAGTATTTATCAAGTTGGGTAAAGATTTGTAAGTGTTACCCATATTGTCAGTCTTGAAAGAGCTCTGCATTGAATAGAGCCTGTTACGGTCCGGAGGGCATTCAATATCTAACGCTACAATGTTATTCCTCAAATAGTCATCAGGATGTTGCGTCGAGTCGTTTTGGGGCGTGTCGCAGAGATCTTCAATGTGCACGTCCGCTTTTTGTATAGACGACGCACAACTTCCGAAACATTTGGCTTTGTTGCACTCGTTTTCAAAGACGTAACACATTTGCACTTCGCTTTGCGAGTTTGAGTTTGTATCGGAAGGTGGTATATTGTACTCGGCTTGGGTTACCACTTGAGACAACAAATTCTGGCCACTCTCTTTTGCGTAAATGTAATGAGGCGATGGCGTGTGCACCGCAGTTTTTTCCGGTGCGTTTTGCACCAGGATTACTCTGCAGAAAGAAAAAATGTAAATGACACAGTTTTTGCCAACAATGCAAAGACAATATAGTAATCATATGTGGACTACAACAAAAATAAAACTCGATGCTTCGTTAATTTAAACCATTTAAACTGACACAAATCTATAATATTTGTGTAATTATGTAAATAATTTCTACAATGGATAATAGTACAATAGCAGTAATATTCTTAACCAAAATAAATATTAAGTTTATGACATTAACACAAGAGACAAGTTGAATGTAAACATTTCCTTTGAATTTGTGTTTGTATTAGAATTATGAATGTGTTTAGATATTAAACTAAGTAGGTCACCCTATTAACAAAAAATTGCACCTAGTAGTTCAAATGTACCAAGTTCCGATCAGTAAGCTTTTAAAATTATATACAAACCTATTATGGGCTTTCCATCGAGAAAAAAGATGTAAGTACTGCCTGCATTGTATGTACATAAATACAGCCCCGCCGGTAAATCCAACTGCCACCACAACTAATTTGGTCCAAAATGGCCATGCTAAAAGAAGATCCAAATTGTTTATGGCACCTATCTCGTAAATCCTTCAAAGTAAAGATTATTTTGAAAGTAAAGTGCAATCTAACTTGATTAACTGCCAAAACAACAGAGCGAAATTTCTTATCAATACATAACAGGATAACACTATTATAGCAAACAATTTCAGGGACGCTATTGTTTTATTTGAGGCCATTGAACTTAAAATCATACAATTTTATCAGAGATTTTTTAATCACAACTTTTTATCACTTACCAATCAAGCCTTTTTGAACCTCTTCAGCAGCCCGATCAATAAGTACAAATAGTGACCACACGACGCATACTGCTGCCACAAAATGAAACAAAATTGCACAAAGCAGTCGTCTTCTCTCAACGCTGCTCATTTCCAGAATCCTCCACTATAAAGTAACATATCAACGCAAACCTAGACATTGATTTTGGACTTACTTCGGAAAGCGGCTTAATTTTTGTATGTAGTATAAAGTTGAACTTGCACAACTCACAGGATCTTGTATCTGAAGCTGCAAGCCACTGCCTCAGGCAATTTTGGTGCACATACTTAAGGCTGCCCGAGCAGTAGCATGGGGATAGCAGGGGATTTTCCGAGTCAGCTTCGCAGTGGCATATACGGCAAATATCCCCGGTGGAGTTGGAGTAATTGGAATCTGTATCACACTTGCTTAAGTCTTGCTTTTTTACAGAGTCGGAAAACGCCTCTCGCGATATGACCCCGCCTGTTTCTTTCACTTTGATGAATTGACCGGGCATCGCATTGGAAGTGAGATCTGCTTGGTCGAACGTTGAATTTATAATTAGAACGAAGCTTGTATAAGTTTGGTTCACATCACTTTGTCGCCTTGGCGAATTTTTTTTTGAGCTGCACGATATTTATATACTTTCAATCTTTGGGTTTCGTAAAGTACAAGCTTCCTGCTTGATACTGCGGTAAACTATGTAGCAATTTATACGACAACTTTGTTTTTTATTTAGTTGCCCCTATCTCTATAACAAGCGAACAACTGTCAAAAACGGCTGATTTCTGCTTGGCGAAATTGTGAATCCCAGCTAAATATTCTTTTTTATAATGTTGGTACGAAAACAAGCAGTGCCTGTGCGATGTGCGAGAAACAATTTCTTTGTATCTGTGCTTAGTAATGGTGAAATATTGTTTAACATTTTAATATATATACTTATATTATTCGAATGCGATAAATAGAAATGTTCTTAAGATGTATTTAAAACAATTCAATGTGAGGTCATGTGTAGGTGTCTTCGATTCCTATTTGATTCACTTGCAACATTCATATACCGTGCAAAATATCAATACCTAATCGATTATAATCGTGGTTCAGTTGAAAGATAGGAATAACTATTTTTGTCTTTTTCTTTTATCTGGTTGCAGTAAAGGAAGAAAGAATATCAAACCCATTTTTGTCACATTTTGTAACACCATCTTTATTGATTTGAAAGATGACGGATAATATATAAACACAAGTTTTGTGTTCGGGAGTTTTTTTTTGTGATCATAATTGAATAACGGAAAAAGATTAGTATTATGACTGAATTAAGGAAACGACGAGAGTCCGACGGTCAAGTTCTCGAGTCAGCTGAATCGGACCATGTAAGTTCGCCCTGTTTATGGGGCGATTTAGTGTATCTTCCTTCCCCCAATGTAATAATTGTAGAATTGCTCGATTTATTCGACGTTCGATGTCATAAACATCTGCGGTTTGCCTGTTAAGACATTTTCATTATGTGTTATTAGATCTATCTCAATTATTGAGCTAAATATAATTATTAGAGTTCATAATTTTTCTATATGATTCCAGGCTTATACCACTGAATTAGCCTGACTAATTGGATTTAGATACTCACTCCGAATTGCCAACTATTGTAGTAAAAGATTATGCTATAACGATTTTATAAATTTTTAGTGAAAAGAATTGTTAATATATATTTCTGATATATTATTGTAGATTGATAGTGAAGATGATAAAATCAGGGCTGCAGTGGACTTGTCTGGCAAGATACCAACAGGTACTGACAAAGCCCCTGGAGTTCTCGAATGGCTAGTTAAAGATCTACCTGATCGATGGAGAAACTGGGCAGTGAGAGCCATTTTCAGCCTCATAATGATTGTCTTCTTCTTCTTAGTCATTTATAGTGGACCTCTGGCGCTAATGATGACTGTAAATGCATTTTCGATGTACTTGCTAAGGGTGCTTTCTATTTGAAATTGCTGTTTTAGACGCTTGTGGTACAAGTTAAGTGTTTCCAAGAGATAATCAACATTGGATATGCAGTTTATCGTATACATGGGCTTCCATGGTTTAGATCACTCTCATGGTACTTTTTACTTACTTCAAATTATTTTTTCTATGGGGAGAGTTTGGTTGACTACTTTGGAGTTGTCATCAACCGAACAGTGAGTAAATTCTAAATACTTATTTGATTTGGTTAAACATAGTTATTGTATTTGAATTCGTTAAGGGATTTTGGTTTGCTTTTGGAAAGTTGTTTTTGCAACGAAAGTAGTTCATACCTGAAGGAAAACTTTATTTATTAAAAAATGTGCTAAAATCACTTTTTAAATAATTACCCTGAAACAGAGTAGTAATGGTTTTGTCTTTTCTCATAGTTCGAGTATGTATGAACAAACACAACTGGTTTATTTTTTTTAGGAAGGATTGCGCTTTTTGGTAGCTTACCATCGGTTCTTCTCATTTAGCCTATATTGTGTTGGCTTCGTCTGGTTTGTACTTTCCCTGGTAAAAAAATACTACATGAAGCAGTTTTCCCTGTTCGCCTGGACCCATGTTGCGCTGCTCATTGTGGTCACTCAGTCTTATCTGATCATCAAGAACATTTTCGAAGGGCTGATTTGGTTCATAGTGCCCGTGTCTATGATAATTTGCAATGATATCATGGCATATGTGTTTGGGTTTTTCTTTGGCAAAACGCCGCTGATACAATTATCGCCCAAAAAAACGTGGGAAGGATTTATTGGGGGCGGCATCTCTACTGTGGTTTTTGGATTAGGGGTAAGTAATAAGGCGTAGTTTACTAGTCTGAGTGCCTCAGGATTTGAGCACTAACACTTTTAGTTTCAAGAAACATTGTTAATTTAAAACCAGAACATTTACACCATATTTAATTGTTAGACTGTGCCAAAAACATTGACTATAAAAAATATCCTGAATCTTGAGATTAATGGGAAGAGTCGTCGTCGTCATTTGTATTTTTAATTTTTTGGTACTGACCTCATTATTGGGTCACAACAGTTAAGCAATGTAGGTAAAAATATTTATCTGAATATATTTTTTTAGAAAATTGAATTCTCTATAAAAAGGCTCTGATTTTTGGCCGTTTCGATGAAATCAAGCAGTCAGTATGTTTGATTAAAAATTTTCCTTGTGAAATTTTGTAAATAACATAGTATTAAATATACAAAAACAAAACAATACTGATTTTTAAAAGGCTCTTAATATTTGGTCACCACTGAACAGTGATCCAACATTGAAAGTTTTCAGGAATGCCAACTATTTTTCGATCAATAAAAAATAAACTTTTAATTTTAATTATTTAATTATAAAAAATTATATATTTCTTATGAAATCTGTCTTATAAAAATACTTAAAATGACGTGTGTCAAAAAAGATTGGGTTGAAAAAGAACAACGATTTTATTTTTGCTTTAGGTTTAACTTTGAATAACTTTTTAGTATATTACTTTATTAAAAAATGTTTTTTTTTAAGTATTAAATTCCCTTTAAAAATCGGTCACAAATCTCCAAAATAAAAACGTTAATAATACTCAATCAGGGATTTGTTATTTTTTTTATTCAATTTTCTAGTAAAACTAAAGTAAATATTTTCACCTTAACCTCAAAAAAAGTCATTCGGAATGATTTTATCCTTATATTTTTCATTTAACAAAAATGGTCTCAATCTATTTCTTATAATTAATGTAACTCGGCTACGAGTTTACAATTTTATTATCAACGCCCATGTTTACCGATCTAGCAACAAGGGCTAAGCAATTGACCTGACCGCAGTTTTTATCCGGTTAGATATCATATGTGATGTGCCAGTACCCCTACTTTGTTTGCCCGATTGAATATAGCGAAACTCTAGGGAGAATGACAATGGAATGCGAACCCGGCGTTTTGTTCAGACTGCAGTTGTACACTCTACCAAGCTGGCTTGATTGGTTAAAAATTGTAAGAGATTGACACATCGCCTTATAAAAAACTTATGACCTATATTGTAGTTGGGGATGTCCAACACCGTCTATCTCTATCCATTCATGCTACATTCACTCGCTTTGTCTCTCTTCAGCAGCGTTATTGGTCCCTTTGGTGGCTTCTTTGCTTCGGGTTTCAAGAGAGCTTTCAAAATTAAAGTGAGACCAATTCGTTTGTGAAAGAACCCGAATAATATTTTTCACCCTTAGGATTTTGGGGACGTCATTCCGGGTCATGGCGGCATCATGGATAGGTTTGATTGCCAATTCCTAATGGCAACGTTCGTCAATGTTTACATTAGTAGTTTCATACAGACCGATAGTCCGCAGAAACTTCTTTCGCAGGTGCTTTATTTAAAGCCAGAGCAGCAGCTGCAGCTGTTTCACATGTTGAAGGAATCTCTCGAGAATCGCGATATTTTGCAGGTTAATAATTAGTTTTGTTTGTTTTATAGGTTTTCGTTATATGTTTTAAATTATATTTTATATTTATTTTGTGCCATTTATGTTTTACGTGGTTGTTGTATTTTACGGAAAGATATATATGTAGGTGTATGCAGAAGTTTTTTGCTTGGTTCTTTTTTATAAGATCTTGCCCAGTTCTTATTTTTGTTGGTGTGATATTCGAATATTACTAGTATTGGAATTTTTTTAAGGGAACAATGTAAGTGTTACATTTTTGGGGATTAAGTCACTTTTCTTCTCTATTTTTTGGGTGTTGATTAATTTTTTTTTAACTTGCCAGTGTAGAGAAAAAAGAAACTAAGATTGGTATTATTGTTTTATTTGGTACTTAATTATGCAATTTTTGTTACCACTAGTTTTAGCATTCATTATATTGTTAAACTAAAAGTAATACTTGGGTAACTAATCTTATGGTAAAAAATTCTAAACTGGATTTTCTGCTAATAATATTTATTTTCGGAAGTTTTGTTAATTTTTCTATGGTGGTTTTTTAATTTTTTGTTTCAATAAAAACTGCTACCACACAGGAAAGGCTTGATCAATAATTTTCTGTTAAAACTGATTTCAAATATGACGTCAGAGTATTGGAATACATTCCGTGTTTATTTATTTTGGTTTAGAAGTTTTGGAATGTGCTTTATCTAAAAAAAAAGTGTGTAGGTTACATAATTATTAATTGCTCTTGGTTCTAGCTGTGTTATTATTTACTTGCAGTGTTACAATTGTATTATTTATTATTTTCCAAAGTTAGTGTGTGGTGATATTTTAGTAGTTTGTTTAACCAGTGAGAGTATAGGTGCAAGACCATATTTTATGAACAGCTAAAGAATAAGTTAATGTTTCTAGGTAACTTAAATGTTAATAAGAATAGTAATTACCATTTTTTAACCTTTTATTAAGTGTTTTAAACCTAATAAAAAAGAAAACTTCCTCCAAACGAAACTAAACCGACACTCCTTTTGTGTTGTATGTATTTTCTATGGATTTGCGGCAGACCAGTTAGAAAACTAATCCAAATCCTATTTGTGAATGTAGTTCTAATTCAACGTTAATAATTAATCTGTTAGGTGACCAAAGAGTGAATGAATATCTTGATGCTTCATACTTCTTTCATTTTTCTTGTTAGTTGTTATTCAAACTAGTTTACCATGTTGTGGTTATGGAAAAAGTAAACCAACTTATACAGTTGCATTTATTGTGAAATGTTTAGGATATCCAGAAGACTTATTATTATAAACATGTGTTGTAGGTAAATTTCTCCTGTATTTATAGTCGGTGTGTGCAATAAAATATTTTACTGATAAATAAATTTATTGTAGTAAATAAAAGTCATCCCAATAAGTAATTAAATCCTTTAATTCTATCGTAAACAAAATATAATATTTACCAAAGTCTGTCTACCTAAGGGGTGAAAACAATTAATAAATTAAATAATTTTCTATACAAATTAAATCCTTAGTACACGTTTAATCGCAACAAGAATAATCTACAATTTTTACAAAATCAATTTTACATATGAGATAAACTATACACAGTCAATGCTTGCATTTACTAAAAGGACCAAAGACGAATCACAGCAAATGGGCGTTTGTCTCACATACCTCGAATACACAGGTCATAAATCATTTTGACGACGTTTCATCAAAATTCATTTTTCATCCTCGAGCCAATGAATCTGCCCTGTTGCCGGTTATTTGATCGCACTTCTGACGCATGCACGTCTTGGCCTTGCCTTGTTACTTGCGAGGACATAATTGGATAGGTATTTCTGATGATCACAGGTTAGAATTTTTCAACTTTTTCAACTATATATTCGAAGTGGATATATATATGGACATTTTTCTCAAATTCAATAGGGGTTTTCAAGAAAACATTTTTTTTAAATTAAATTAATCTCCAAACTGCATATTATTTTTATTTAATTTTCCTATTTAAATAAGTTAAGTTCATAACAGTTATTTAAATTTAAAATGTTTTTATTATCAACAAGAAAGCAGATTTAATCAAAAATTATTACTGGTATAAAAAAATATACAGCATGCAATTTAAAATAAAAACGTTGCTCTTTTGTTTACTTAAAAATGAAAATCTATACGTCCTATTAAATTTTGATATTTTTATTACAAAAAAAAGTTATAATAGAGGTATAAAAATGAGCCATGCTCATGGAATTATTTAAGGTGGTTGAATCGTTAAATTGTGTATTTGCGCAGTCTCAAGTGGGTAACCTAGTTTGAACGTCAGGGCTGGGAATGCCCAACCATTTTGACACGTAATTAAGTGTTCGATATGGTGCACACGCAACAACTAGGAAACCAAAACGTGTCGCTGTAGAGGTCGCCTCCGCTGCCGTCGAGGGCTATGAGCCGTTTTTGAACGTACTTTTGCTCGCACCGCGAAGAGTAACCTTGGGGAAGCGTGCATAAACCGTTACAGTTTTGATCCCTGGAAAGGACACGATCATTTTCGTTTAAGGCGCACCTATCCGAGCCTACGAGAATCAGTATACCAACTCTTCAAATATTTTGGTCCTATGAGCAGGGCGGAAGCGATGACATCGTATTTGGTAGATTGAATTCATAATGCAGATTGTTGACTTACTTACAAGAGGGATCTTTAATAACTATTTCTGTATTATTGCAATTGGGGAAAAACGCATTTGTGTTGAAGATAATTTTAAATAATTAGGTCAGGATTAAACTTTGTTTTGGCCCAGTGTACCTAGTTTTCTAGAGTTGTAAATAAATCACTCGCTGAAGTTTGAATACCACACTATACTGACAGAAAAAATGATCTTCACTGAAGTAGTTTGGTCCTACTGATCCTCGTAGAGTCATATAAAGTCGTCCACTGTGTTGAGTTATTCTCGCCGTAAATACTTACACGCAGGTTTCGCTCTTAACTAATTGGGTATAGCGGCTATCGACTTCCGGCATGTTGACCACGTACATCCAATTGCCTTTGCTGTTTAGAGCCGCCCTCGGCATGATGAAGTTTGACCTGCTTCTGCACAGCGTCTGACCGGTCACTGTACTCTGCCTCTTATTTCTGGCAAGAGACAGGGACGTCGAGTTTAGATTTGTATTGAGCGAGAATCTTCTTCTTCGTCGCAACGATCTTTTGCCTCTCTCGTTTCTGCAGACAGATGATTCAATTATGACGAATATTTACTGGTGTGACTGTTAGACAATGTTCCGTAATCCAGATAGTACAGGGTCGTCAAAATGACGTCATTACCTAGCCACCAAATGATGAAAATGACTTTATATATGACGTCGCAGGACGTGAATTTGACCTACCAATGTCTAGGACGAATTTAACCGACGTCTTTTTTTACTTCAATTAGTGTCGTCAATTTTTGTCATTTAAGTGAAATTTTTTTGACGTCGACTTAAAGCCAGATTTTGTTCTTTACTCTCCAAAATATGACGATAATTTTTTTTTGCATGAGGAAAATCGAAACTAAATCACACAGAAGCTGCCGCTTTAAGTTACATAGAATGTCTTTTGCGGTTGCGCAAAATGGAGAATTATAGGTAAGGTGAGCCTTCCTTTTAAAAAAATTACTAATGAAAGTCTAATATACGGTCTCTTCTTTTTGCGTTTTTCACGAATAAGACCATCCCTTTCTTTTGACATCAATTTGACGTGTTTTTCGGACCACTAACGAGTAGCGACAACTTATGACTCGAAAATTACGAGCCTCTGCTACCTGGAAAAGTTCATGTGACTCACGTGTTGCATAATATACTATTGTTGGCAGAAAATCGGTGTCCACCTTTCTCTAGATATTAGACTACTTCCTAATTTTATTTTAATAAAAATTTTGACATTTGTAGCTTAGCATTCTGGCAGTATCAAGATTAGGACCGTCAGTTTTAAGCTTAATAATTAATTATCTTTTTAAAGTTGAATAGTAAGTGTGTGAGCCAGGAATGTTTTTTGTTAAAAATATTAATTCTAATTTTGATATTTCTAAATTAAAAACGCATATTTTTTTTATAAAAATAATAATAATAAATTAGGCTTGCTCTACAAATTGTAATAATCTTTTCTATTTTTTACTTACTCTAGCAATCCGATATTTTTACAAATTTCCACAATTAATGACACTTGAAGCATAAGAGTACATATAATTTTTTTAAATAATTTTTATTTCCAAGGCTATTCCATAAACATCACTTAGCTTTATAAAACATAAAATGAAAGCCGCTAGGCTTTTTTATTCAATAAGCACCCCACATAGAATGTTGCCGTCTTCTAATTGAGTCCTACCTTTTCCAAAGCTCGTTGATGGGACTGTAAGCAGTTGTCTGTGAGGGGAAAACCGGCGGCTGGTATGGTACGGTACTGTAGTGATTTTTCGTACCTTGCGGAAGAGGAAAATTGCCCGTGTATTTGTAAGTGAGGAACGTCCCGCCATCTTTACCCGACTGGTCGTTGAAGCCCAACGTGAAATTAGTTGGCGGGAACACTTTGGGCGGAATATAGAATCCTCCTGAAATAATCGCTAGTGACCTATTCGATACAACTAGCAAATGTGGGGCGGTTCTGAGGTTATTTTAAAGGAAAAGTTCCTTCCTTTTAAAGTTTAATTATTTTTTCTTTATACTCAACAAAACTGAGTCGATGAGGTTATTTATATCAAAACAGCGATAATAGTGTAAATTCTCATTATAAAACTCAAAAAACATCGGACTCCCAAACTGTGAAAAATACACTTCTTGTGTGCTGGAATGTAATGTATAATTAAAACTGTCGGTAGTTCTCAAAATAAATCCTAAATTAACGCAATCCTGAACTACGTTAACACGTTCAAATTGTACATTATAAAAGGAAATTTGAAGCGGAAAAAATAAACACGCATGCGCGGTCATTTGAAATATCATTTTCAATTTATAACAGGCGGCATTCAACAACCAAGATGGCTGCTGACAGATGGTCAATTTGACAAATATTTTTACGTCAGTAATTTCTTAAAATATGCTCAGATCTCATTAAATGTTCCAAAATGGCCGCTGGCGCGGACAGATGGTTAATTTGACAATTATTTTTAACTCACTATTTTCTTAAAATATGCTCATCTCATTAAATGTCCCAAGTTCCGGTATAATGACTTAATTGCGTGGCAATCTTGTTTTAAAAAAATAGTGCAAAGTGTGTGAATTTGGAAAATTGGAACGCTTATTTCCCTCCAAAAGATCAATAATTATGTGAGTATTTTTGCGATTTTTGATATCTTTTCGGTGATTTAAAGATAATTTGTGTCCGTGCCCTTTAAATTTAATGTTGTAGTGTGTATCTTCTAAACGATCAAGTGTCCCTGGACCTTTAGGATAGGAACTTTTTCTCTTAAAATAACCTCTAGAATCATCCCCCAATAAGTCACGTCGTTTTTAAACTAGAGATTACCCTGTTCGGGGAACGTGTGCTGAGGTTTGGAAATGTAAATGGGTTCTGGATAATGGTATCCTTCGTCGTTGTTGACGTGATTCGGGATGTATTGCGGTGACCCGTAGATGGTCGGCGGAGGTGGATAGTAATAGGCGGTGAATTCGTCTTTGGCCTCGTCTATTATCAGACTTTGGTGGTTAAACTTCCATTTTTGGACTAGATGATGTATCAAGTGACTAAAAAGAGAAAAATAATCTTTACACCTTGGCGACTGACGTTCATATGCTAAATTAACTATATTTTGGTAACGTCAAAGCTCGATTACATTTTTTTGTATCGGAGTAATCGGAGAAAAAAAAAGTTGAAGTCTCAAAACTTTCCAGTTCTAGTTAGCTTACTCCATAGTAATCTTTCTGCGATTATCTAAGATTTCCAAACTAGTCGCCGAGTACGCTCTCTGGTGAAGAATATGAGTACCACACGCGGATTTGTTGTCATTTGGTGGCGCTGCTAAATCCAAACAAACGTGGCCGCTTTACTTGCCAATTTAACTTTTACATGTTATCTTGGACCTTTCACCAGCTGCATAAGCGAAAATAAAGCATTATTATTAGTGTTTTTCGTATTTTTATGCAGGATGTTTTCTAATTGAATGTCAATCGTTAAGCGGTCGATTTTTGGGTCCATTTTAAAAAGAAAATTTCATATGTCTACAGTGTGGTACAGATTTCTAAAAATTGATGGCAGTGCGTCCAAAGCTAGGCGATTATATCAATTAAATTTATAAAGTCATAGGTGAACATTTTCATTTCATAGAATTTGACAAAGACATGATATTGTCAAGTGAATATATATAATTCCGTGAAAATCTGAACTTTTAGTTCTTAATTTTTTTTTATTTATAGAATTTCGATTTAAATAGGTACTTTGAGGGTAAATAATCATTTAAAAGGGGCCCATCGGACTGTAAAAACTCCAGAAATTGAAGAAGCAGTTTTAAATTATATAGATGAAAATCGTGAACTTGGTACTAGAAAAATTGTAAATAATCTGAATATCTCGCAAGTCTTGGCTAGGAAAATTTTGTACGATTTTCTATTGCACACATATATCAATGTTTGACCAAGAAATACAATTTACAGATGAAACTAATTTTTCTGTAAATATTTGCGCTGGAATTACTGGAAATTACTTAATTGTACTAATTGATTTAACTTGGTTAGTTAAAATGGATTTATTTTTCTTTTCAAAAATGAAAAAACTTGAAAAAATGTATTTTTAATTGCCTAATTTAAAAAAAAAAAAGTAGTGGCGTACAATGATTTTTCCTTACTATCAATTAAATTATACTCTGTCACGCTGCTGGAATTAATACTTTTGAGCTGTGAAGAAACCAACAGGTGATTGGCGAAACGTCAGCATTTCTACCCTAAAAAGTAGACAAAAACGATGGGGAAAACGAACACATTTTACTTGAGTCATTTAAGATGGATGGATGGATGGATTAACGTTTTTTTCAATGCTATAATAGTACCCAAATAAACTTCAATAAAAATATACTTTTTGACCGCACCTCGCATACAATAGCAATAGTAGGAATAATAATTTTTTTAACACAAAATCATGTGTACATTTTGCTCAACAAGTAGTTTTTACTGTTAAAGACGTACCCATAAAACGCTTTAGGAACTGGACGGAGAAACCTTAATGTAAATTGCGCGTTGCACGTTTTTTAAACAATATCTAGAACTTTTTTTCAAAGAAACTTCCACTTTTATTGTAATTACGCCAATAGGATGATTGGCGAGACGTCAGCAAGTTTGATTTTGATGAATATTAAGTACTATAACATACTAATAAATATTTAAAATTATTTCATTCTTCAAACAACATACGATGGTGGAGTGAAAAGTTTTCGGCGTGACCAAGAGATGAAGCCGCTATTTCTACTTTTGGAGCGACGTCCTACAGTACCATTCCTACCGAGCTTGTATGTGACCATATTGCGCGAGGTGCTTCCGTTGTTTTCAACGCAAATTAAACGACCCCAGAAAGAAATTTTGTTTCATCACGATAACGCACCAGCGCCTTCGTCGATTGTTGCCATGTCCAAAATCAACAAATTGAAGTTTGAATTGATGCCGCAACCTCCCTACCCTCCAGACCTAGCTTCCAGCGACTATTACCTGTTTCCTAACCTTAAAAATGACTTGGCGGTAAAAGATTTAAAAGTAACGAAGAAGTTGTCGAAGCTGTAAATCCGTATTTTGAGGAACTTGACGAATTTACGTTTAAAACTGGTATAACCAAATTTGAACACCGTTATGAGAGGTGTATCGGTGTTGATGGAGATTATGTTTTTGAAAAATAAAGTAAAAAAAAGAACATCGTTTTTCTTGGTCAGGCCGGAAACTGAGACTGGTGCTTTTCTCAATGCAATCTGTGGACAGTAGTGATTCAACCACTACCCCTCACACACGCCATTAAGAAGTGGGATGGAAAATGTGTTGCCGCTTACCTAGGATAATGATCCGGATTCTCGCAGTAGGTAAATCCGGGCCTGGCGCAGGGCGGGGTTTTTCCGGGGGGCGCGGGGACGTACGAACACGGCGCCCTGCCGTATTCGTAGGAGCACATGCACCGGCAGTACTCTACGACGTGGACGAACAACAAAATCCGCAGCTGAAAAAGCGATGCATATTTTAACGATTGATTTCAACACAACACAAAAGGCAGCATCGCTCGCAAATTGGTGCAATTGCATCGTCGGTTACCCAATCCAATTATTTATTACATTTTAAGGCAAAAACTAATTTTATTGGCCGCACGATCTCGCGGCACAAACGACGGTGAAAACTGATTGGTATTCGCGTCACACCGCTTTGAAAATAAAAATAAGTCCACTCTCTTTATGTGTCAGCCAGCGCGTTTACATTTTAGAAATCCGCCTAGTGCATCTTTTTGTTTTGAAATAAATCCTTTAGGTCGTTAAGCATGTTTCCGGATTCGATTAAAGAGACGACGCATAAATCATATCCTTTTTTTGTTCTTATAGAGGGTGGGGCAAGGAGGCCCGACTCAAAAATTCAAAAAAATTAACAGGATGATTGTCGAAACGTCAGCAAGTTCGACTCAGCAAAAACCGACGCGGGAAGAATCCAGAAGTTTTTTTAAAAAATATTACAGTAGCCTGTGGAAGTTTCTTTGAAAAATTAACAAAACAAAATAGAAAAACCGTCCTATCCTACGCTTCGGTAATTTTTAGGGTAAATAGAATATTAAAAAATAAAGTCACTGCTGGCTACAGCATTAGACCACCATTTTTTACAGATAGGGAAAAATTCATTACCCAATTTGTTTCAAAAGTTATGAGAGAATGGTACAATAAATAAGGATTGTTAGGATGAGTGACTTTTTAAACACTCTAAGTAAAAAGCAAAAGGAGTCCAAGATTTAAAAAAAATTGTTCCCAAACTGTGTTCCTTTATGCGCATTTTGTGAATGACTTTTATAATGACATTTATAAAAATAAACGGCCATATTATAGCTAGAAATGAGCGGAGTTTTGTTGCGCACGAGTTAATGTTTGTAACTTGTAGCTCAGATCTAATAAATTTGATTTGATTTGAAAAACCACAATCTAGTAGTACTAACTGCATACGTATCGAAAAATTTAGAAAAACCGAAATCCCACGTGATGATTTGTTTAAATTTATAAATAGCCCTCCCAATGTGGCGACCGTTTTTTTCCTAAAGGATTGGATATGTAATTCCAACGATTTTTATTACGCGATAAATTCATGTCTGCTGTCAGTATATATCTCTATCAAACGTCGGGAATTGTGACCTACGAGGACACACATTCACCTAGTTTATTGTTTATATCGCGCCTATAGTGATCTAAATAAATAGGCCCGATATTAATAACGATAATATGATTTGCCGCCTCCCACTATACCCTAAGCTGACAGGCTTAAGGATGTGATTTTTTCAACGTTCTTCGTAAGGTGACAAGTTGAAAAATTACAAGTTGTAACTATCGCGTCGTTATAACTGGGCGTGCCCGCACCTGTTTTTTTATTTTGGTATAGCGATTCTTTTGAGAAGGGTTCCTTTTAACAAAACTTTATTTCACCGGATCGCTGTTTCAAAAATGACCCCAATATTTTTGCAATACATTTATACACTATTTCAGAAAAGTGTAGAGTAATAAAATTTCAGTTGCGCTTAATTTCGGTATCCGCCATAGGCGTAGGTACACTTGGTGCAGTAACATTATTTATTATCCATATTTTAAATCCGCTACTAGTAAATAGGGCCTATTGTTTAACACTTCAGTGTCAAAAGTTATGTGAAAAGACTCTCAAACAGGGAAGCTTCCATTTAAAATGATGATTACATGATTTTATAAAACACTTACTGTACCAGAAACTGTCCACAGTTTTAAATTATTCCGGGAGCAGGTGAAGTAGATTGTCCTTAAAAATGTCCAGAAAAGTAAAAACTCCCCGATGAAGACATGAAAAAAGGAAGTACCAACCTTAGGAAGCTTTTATGCGTCACTTTAAAAACGATGGACTTTATGGAAAACCATAACCGCAAAGCATGTTTACAGTGAAAGGATTTGTAGCAAGACATAAACAACTTTAAGCCACTGTTCGATTGTCACTTGTCAAAATTCATTTTTTGAAATTTTATTTTTAACACAGTAAAAGTCAACATTACAAAAAAAAGTGTTTCAGAAATCTGTCACTAGGGGACAATTTACGTAGAACATGTCTAACTTGCAATTGATTTTTATTTAGGCTGTTATTGCAAAATAGAACAGATTGCCTTACTCAGAACCTCAAATCTTCAAAAATTGTTGCTCTTGTTTTTAGACAATAAGGGTTATCGTTTAGCCACAAATCGATTTTTATTCTCGGCTCGAATTTTATCTGTAGATGTGATTTTACCTAACAGGACTTAATGAAATTTGAAAAAGTCATTGTCACAATTCGTTAAAAATTAGTTTCTATTAAAAGTGCTTATTATCCAACTGCTACTGCGATGGCCTATCAGGAATATTTAAATACTGAATATCGCCATGCATTTTTGCTACGAAAGAGCAAATGGAAATGCAGATCAAGCACGACGGCTTTAATCGAGGCTTATCCTAATAGAAACGTTTCATCTGCTAAGACATTCATCAACATACGCACAAGACTTGGTCAAAGAGAATCATTCAAATCTGATAATATGAATAACGGCAGACGAAAGTATAAAAAAAGCGCTACAAAGAAGAAAGAACATTTCAAAATGTGGAGGCTGACACGTCAACGAGTACTTAGTGCTCAGGAAATAATTGCTTGCTCTACAGTTTGAGAAGTTTTGCATGAAAATGATCTTCGGCATTTTCATGTTCAAATAGTTCTGTATGAGGGTGATGAGCAGTTGAGAGTAATTTTATGCAATCAAATTTTAGAAATAATTCAAAATTACCCGCAATTCTTAAATGTCTTTTTGCTAAATGACGAGGCTGCATTCAGTCATGCATTGTAAATTTCCGAATTATACATCAGTGGAACATTGAAAACCTACATGCAAAAATTGAGGGAAAACATCAGCGCCGATTTTCTGATGAATTGTGATTATTGTTGTATACTGTTTAATTCCCGATTATTATTAATAATTTTTTATTTTCGACAATGTTAAATGTATTTATGTTACTTAAATTAAATATTTTATTGCATCGACTGTAAATTAGATGTGCGGGGTATTCGGACCGAGAATAAAAAAGCGTACCTTAACATATATGATTTTTTTTGTTTTAAAGGGCATTCGTAAGGGTGACTTTTTACACCACCTCAAGGTTGGTCGGAATGAGAGTTTCAGCGTTTGTAGGGATCGCTTTTTGATACCAAGGATTAAGGATTTACACAGATTAACGTAGACGCATTCACATTTAGAGGTATTGACTGTAAATAATAATAATTTTGCATAGGTACGCTTGTTGTGGTAGACGTGACAAGTAGAGCAGCAATAATAACACGCCTAATTAATCAATGCACTAATTTGGAACACAAAAACCGGTGCAAAATAATTGAAGGACACCAGAAGTGCGGGTGCGGGTCTGGCGAACCATTTCGACGTTTTTTTTTTCCAATTAAATCCGATCACTATTTAACTCGGTAAGTACGATACAATTTCTGCAAATATTTTTAGCAGACAAAAATATTAAGTGCCAAAAGTGCCTCTTGAACCAGTTTGTTGTTGTTTTGAATAAAAATAATGATTAATTTGAATAACTTAGGAGCGAAGCCGTCACCGAACTTATTCGAAATATAACGAATACGGAAATTATGTATTATTAGTCTTGCTTTAGCTAGAATTATCCAATAAAATGAGACGAGCACGGAAGTAACTTTTGCCCGATATTGATTTTTTTTCTTTTTCATCTAACCTATTTTATCGCATGCAAATTATTTTTCCAATTTTATCGGAATCAGTGACAATAGTTTTAATACAACTCTCATATCTTTAAATTTATATAAAAAATTACAGGAAGTAGTTTGCAACTTTAAAATTTAAATAAGCTTCTGAGCATCATCTTAAAATTGTGTGGAATTTACTATTTTTCTTGTTTCGTCCTTATTTCAGGCAAATAAAATGTGCTCCTACTTTGTAAAGACCTTAGACCTCAGGCATTCAAAACAGTAACCAATACCTCTGGAGGTTACAATTCGTTTCTAATCAAAAATCCCTGTACTGAGATTCTGGATCTGTTGATTATGGAATATAGAATATAGAATTTTTAATGCAGATACTCGCCCAGCCAATTTAGGCACTTAAAAAATAAGACATTTCCTGCAGAAAATTTGCAAAATACGTCCGGGCTATCATGATCCCAACTACGCTGAGTGCTGGGACGGCAAAAACTTAAAAGCAACTTTTTTGCTAACTAATGTAAAGGCTGGTACCCCATCTTCAGAAGAGGAGAGCCAAAATAACAATAATATCCTAACCAGATGCGCAAAACTAGTACTTGTTATCGCAAAATACAAAATTTTCAATTTTCAATACAAAATAAAACAAGAAATTTTGAAAAAAAAAGAACACGACATAGGATTAGAAATAAAATTTACTGACGAGCAATAAGATCAGATTTTATATATATTTGACGTCTCAATTTTCATTTGAAAATCTAGTATTGGTTTTCATGAAAAATATATAGAAATATACAGGGTGCCTCCAAAAGTAGACGTCGATACCAAGATACTTTTTTAAGGTGATGAAAATGTCCACCATTATCTTCTTGAAAATATGCCAATCAGCTCAAAAAATATCTATATTTTGTATTTTTTGTATACACCTTTGATTTCAAATATCCCAGAGGAAAAAATGCAATGTGTGGAGATTTTGGTAAATATTCAACCAACCCAAATCTTTTAATCTATCGTCTAAAGGATATGCTATTGTAGACAAACCTAAAGTTTTTTTCGTCACGCCGCATCAATCGATGGAGAAACAATTAACATCTCTCGCACGTTATTCATTCTTCGTTTGCAGACGGATAGTGGTATCGAAAAAGTGGGTCAACGCACAAAATACTGAAAGTCACTTTCGTTGGTCGGGCGGTAAATGACGGGATTAACCAAATACCCAAAGTCATTGTCCATTGCAAAATAGTCGTGACTCTATGACGGCAGGAAATCCCGCAACAGTCTGCGTGTATCGTCATCGGATGATAAAAAAAAAGTCAATCGATTATAGAAACTATTTTAGTTAATCGTCTGCTGACGATTTCGATTTCACTTTCAATGTTACATTACAAAGCAAATAGATGTTGCACACTCAAAAGTGATTCGAGGACTTCGATAACAGTACGCTAGATACAACCTGAAATTTTAAATGCTTTCAGTCAGTTATCACTTTCGGTTTTACAAGAACTTTGCTTCATTTGAATATAATTGCCCGTAGATTCAGTAGTCATCACTTCCGGGTACTTTACACTGACAAAATGTTCTAGGGTATATGAGACAGCCTAATACTGACTCAATTTATGTTTGACGCTTTGCTTACTGTCTTATGACGTCGATTATTTGAACACATGTTTACTGCTGCTTTATAAATCGATCTCTCTAGAGACATTGAAAGGTAAAATGAAGTGCGTTCAATGTGTTTTGACCTATAATATTTAGCGATTAATAAGTATCCAATTACGCGTTCTTCATTAATAAATTAATGTAAAAGTAACTCACCCGCCCTGACACAATACCGAAGTCCATTTGCATTCATACCGTTGGAATGAAATTAGAGTGGATAGAAGTTAATTATTTTTTAATGGCGAACATACAATGTTGTTTCGATAGTTGTTTCGACTCAAAGTATTCGATTTAATCTAATACCAGTTACATACTTATCATTTCGTTGTAATTTTCTGTTCCTTTCTTAATTAAAATCTGTGACTACCTGTTCCGTTGCTTACTTTATTTATAAAATTACTTGACAAAATACATATGAATAAATAAAATGTAGTTTTCTGTCATTCTATTTATTTTTTGCATTTTAGGTTATGCTTTTTTTGCAAAATTAAGGAACGAAATTGCAACAATTACTGTTAACTTCCAAAAAATTTAAATTTATTTTAGAAAAATTATGTGTATCTATTATGTATTTAACAGTAATGACACTCTTAAGGTATCTTCATATACTAAAGATGTTTTCCCTACTCAATGAATCTTCACCCTAAAAGTAAATTAGACGACATCAAGGGCATTTCATTGCGGAAACACGGAATCCGAGTTGCAACATACGGAAGCTACAGCTACAAACGCAAACAAAATCTTAAGTTTTTAAGCTGTATATATAAAAAAAAATTAAATAATTATTTTCGTAAGATACAAGAGACAATAAATTGAGTTTTTTCATTTTATGGCAAATTTTGTAAAACACGAAAGAAATACTGTGGAAATTTTCAAGAATTAAAAAAAGGATGATTGATTAATTAATGGCACGTTTATGGCAAATAACGCACATCGTTGCAGTTGAATGGCTTTATTAATTCAGCGCTAATTTCATACCTCTGATGTGCAGTCTTTCTTTTGAAGAACATTTTTCTCCGTTTATCAGCTGAAAAACAGCGTTTTTTTTATCTACGCCACTGACAGAATAATTTTTTGCGTAACTTTTATCAACAGTCCGGAAAAGCGCATCATTTTATGCAATGAAAATAATTTTAATGTATAAGCAGTTGGAAATGTGAAACAAATACTTAATTTCATAATGCCATTGTCCTCTTTTTCTTTTTTCTGTCGAAGGAAAATTTTCACAATACGCCAATGGGCGAATTACGCGACTTTTTATAACTTTCATATCTGACATGTTTTCTTAAGTTTTCTCATAACTTTTGCAAAATATAATCAAAAATATCAAAGAATTTTCGGAGGATTTCTTAATTGTTTATTTTCACCCTTATACTAATTTTTAAATTTTGTTTGTTTCCATTTTTTTCAAATATAATTTATTGGGCTAATTGATCTGAAAAGTTTATATATGTACCCCATCAAAATTAGAAAGGCATTAAAATTATTCAGATAAAAAATAATATTATTTTAAATTGTTTATAAAGTAACACAAGTAACAAGTCTAAGAATTTCTACAGGCTGCTGTAATGCTTTTTACAAAACTTCTAGATTCCACCTCCTGCGTCGGTTTTTGCTGAGTCGAACTTTCTGACGTTTCGCCAATCCTTCTGTTGACTTCTTCAGAGCTTGACTGAAACTGGCCAGTCAGCAAGTTCGACTCAGCAAAAACCATGGCAGGAGGAATTCAGAAATTTTGTAAAAAGTAAGTCTAAGAATATACTTTTCAAAATGCTTTTTTTGTTAAAGCAATTTTATTTCTAAATTTTAAACATTTGTTTCTCATCAAAAGTTCTGATACTTAATACTTAAATATAATATATGCAAATGTATTGTAAAAATTGATATATGTGCAAAATTAGAAAAAAAAAAAGTAAAAAAATTAATTGTTTATAAATTAACATAAAACTTTTTGGTAATTAATAACATTTAACAATTTTTGCGATTGTTTTTTTAGTAATACGTCATACATCCATTCAATTCCGATTCATCTTCTAAAAAGTAAGTTGGTCTCTATTATTGGATTAGATTAGACTAAAATATTGTACAAATAGATGGATTGTTAGATATTAATTTTTTAATTTAGTCTGTTCTGTATATTTTGAAGAGAGCTACACAAAAAAACAACTTCCGGAATTATTAAAAATAAAACATTTTAATAGCACAACAAAACAGACATGAAATCTTGAGATTATCCCCGTGTCATTGTATATTTAACCCGACTGAGATGATTTGGTCTGAGTTGAAAGCGCATATAAGAAGGAATAACACTGCACCAAAATTTAGTGATAGTACCATAAACGTAAAAAGTTGGTCTAACTGTGAAAAACGAGTAATAAAAGAAGAAAATATTTATCGAGAACGATTAGTGGCGGAGTTGATCATTGAACTAGGTGACTGATACTTTATTATTATTATATTAATATTAATGAAATATATATTAATAACATAACTATATTAATAATGATACTATGCTCGGCGAAAAAGATTGAAAACATACTTATATTCCGCTTGTTACTGCAGGTAGATAAATTTCTAGCACGGTCCTGGAATGGTTACCGGAAAGGGCTGCGGTTTTGGCGTAATAAACAGTAGACGAATTTAATCACGAGGCGGTTGTAAAAGCACTATATTTCTGGTCGAAATATATTTCATATTGTTTTTCTACTCCCGTCTGTTAGATACCTAATTGCCCATCGATCTAGCGTGCGGGAAGCGTCACTTTACCACGTCGGTTTCCTTTGCCACGGATCCGAACCACTTCGGACATTTCCGGGATTATACCGCACGGATTTGGGAGCAATCGGATGTTTTCGGAGATATTTCCCACGCCTTGAATTTTGACGTTTGTCAATTATCATGTCAGTGAATGTATTCGTGTTGTTTTATATTGCATATATACAGAAAATTTTCTGCATTTAAGTGCGCATATATTGGGATTTTTCGGTAGCATTTTTTAATAATAATATTTTAATAATATTAGCTTTACCGAATTTTAAATTTACTTATGATTTAGAGTCAAAATTAAATCGTTAAGAAATTAATTCGAAACAAGCCGTATTTAATTTTGATCACACCTCATATTATATCATTTAAATATTTATTAAAACTATTTTTAAAAGTTATTTCTTCAATGTCGGTTTTTAAAAGTGTTTAAGAATGTACAAATTACTTTTATATTTAGTGATAATTATTACACCCGATATATAAAAATGTATGATTCAAAATTCAAAGATAAACGTCAAAAACAAGAAATTTTATACTGGTAATAATAACTATTATGATTTATTATCACTATTATGGCCAACTTCTACAGAAATTCGTCCAGCATGCGACGCAGGAAAAATTCAGAAAATTTGTTGGAACCCCTGTATTTGACATTACTTTTTTAATGGGAATTAGGAAAAATCATACCTACCGCATTCCAAGACGCGTTCATCTTCGTTCGTTCGTTCTCGAATACCACCAAAACTTTGAACCAGCGAACCGGAAGGGCAAGGGTACCCTCGGTAGCGATCACGGATTCCGCGTTGGAAGGGAAACTATGCGAAAACAGTAGACCATTTCACTAGAGCGGCGAGTTAACAAAACTGTCGAATCGCGGAAGATACGCGAGACCGTCGACGAAGAAACGCAAGAAGAAATGAAGAGGGGGGCGCGTAAAACAGGTGCGCTATGTGATCGCCCGTAACCGTAACAATGGCCGTAAATTGAGCGCGGAACTCTTTTATAAGAAGCGGAGGAAACGAGCCATTTCGAATTTGTCGCGCCTTTTTATCAATGCCGCCTCGCGTACGTATTACTACGGCGTCGATTGTTTTTTTCTTTGCCCCCCCCCCCCCCAGGGCGGTCGTGGTTCGAAGAGTGTTTTAACAGGAAAGATTTTATTTTTTCGACATGTCTTCATCGCATTGGCTTTCGACGGACCCTCCCTAATAAAACTTTAACGATGTAATTATCGTATGACCAAAAACATAGCGCATTAACCGCAGACCTTTCGCATGACCGTGGTACAACCCATCCCAATGGATGTTTATTCTGCATTAAGTAGGTCTTGCGCCTGAGATTGACCGTAACGGATATTTGACAAAGCATTGATGCTGAGGTATTTTCGAATAAGTAGAAGCGTTTTTTTTAATATCATTATGTTCGTATATATTACAGAGGTATTTGACAGTGTTCCGAAAACTAGTCGAACCTAATGCCGATTTAGAAGACGAACTAGTTCCGTCTGTAAAATTCCTAGTTACCCACCGATTTAGCTTGCGAGAAGCGTCACTTTGTCACCACGTCAGTTTCGTTTCAAGCTAAGAGGAGATGAAACCAATATAAGAGTTGTTTGTAAGATGGGATTTAAGTACCCCTAAATAGACTAAAGGCAAGTTTATTTAAAGGATGGGTTGATTCCACTCAAAACTGTCAGACGAAAGCACCTTCAAATAAAGGAAAACGCATCACCATAATACACGCTGGGTCAGAAGACGGACTTGTCTTAAACTTCTTGCTGTTGTCTGCAAAGAATATTACGGATTCTAGCTTGGATTTTTATGAGGATACAAATTCCCAAGTTTTTGAAAGTTGGTTTCAAAACAATCTTTTACAAAATATTCCCAATAACGGTTTATTATCCTTGATAACGCAATAGCCTCATCAAGTTCAAAAATTGATATAGCGCAACTTTTGAAAGTCCTAAATTTATATGCAATTGTAAAACCGTATTAATGTGCATGTACGAAACGGAGAATGCGTATGCCAGTATAAGTGAGGAGGTGTGTAGGCCAGTTATGTGTGGCTGCGAGAGAGAATACCTATGCGTGAGTGCGTGCGTGTGCGCGTGGGATGGTGTGCGAGTGCCTGTTTTATTTTATTAATATAAAATTTTGTTTGTATATTCGTAGATACCCTCACAGCAAATAGATATCTGCGAATACTGGCCAACACCTTTGCAGAAATTCGAAGAAGTCCATTTATTTCAGCTAAACAGTAATTTTTTTTTAACAGGACGGAGCTCCTGCGCACAATTCTCAAATCATACGTCCATATTTAGACAACAATCGTCCTAATAATTGGATTGGCAGTTCTATAAGACGGCCGCCCAGGTCACCCGACTTCTCAGTACTCGATAACTTTTTATAAAACTACCTTCAAACACAAATTTATAAAAATCTGCAGAATACAATCGAAGATCTGCGAAATGCCGTCGAAAGGGAACTACCTAATGCATTACGCAAAACAAGAAAATCATGCCAATACTTCTCATGCTGGTTTGAGTAGTTCCTTTGGCTATAAATTTAGAGTTACGTTTAGAATTATTTTTTTTATAAAAAATATAATTTTCAAACTAATACAAATTTAAACTAGTTCTGCGAGATTAAAATAGAAAACACGCATAAAATACTTTGTGAATAAACTTTCTAAGTTGAAATAATAATTTATTTATAGATAATAATGAATAGTAATGAACTAAAACTAAATTAAATATATAAAATTATGGCGTAATATAGTTATTAAATAATATATTTAATAATAATAATAGTAACAATATTAATGATAATAATAATAATAATAATGATAATAATAATAACAACTTTGCATTTCATGGCCCATTATAAAAAGTCATGTTGAAATGTAGTATTGCATAGAGACCTAAATTAAAAACAAATGGTAAAGTGTTATGTATATTCTGAACGCCCTTAGCGGATGCAACACAATGACTTAAAATTATACAGGATGTCCCATTTAGTAGCGCAAAACTTTATGTCATAATTTCAAAAAAAAACGAAAAATACTCCGATTTTTTGTAAAAAAATTTCTATAAAAGTATTTTTATTTTTTCGAGAAGCGCAATGGGATAAGGAAATTCTGTTGATGGCATGTGTCGTTTCACAAAAACGTAGCACCATGACAAGTAAACCGCAAGCCTCTGGTTTTACTCATAACCAAGATATCCCGAATTTCGGACACACTGTACATAAACTACGAGTTCCACTAAGGGCAACAAGGTACGGTATTAGGGAAACAGATGATCCTAAAAATTTCAAAAAAAAATCGGACATGTTTGAATTTTTAAACCTGTTTTCTGCAATATGTTCTTATATATCGATTATATTTAGGGTCTCAAAAGTATTGTGGTATTCTGCTGGTGAGGATATGTGATCAGTGAAATCAGAATAAAAGTTGGAATATGCTGAAATTTGTGCAACAGCAATGTGGCACTCAAACAATTTGATTCGCATTTTTTCGAGCAAAATATTTTTTTGAGAAACGCGTTTTGTAGCACTTTGAAAATATACGACTTTGTCAAGCGTTTCAATTTGGCTTTAAAGAGATTTAGGTTAAGGTTTTTTTCATTTTCAGCACCCGCTTTAATATAATAATCCAATTAAATCTAATAAAGTATGACCTTTTAAATTCATCATAAAAAAGATTTTGGAGTTTGACAGAAGAAGGAATCTCTGCCTTCATTGATTGATTATTGACTTTCGAAAAAGGATACGAGGTTTTACAAAGTTTATTCTATGTGCGAAATTTTCTTCTAAGTGAAGTGAATTGCTTCGCGGTTAAATAAGATTGTCGACTGCTTCTAGACGCTTTTACCAGCCACCCTGTATAAAAAGAATTATGCAATTAAAATTACTTTTAACTACTTACTCCGACTCTGTAGGCAATTGTTGTAAAAATCATGTCGACTCGTAAACAGTATTAACGTTTCGCCATATCGTCGTATACCTACTATAATTGAATTTCTGTAATTTTATCTTTTACGACGACACGCGATGTCGTAGCCCGAAAGTAACTCCGATAGGGTTTTTATTTTGAAAACAGTGATAGTTTTACACCACAGTTATTTGGAAATTCGATAAAAACAAACTTAACGATGGAGCCAATAATAATTAGGCAAATTGATTTCTATAGATTCCATTGAAAGTGGCTACTTTTAATTATTTTAGGTAATTCTAACAGACTGCTACAAACAATTATATATAATTTAATTCGCCCTTATTGCGTTGATTATACGACATTTGCTCAGCACAATTATACATAACATTGATATAATTTTACGAATAGCACCGTTTATTGAAATTCTGTGATTGATCCAAAATTGCGTATACTTGATTTTAATTGATTTTCAACAAAATGTAACAAATATTTTCAAAAAACAGATGTCGTTTATTGGAGTATCAATATTATTTAATAAAATAAATATGCCTTTTAAGCACAATATTAATTTTACTATTACGATCGTAACGTATTTGTCAAATGACGAATTTAAAAAAATAACCAATTGATTTAATGGAATCAAAGAATCAATCAATAAAGATTCAAAGCGCATGAATTACTCATTTAAATGTAACATATAAGTTCGTAGAAGCATATAATTTTGTTAAAGGGTTATATTTATAGTTATCACGAGACATCACTATATTAGCAAACAATGAATAATACAAAATGCCAATTGAATTTTGTAGAAACATGCGAAATCTACCATCATGATAGTTTTTTTTTTTAAATTTCATGTTAATTATATTGTATTACTTGCAAAAACCGTCATTCTTTGAATTGCTTTTTAATTTTCAAACTTGAATCGAAAAAAAAAGTTTTAGTTGTTTAAGATTGTTTGCAACATAATGCGATTAAACGCTTGGCTCTACTTGCTACAAATAAAATTTATTGATGAAATGAATAATTTTGTTGGAAAAATCGGAATATCTTTAATAAAAGAACTAATAGTAGCGTATGTACTACCTTCTGTGTCATAGATAGGACAGCAAAACGAATATCAAACGTCAGAAGTACGCATAAATAGGTTGGTGCTGTTGCAACTATTTGTAGTACCTACCACCTTTGCTAATTACAATAAAAACACACAGAAAAACATATTATTATACATTCCAAAAATTTACAGGAAATGATAAACTCTCGTAGAATTTGTGAAAATAATTCGGCATTTAATTATATCTATTATTTCAAGGTGAGTAAAAATTTTATTAGTACTTCATTATTTTTCAGATTATTGTAAGGGTGATTTATTGAATTCCTATCTGGTACTATTAATAAGTGGGTATTTTATCACAGATACGAATTGTTGGTTAGTCGTAACTGCGACAAAATTCAATATTCCTTATCCCCAATCTATACTTTTAGGTCAATGTGCGTTTTAATTAAACGGAAACAAAATTTTGCTTATTATTCGTAAAAGAATAACGCAGAAAATATCCGTATCCATTTTTAATTACTTGTCTTTTCAAACGTGGTCTTGATTTTTTTCAGCGGAGATTAGCGGCGGAAATTGGGTTTTGTGCGTGTAATGGAAAACGTTGTTTCAATTTATCCCTAGTGTTTTAATATTCTTGTGTAATTTTTTTTGTTGTGTCGAAACAAAAAGAGAAGCGGTTCCCCATTGTTTTGCTGAAAAAAAATGTGTCTCTTAACTGCATAGTAAAAACAAAAAAATAATACAATTTTTATTATCATGTTAAAGTGGAACAAAGGTTTACGGGCAAGGTTGTTTATTATGCAAATAGTTTACGAAATATTTCCATTTAAACATCTTTTCCTTGCAAATAAACCAACTCTTACGTTTCAAGTGTTCGATCATTTTATAGCTATCCAATAAAAATGTTATACCTATCAATAATCCCGGTTTTTCAATATTGTTAAAAGGAATTTACGAGACGGACGAAATAATAAACTTTGACTTTTTGATACATCAGCAACGTTGTTAATTAACGTACCGTTACATATCTAAATTTTGACGCTTATGACATTAAATTTGTATTTATCTTATTATCCTTTGATATTTGTTTGATATTCAAAAACCGATATTTGTACATCTCTGGAAATAATAGTTCAATTAATTGTTACGCAAAATTTTACTACCAAATACTTTGATCGGTTTTAGTTGCAAAATGAAATTTTTAATAGAATTTTGCGGTACTTTGTCGAATTTGTTTTGTTCTCGCTTCACATATTCGAAACAATGCTGTTCAATATAAAAAAAAATAGGCATAAAATCCATTTCGAACATCCATAACGGCAAGGCTGTATCCTTGATCCGAGGTAGCGCTAGGCAAATACCATCAAGTTTGTTTTAATACCACGAAGCCCAACTTTACAATGCCCGATTGTCTTCATATTTTAAGTGGTTTCGAATCCAGTCATCGTAGTCATTCGTCACTTAACAAATAGTAAGTCTAATTTAGCAATAGCATATGCCCCTACGTGTCGCACGTGCAACCTATAGCTGTATAGGTTGTTTTTTAATGCAAGAGAGTAATAAAATGTAAATTTGTCATGACAAGGGTCATTAAACAGCTTAAATGTTGTATCGTAAAGCTAAGATAAATTGCAATGTGTTTTAATGTCTTTAAGACCTAGACACTTGGCAGATGGGCTGATAATTGAGATATTAATTATTCTAAAAAATTAAAAACTTAGATGGAAGTAAGAATAATATGAACATGTTTAAATTATAATTAATAATTAAATTGTAATTATGAAACAAAGAAAATATTATGTATTATTTTGTTCACACATTCAACTCGTTTTTCAGTATATATTTTGACAAAATACTGCCTAAAAAATGCCTCATCCAAGCTGAAAACTATCGAATTGACCAACTTCGCAAAAAGCACTTCGGCAACTTACGGACAAGCTTTGGTTTTCATAAAAGTCAAACAACCCAGGTACTGCTTTTTGCCACGGGCTCAGCAGATTTTTTTTTTTAAAGATATGCCGATTTGTATATGATTTATTATTAATTATAAATATAAATAAAATAAATATAATTAATACAGAGATTACTTTTCTTTTTTTTTCCTATTTTGTTTGGTATATAATACCTAACTAATTTACTTTAATGTTTATTTTTAGCTTGTTTGTACCTTGCATTTGTTTTTAAAATAAGGTATATATTGGACTTTTAGTGTAAAAATGGCTATGCTAAAGTTGACTTTGTCCAAGACTTTACTGACTAAAGGTTATGGATAAATTGTTGATCCACTTCATGTAATCCACAACTACCTAAGTTGCTCATAGGCTTAGATATTTAATAATTTTCAGAAAGTAGTAGTATTTGTAAGTAAATATAGTCTTAACAGTTTAAATGTTGTTTTGTTTTGTTTTCTACTATATTTCATTATTTTGGCAATAATTATTAGGACACGCTGACGAAATAAAAAATATGAATAAACATTATTTTGTATTTGTTTGTTTCATGGAGATCGTCAGTTTTTAAAGGAAGTAATAAATAAAATAACATAATTAACTTGTACAACAATACACACAATAATATGCACAAATATCTACATAGCAATAACTACGGTCAAGAAAAGCTATGCTCGCAGCTCCCCGAAACGTAACTATGACGCATATGGTGTGCGGTAAAAAACCCGGGTATATAGTATCAACGAGTACTGTATTGGGAAATGTTATTGACACTAATAATATCTATAAAAAGAAACTATTGAGGCGGGAGTATTTCCAAACGGGGAATTTGTGCTTAACTAATCGAGTTCTGTTTGTTTTGGCAATGCAATTTTGTAATGATCTGTTGGATTGTTTGTAAATCGATAGGGACAGAAAGTTGCCACAACACGAAAATACAATCTATTGCATAAAAGTCTTTGGTAATTAAGCTATCGAACTGAAGGTATTAAACGCATTAAACACTGAATATCACATTTCGGAAATGTCATCGTCGCATTTTGAGTTGATTAAAAACGAATTTCTCTAGTTTTTGAGATACTTGTTATCAGTTCTGTCAAAGAACCAAAATAAAAAAATAAATATGCACTTTATGGTAAACTTCTCCTTGGACTATACAAAATATTCGTGTTTTTTGTATATCTGAGCCAGTAGAGCTAGAAATCAGCACTGGGTTAAAAAAAATTGTCATGATTTAATGAAAACGAAGAAGCTTTGGTTTCGAGAGAAAAATCTTACTTGCGGCGTTGAATTTCAGCTGGGGCTGATGAAGCAATCTGTGAACTCTTGAAATGGAGATGGTAATTGTTTTGGGTACTTATCACGTGAATTTACCGAGCACGGAAAACTAACAACTGGTACTCAAAAAGGCAACTTGTTCAACTTTAATGGACGACACTGAACCTAACGCTTGATGTTCCTTTGTTTAGCTAGTGCAAAATTTTCTTGGTGATCATAAAGCAGAGAATTGTATAGAATAGGTGGAAACCATGCTTTAAAATTTTAATATTTTCGGTTGTAACACGGGTATAAAAGTTCACTCCACATCCACCTACATCGATTTCCAGAAGACTTATTGGTAATTGTAGCGTAGAATAGAAAACTATAGAAGATCGTTATCAACGACGATGGGATATCCACCTCATACTGCTGAAGCCTTCAGAGAGACTGCTCATTCGAGAAAGTGGTATAAAAGACAATTTTAAAGTAATAAGTGACTAATTGATGCAAATCTAGTTTTTGTAATAAATATAGTAACACAATTTTTAACCTGAGGACTGTTTTGTATTCTGAAAGTATCGTGAAGTGAGTTTCGTCAAAATTTCACCAAACTAACTAAACTATTTTTTAATACTTTAAAAGTTCGTTCATTTTAACCTTGCGTTGTGTTGAGTCATGTAGGTACCTCCAGAGAATACAGTGTCGGTAACATATCACGCAAGATTGCACAAGGGACAATCCGTATATATTCCTTGTATGAAATCGATTAATGAGGAAAAACGAGGAACTCGAAGATATTCAAATTTGGCGCGGTTGAAAAACTGGTCCAGCCAGCATCGGTGGCAGGGAAGGAGCGAATCGTGGGAACAGTGTCATCTGTCATCGAACTTTCTTCGGTTTTTATTTCTATCGGCGGCATGTATTATCGCAAGCAGTGAAGGTACTTGGTGCACATTTGTCGGGAACATGACTAAAACACTCGCCAGAACACAGTGAATATACATTTTTAGAAATTATGTGAATATTTGTGATAGAAATGGCATTTCTATGCCCAGTGCGTATCAGACGCGGCAAGAAAAAAAAGGGTGAGCTTTTTATGTGTATTTAATATTTAGGTCACTCAAAAATTGCAGTAATTGAATCGGTTTTAACCGTATTTTTATTTTAAGCGATTTCGAAGCTTATGAACCTGACAGTATTTTATGTTTGGAGTAAAAAAATCCTTTCGGTTATTTTTGACCTGTAACCTGTACCTAGATAGTTTTATTATTTACCTTGCTAAACATCAATTAAGTTGTCTAGCAACTTAACTGTTGCAAAGATCTAGTGGAAGACTATTTGCTAGCTAAGATAATGAGTAAGTGTGTTGTCATCCTGCGACCATGTTTTTCCACAAGTTTCCAGCGTTGATTTGGAAAAAGAACTGAGTAGAAGTAGCAATGGAGTCACGCCGGGCATGGGTAGGATTACCGGTTCCGCCAGCATTGAAACTCTCGTTCGAGTTGGAATAGAAAAGGAGCATGGGCTGTCTCCAGACAGTAAAATGGTTGTCCTTCACGACTTTACCCCCTGCGTGGACGACGAACTCGAAGTAAAGCGCGGACAAGTCAGTATTAACCATCTACTTCCGATTCGTTTATGTTTATTGCAAAAGTGTGTTTAGATCGTCAACATTTTATATCGAGAAAACGACTGGGTGTACGTGATAGCGCCTGACACAAGACAAGAGGGATTCATACCCTTTTCATATTGCACCCCCTACAATAACCATCTAGCAGAGATGGCGGTGAAAAAAAAATTGCCCCGCGATGCCCATCTCACATCAGGGAACAGTTCCGACACTAACCATGACTGCGACTTGCCGGGGGTGGATACTAGTGACTGTGATTCCTTAGGAAAGGCAAAACATGGTACTGGAGCAGCATCGCCGGTCAGCATCCAATCCGAACCAGACATGATTCCTTTCTCTAAAGACCCTTCTGGGAGATATATTGTTTTGTACACATTTATAGCAAGGGATGAAAATGATGTGTCTGTAGAGAGGGGAGAGTTTGTTACAGGTAAACTTAATGTTCCTTAGAGTGCTTATTACAAAGTTCTTTAACAACAATCAATATTTTTTGAAGTTTTGGTGCCTTTTTTATTTTAATCATTAGAAATGTTTTTCATTATTGTGTCAATAAAAATAGCCCATAATTATAATATGGGCGAAAGAGGCACTTGCTACAGTTTCTGGTACAAGCAATTTAACAAACTGGAGTTTTTTGATTATTATATTTTCGATTCTTATTTTATTAAGAAAGTGATACCACCCTTTTTAAGAATTGAACATTTAATTGTAACCTCAGAAGGATAGGCCACTGATTCCTCCATGGACAAATTAATTTATTGTCCTTTGACATTGTTGAAGAAAGCCATTGGGGTTAAAAGTATGGTGATTGTAAACGGTTTTCATGTTTACTCATATGTTTATTTACCCGAAGTGATAATGAAATGCTATACCATTCCAGGTGAACAAAAACAAAATCACCCACGCCTATAAAATTGTACATTTTTATTTGCTATTTTTTCCACAAAAATTAGTCAATGGAATTAACAGTTAAACATTTTCCATTTTAAAAATTATACAAATTGGTCTCTATTATAATTGCAGTTTTAAACAGAGAAGATCCAGATTGGTACTGGATTGTAAGAAGTGACGGGCAAGAAGGATTTATACCTTCCGGATTTGTTTATCCCGCTGATAACGTAATACAAGGTAAGAAATCCATAAGATGACAATTTATGCCCGAGTATGTACCTTTTTTTAAAAGGTCATTTGAACGGAACAAACCAGACGGGCGTAGGCACTTTTCCAAACCAGACCAACACTCACACTTTGACCGCCTCAAGTGGAGATGATCTCCGGTACCACGGTACAGAACTTGTAATGCTCTATGATTATAAAGCACAGGCGCCGGACGATCTTACTGTACGTAGAGGGGATTGGATTTATGCAGATCTCAACAACCAGACTGTAGATGGATGGCTCTGGGCCTACGCGCCCAAAACGAGGAAATATGGCTTTATTCCTAAAGCTTATGCCAGGCCTCCTGCCATGACTAGTTTATAACTGTCGCCATAATTATGATATTCTGGTTTTATATATATTTTTCATATTTTGTATAAAGTGTCTCCTAATATAGGATTTTTAAACAAATTTAGTCTAAGTGTCTCCTAATATAGGATTTTTAAACAAATTTAGTCTGTCATTTACTTGTTGCAAAAACCTCCAAATTTCCAGCACATTCAGCGCATACTTCTAAATTTCACCCACTAACCTGCACAGTCCACGCAACTCGTTATACCATATCAATTAACAAGACTTACGGATATTTTTTAAAGATCTTTTAGTAAAAATACTATATTTAAAGTGAAATCTGTCGAATTTACGAAGTTTCAGCGGTCGTATTGGTTGTTGAACGATGCTGAATTTTGTTGGTTGAAAACGAGATGTCAAATGACAGCGCATACGCATAATCAATATTTTTTTTCATGCTCGCTTCAAAAATTACTGTATTCATATTTCTACTAAAGACATAGAGGCCTTGCCTATGCCAATAAAACGGCAACTTGCGCAGCAACTATGAAAAGGTTTGTTGAGAAGGTCCATTCGAGATGCACATAAGCGAGATTTAAGATCTCACTTTTTAACCAATGTGCCTACATCTCATTAAATGTTCTAGAAAAATGAACTAAGTGATGGATATATGGTATGATGAATGAATGATCGCAGTAGTGTGGCCTAGTGTCTTGTAAATTGCATAAGACGATAATTTTTTGTTTTGGTCGAATAATCCTTGAACCTTGGCCAATTGCAGTAGAAGAAAAAGGATTAAGCTGACTTATTCAAGAAAAATATATGCCCTTAACGGTAGAATTCGTAATAATGACAAATACCGGCGACAGGGCATTAAATTTGCTTCGTTGGTTACCGCGCGTATGCTTGAAAAATATTAGAGACAATCCAGGATCTAAACTGGTGAATATGGTATAAATAGTTCCATGACAGAGTCTCATACCCTATCAAATTTACAGAAAAATAAAAGAGGTCGCGGTCAACACGGAGGTGATAAGCATGGAGCTGGAAATAAAGGATCAGGACAAAGACAAAACTATATGCGATTAGGTTATGAGACTGGGAATAATCCGTTCTATTTGCGGTTTTCCTACGAGCCTTACTACAAAGGACAGCAGTAAGTGTCTTAGTGTCTTCATAACAATCTTTAATTAACTATGAATTATTTTGTCAGTTTGAGACGGCAATATCCCCCGCTTACAATGTTTGATCTGCAGAAGATGATTGACTTGAACAGGATAGATACTTCTAAACCCATTGATCTAGTAGCACTGTTGAGAACTGGTCTTTATAGTATTAAACCTGATGAACATCAGTTTGGTGTCAACTTAACTGATGAAGGTGCCGATTTATTCCAGGCTAAAGTAAATATTGAAGTCCAATGGGCCAGCGAAACTGTAATTGCAGCAATTGAAAGAGCTGGCGGCGTTATAACCACAGCCTATTATGATCCACATAGTCTGTTCGCAATGATTAACACAAAAAAATTCTTTGAGAGAGGTACATAAACCATCTTATTTAAAGGAAAAACTTTGAAGGCACAAACTCTAGTCATTTATTGTACCAATTGCATTTTATACTTATTTTAGGTATTCCAATACCTCGGCGCATGATCCCACCCTCAGATGCTGTAGCATATTATGCAGATCCAGCTAAGAGAGGTTACTTAGCAGATCCTGACAAGATATCTGAGGAAAGATTGATTTTAGGACAGAAGTATGGTTATAATGTTCCGGAAATTGAGAAGGACCCAGATTATAGTATGCTTACCAAGAGGAAAGATCCAAGGCAAATATTTTATGGTCTGCATCCTGGCTGGGTTGTCAACTTGAAAGATCAAGTTATATTGAAACCAAAGGATGAAAAATTGCTACAATTCTACTTTAGTTAACTCTTTGTTTAGGAAAAATAGATTAAATAGATTCAACCCAAGGAGTTTAGTTTTATTTAACAAAAAATTACAAAAGTTAATTTGTTCCTACTGTGTGGAATTTGAAATCTTTAAAGATCCTGACATTCTGGTCTCTAAAAAAAAACAGTTACTGACAAAGAAATAAGAAATGTAAGGACATACGTCTTATTATTGTAGCAGATTTGATTTCGGCATAATACGGGACAAACACATAAAATGAAATGGTGAGCAGAAACATAATCACACAGGAAATGACAAATATGTACTCATTATGCTTCCTAAATTTGCAACAATTGCTGCCCCAAAATGTCCATGTTTCATTCATCTACAAAAGAATGTATTATAAAAAAATTAAATAAAAGCTATAAGAAACTTTACCAAATCTTCAATATCCATACAAACTCCAATTTTTTCATTTTCGTTACTAATTGCAAAGAAGTAATTTTGAAGGTTAACATAAGAGTTCATGCAATCTATACACAAATTTTCAGAAGTTGTGTTTGTCACGCAAGTATTGTAGTATTGGTAATATTGAGTAAAAAGTAAAGACTCATCAGATGTATTGTTTGTTTGACTGCCATTTATGGTTTTATAACACTCTAAAATCCAAATTTTCAATTATATTGGTATATGAAAAAGACGAAACACTAACTATAACATTTGGCATCACTCCAGAGGTCTAGGGCATTGTGATATAATGTTTGCACTATCTGAAGACGGTCTAAGTTTATAAAGTAATCGATGCAGTGACTGCCGTTTTCGATAGTCTAAAACTGTAAAATATTATCAAAATTACACATTTATATTTATTTACCTGTGACAAATTATTGTAAGCTGTTAGAATATTTATGTAGTGATCAATACAATGTTTGCAAAATGTTATAGGTCTAGAGTAATCTATAGAACACTTAAAGAATATCGAAACTTCATCTGAAAAGTTTTGTCTTGAATTAATACAAGTTTGTTGACTTGCCATTGTCATGCCACTAAAAAATTAACTAATGTACCTCACATATATCTTTAGTATTTTACTTACAATAGACTGATCAAAGTCATTGTTCCAAAGTAATGTCCTAACATGGCATGTTCGATACCAGGAAAACTATTAAAATTTAAAAATTTTCTATTTATGGGAAAAACCTTCCTAACACAGAATCATTGATGTCGATAGAATCGTCGCATTCAACGGATGTAGGAACGCGCTCTCGATACGTAGCGGTGGCGATTGGGAAAGTGTATGTAGAGGTTATGGTGCCTTATTTTATTCAGTGATTATGTGTAGTGCTGCTGATTTAACATGTGTTAATAAAGTGGAAACGTCTTTGTACTCTAGTACGTACTACATCAGAAATTACCTTATGGACATTTTAATTTAAAACGAAATGATGGAGCATAATTTGGCCAAATGGCTTTGGAATTAGCAGAATCAATTCGAATATTTGAGAATAATTAAAGTGATGGGTGTTCAATACCAAAAAATAAGAAGTACTACGACTGTAAGGAGTTATGAAGGGAACTTATTCTTAGAATATTTTTGAGGCCTACATTTGTAAACATTAAAAGAGGGTCTATTTTAGAATTCACCACATCTAGCATATTTCGGAGCAGTCTATTTAATTATTTCATTGAATTTTCTTATCGCCGCCGCCGCGAAATAAACGAGTAGTCGTCGGCTAGACTCGGCTAGGCTCGACTGACGGGGAAAACCACAAATGCTATAATGCGAATTTGTCCAAATCACCCGAGGCATCGGCGACGAAATTTATCTAAATAAAGCGAGAGGTTTAAATGCAAGTGTAAACATGGCTCAGATATCAAATTAATATATAAAATGCGAATAAATTTTTTTACTTTGGTTAATTATCTATATAGGTGGTTCCCACTATACAGTGTACTTATAAAACAAAACAAAATTGTCAGTTTACGAAATAAAGTAGAGGTTATTGAACATGATATTACGCTATTGTTTAAGCTAAATCTAAGTAATTTTTATTTTACAATTTGACCTTTTAAAATATCTTTAAGTAATGGGCGCTGTTTTTGTCTAAAATTTTACTGCAATTTCAATTTTTTTATACTTTTTATACTACTTAGGTAACTTTGACTTTTTCATACTTGGGTATGCTAAGTAGCTGGTTAATTTTTTTCATAATCGAAAGTGTTTTGACAACCATATCCTCAAAATAGTCGCATCTGAAGTATTGGTTATTGAATAAACTTAAAAATCATCGATAATTTTAGCTGTGAGAACAGTTGGGCACACGTTTTTATTAACCTTTCATGATTCGTTATAATCGCCGTATGCAATTTTCCCAGTAAGAGGTACCTAAATGCAATTTTACCATGACCGCAATGATTTATTTAAAATAATTGACAACTTTATGACACATTTATGATAGGTTTGGCAACTGAATCTTTAAAGCTGAGTCACTGTTAATATTATCAGATGTATTGCATACATTTAAGTTTTGAATTTCTAATTCAATTGTGACGTATCTGAAGTACATAAATTTAAGTTTTGAATTTTTGATTCCATTGTGACGTATATAACCCACACATATTTAAGTTTTGAATTTCTGATTCAATTGTGACGTATCTGACATACACAAATTTAAGTTTTGAATTTCCGATTTAATTGTAACGTATCTGACATATAAAATTTAAGTTTTGAATTTCCGTTTCAATTGTGACGTATCTGACATACACAAATTTAAGTTTTGAATTTCCGTTTCAATTGTGACGTATCTGACGTACACAAATTTAAGTTTTGTATTTCTGATTCAATTGTGACGTATCTGACGTACACAAATTTAAGTTTTGAATTTCTGATTCAATTGTGACGTATCTGACGTACACAAATTTAAGTTTTGAATTTCTGATTCAATTGTGACGTATCTGACGTACACAAATTTAAGTTTTGAATTTCTGATTCAATTGCGACGTATCTGACGTACACAAATTTAAGTTTTGAATTTCTGATTCAATTGCGACGTATCTGACATATATAAATTTAAGTTTTGAATTTCTGATTCAATTGCGACGTATCTGACATACACAAATTTAAGTTTTGAATTTCTGATTCAATTGTGACGTCTCTGATATATACAAATTTATTTTTTGAATTTCTGATTCAATTGTGAAGTATTTGACATACACAGATCATTTGTCTACTACAATCTATTACGATAAATGGTGCCAATTTAAAAAAAAAATTGAAATGTTAAACACGGTTCACTCGTATTTTTATTATTTTATTATAGAACCGCCAATAGTTTGATTTTATTAAAGCACGTTTACCATTTTCATGTGGTTTTGTTAGGCAAAATTGACTTGATTCTTTCATTTTCATTTTAATAATCACTATAACACTAAAGAAAATAAAAACCAAAAGCACATTCTAACTTTGCCTTAATGTGATGAAAATAATTGTTTGTTGCGAATAATCCTCGATAAACGAATTATCTTTGTAATGTGTTTTTGTGATTCTGAAAAGAACCGTTTTATTATTTCACTTGCAGTTACTGTTTTTCAAAAAGGTCTATATTTTCTACCAAAGTGTACTGCGTAGTAGGTAAATGTAAAACGAATTCTTTTAATAAAGAAATATACATATGTCCCCGAAAAGGACTTTTATTTTTTTTCTTTATGTTCCGGGATGTCTTCATCAGTAAAGTTTTCTTTGCGGGAGACCGAGCAACAAATTTCCGAATTTGCAATTCCTCTCGCTTTCATTTTGGCTGTGCCTTGGCCTAACCTGGAGCGCTACATCCCCGTGGTCATAAAATGTACCAAGTGGTCCAATGCATTGGTTCACTGCACTTGTGAATGATTGCCTTGGGGCAGCATTTCAAATTCAATAAGTGGATAACACTCACTTAGCAAAAGTGTTATTGCAGAGGGATGGCGGAGTAGTAGTCGTGGCGACCTGAAACAACATTGGCAAGTAACACACAAAACGGGCGGCTAACTAGGCTGAAGATTGTAGCTGCGTGGTTCTAAAGCTAATACGAATTCAACTATAGTTCGTATTGAAGGGAATGCAACTTTACATGATAATCGACATGAGAAAGTTTACCGGGCAGACCGAGGAGAAATCAACAGTCAGAAGGTCAGCAGGTTGAAATTAATAATACTGACATAAATCGATCACCGTCACTCGCTTCGTCGGTCTGAAAAGTCCAGCTCTAAGGCAAAACGACTAAATTTCTCAATTGACGACTGCTACGTAGGGCGTACCGTGTAAATGCGTTTAGCGAAAAAACAAGAATAAAAATATAACAATGAGTCGTCGTCCAATGAGATGGTTAGTGTGAGATTGTAACAAAAACTGCTCGATCGCGTATTTACTATATCAAAATAAAGTCCGTTGACAAGGTCCTTAAACTCGCACTAGCACGCATACCCGCACGACCACTCGCACGACAACTCGCACTAGCACTCGCACTCGCACGCCTACTACGTTCGTTATCTATCTTTCTTCCTTCGAAGTGCTCATCTAGTGCTACGGACAGGATTATTATCGCAACAACGTAACACCAATAGGATAAGTCACCTTAAATACATTGTATCAAGTAAGGTCTCAACAAAACTGTGAAAAAAGGGCGAACACAAAAGTTTTCCTTTTACGTTCCCTATGTATTTTTGGGTCTTTAATCGCAGCAACGGGACACCAACAGGGTGATACACCTTAAGTACAGTGAGGGTGCTAACGACGGTGACAAAAATCAAGTAAGATCTCAAGAAAAATTTAAAAAAAAAGGGCGAACGCAAAAGTTTTCCTTTTACGTTCGCCATACATTTTTCTGTTCTCTAGCACTAAGGGCAGGATTATTATCGGAACAAAGGGACCACCAATGGGATGAGTCACCTTAAGTACATTGAGGGTATTTATTTATTTATCGTATGGCGTACATTGTGCTATGCTATTATATGTTCTCAGAGCATATAGATATTGATGTTACAATTTTATGTCTAAATTTTTAATATAATCAATCGCCTCTTCTGTTGCAGTCATAAAATCAGTGATAGGTCCTTGGTAGGCACGGTTTGGGCAATCTTTCACTATGTGAGTCACTGTTTGATTATTGGCCCCGCAGTCGCATTCTGGCGAGGTTATCCATCCCCATTTATGAAGAGCGTCAGCACATCTGCCATGGCCAGCACGTATTCGGTTCAATGTAGTCCACACTTTTCGAGGCAAGTCAGATCCAGCAACCTTCTCTGAAGTAAGGAAAGTTTGAAAGTGCGATGGGCATTGTTCCTTCCATCTTTGTTGCCAGGCGTTCGCTGCGTTGAAATTTGAGTCCAACAGCTCTTTAGCGGTGATTAGCGCTGGTTTCCTCGACTTCAGTCGTTTGCGCTCTAGATCGCCTATTTCATTGTGTATAGGTAGCTCTGTATTATTGTTTATTTTCTGATACTCCCTAACAAGGCTGTTTTTACGTCGAATTTCAGGTGGCAGTATGTGGCTCAGGAAAGGCAGCCAAGCAATTGGTGTGGACTTAATCGTGCCGCTGATTATGCGCATTGTGTCGTTCAGTACAGTGTCGATTCTCTCAGTGTGCGGGCTGTTAATCCACACTGGTGCGCAGTATTCCGCCACAGAGTAGACAAGACCGACTGCCGATATACGGAGCGTGTCCGCTGAGGAGCCCCAGGTGGTACCACACAATTTATGAATGATGTTAGTCCTTGTTCTCATTTTGCTTGCGGTCTTTATCAGGTGTTCCTTGTAGGAGAGCGTCCTGTCCAGTGTGACTCCTAAGTATTTGGGGTGGTTGTTATGGTTGAGGCGTTTTCCTTCGAAGTTGACGGTAAGCTCTCTCTTCGCTGATTGGTTACAAAGGTGGAAGCATGACACCTCTGTTTTAGTGGGGTTGGGCAGCATTCTCCATTTGTGAAAGTAGTCGCTCATCAACCCTAAGTCGGAGCCAAGAGTCTTTTCAGTGGTCTCGAACTTCTCGTGTTGAGCGGCTAAAGCCCAGTCATCTGCGTATCCAAATTTTGTAGATTGTGTGTTTGGCATATCCGAAATGTAGAGGTTAAACAGAAGTGGGGCGAGGACTGAGCCCTGTGGCAGTCCATCGTTTAGTGTTCTTGTTCTGCTTGTCCTCTCTCCAATTACAACATTGAAAGTTCTCCCTGCGAGCATATTGTCGGTGAGACGAATGGCATGGCTGCATGGAATTTTTTGGATTAGCTTGTATAGCAGGCCGTGCCTCCAAACAGTATCGTAAGC